CTTTTAGATGTATAGAAATACTATATATAGAAAATATTTGAATTCAAATTTGAATTTGAATTCAAATTTGAATTCAAATTTGAATTTAAATTTGAATTGAATTCAAATTTGAATTCAAACTCAAATTTGAATCGGGTATGTAAACTTTTAACTTATAAACTTTGGGTCTATAAACTTTAGGTGTATAAACTTTAGATGTATAGAAATACTATATATAGAAAATATTTGAATTCAAATTCAAATTTGAATCGGATATAATTCAAATTCAAATTTGAAACGGGTATGTAAACTTTTGACTTATAAACTTTAGGTCTATAAACTTTATGTGTATAAACTTTAGGTGTATAAACTTTATATGTATAGAAAAACTATATATAAAAAAAATTTAAATTCAAATTCAAATTTGAATCGGATATATAAACTTTTGACTTATAAAACTTTTGGTCTCTAAACTTTAGATGTGTAAACTTGAGGTGTATAAACTTTAGGTGTATAAATTTACTAAAATAGGAAAGTAATACAGTGCCAAAAAAGGAAACCAAGTGGAGGGAGGGAGGGGGTAGCGAATCTGATCGCTAGACCCATTGGCGGGAGATCGATCGCCCATTAGGGCTGCCACTTAAGAGTGTGGGCATCAAGCAATAAGCACGGGATCTAACTTTTTTTAAAAAAAAATAAAAAAACTAACCCTTTTTTTTGAGTTACTACTACCTCCGTTTTGACTTTTTTATAAACTAGCCGATAATCTTTTGCTATTACCTCCTTTATATATATATATATATATATATATATATATATATATATATATATATATATATATATATATACACCCCTCCCTAGAATAACTATTCTACACCCCCCTCCCATGGGTCAAACCCCTCCTCCACCCTCCCTTGGGCCCAAAACCCTCCTCCCACCTCGGTCAAAGCGTCCTCCCGCCGGTCAAACCCGCCCACCACTCCTTCCCCCACCTACAACTTTGTTGCTCTCGTCTTGCAGGAATCGTGCAGTAACAAGACGGTCATCGTGCAGTAACAAGACAACATTATCGCAGTAACAATGTCAAAAAGTAGCCATGATCTAGTTTCGTTGAGCGTTTTTTTATGAACTTCATGGTGCAAACGGATTAGAAATACAAGATATGATGTGAGAGATATTGCTCTCTAAAGATTGAGATGTACCTCTTTTTTAGTCATCGTCTCACTGAAATAGCGTATTAACACGATGGCTAATATGTAGTAACACGTCTGCTTTTCGCAGTAACAACGTTAAAAAATAGTTATTACGGTTCTAGTTTCGTTAAGCACTTTTTTTTACGAACGCCATGATACAAATGGGTTAGAAAAATAAGACATGACATGTACGTTAGTACTCTCTAAAGATTGAGATTTAAAATACTCTAGATCTAAAAAACATTACTATTATAGGGCCACTGTTACTATGCATATTCTCTGTTACTGCAAATTTCGTCATATTGTTACTGCAAAAAGTGCAGTAACAACCTATAAAGTTTGCAGTAACAACCTATATATTTTTGCAGTAACATATGATGTTACTACCCTTCTAGGATAATGTTACTACCGAATCATAGTAACAAGGTATGATTGTTACAGGTACATAACTGATTTGTTCACAAATCATCATATGGTGATTTGGTTAGAAGTGCTCGCCATGAACCATGAGATCCTGGGTTCAAGTCTTGAATTCACCAATTTATTTTTATTTTTTCTAAAAAAAAGAGAAGAAGGAGGGAGAGAAGAAAAAAGAAGAAAAGGAGAGATTGGGGGGGGGGAGATGAGAGATCGAGACTTCGGGAGGAAGGGGCGTGACGGGAGGGAGAGAGGAATGGGGGAGGAGCGACAGGAGGAGGAAGGAGGGGGAGGAGCGACTTTTCTAAAAAAAAGAGAAGAAGGAGGGAGAGAAGAAAAAAGAAGAAAAGGAGAGATTGGGGGGGGGGAGGAGGAGGAAGGAGGGGGAGGAGCGACTTTTCTAAAAAAAAGAGAAGAAGGAGGGAGAGAAGAAAAAAGAAGAAAAGGAGAGATTGGGGGGGGAGATGAGAGATCGAGACTTCGGGAGGAAGGGGCGTGACGGGAGGGAGAGAGGAATGGGGGAGGAGCGACAGGAGGAGGAAGGAGGGGGAGGAGCGACGGGAGGGAGGGAGGAAGGGGCGCGGGAGGTGGGGACGGATGGAAGGTGGGAGGAGGGGTGTAGAATAGTTATTCTAAGGGAGGGGTGTATAATAGAGCTAATATATATATATATATATATATATATATATATATATATATATATATATATATATATATATATATATATATATATATAGAGAGAGAGAGAGAGAGCTACTATATGGCACCTTAGGGCATCTCCAAGAGAGGGCTAAATAGGTTCCTAAAAGATAAATTTTAGGATTTTGATGAAAAACAGGCCTCCAATAGATTCCGAACCATGGTCCCAAAATTTACCTCCGACTAAAATCAGGGCCAATCTGAGCCCAAGACTTGGGAGCGTGGACGCGCTCCCAATCCCACTAATCGTGCGACTTTTTCTTTGCCTGCGTCCTTTTCCCCTCTCGCGCATGCATGTCTGATGTTTACGTACCCTCGCGTTTTCTTTCTTTCGTATTCTCTAGCTGCGGATGATACCGCACTCACGCCGTCTTCGATTCCTCGCCTAGATTGCCGCATCTCCTCCATCCATGGCATGGGGTCCCGCGCCGCCTCCGTCCACGAAGACTTCGTCGTGCGCCGCCTCTGTCGTCTCCTCCGTCCAGGCCCCCGCCTTCCCATCGTCGAGGTCGCTGGCAGCCGTCCATTCAGGTGCTGCTTTTCCCCGTTCAGGTACCGCTTCCCCTCTGGCCATGTGAGCAAATCTTGTGTAATTCGGTGCTACCTAGTTGAAGTGTAGCCAATACTGATTAAATGATAACGAAAGTGCAATGCAAATATTTCTGGTGGAGATTATGTGTATGTTCAAAGTGTAGCATGAATTGAGAAAATCGCCAATAACTTTTGATGGTGAAAATCTGTCTCTCTGAAGTTAACAAATACCAATACCATTTCTTGATGAATTGTTGAATAAAATGGCTCCATGTTGTATTGTTACGCAACCCTGCTGATCTGTGCTTTCCCTTTTTGTTGCAGAAATTTTTCTTTTGTTCATTCATGGTTGAATTACAGAGATTGCATAAAGATTGGCTTTTAGTTACGTTGACACAGATTTTTAATCTGTTTCTTTGGTTCAAATTGTGGAACTTTAGGAGTCTATCATGTCTTTCTCTATTCATTAGAATGTTTGTGCTTTTTAGCGTGGAGGATGATGACTTGGCAGTATAGTTTCAGTTCTCTGAAAATCAATTCGCTGTACAGAATGCAGAGTACTCCAACTTCAGCCTTGACTTTTTATATTCAGATTTATAATTTTAAGTACACTAGTACATCGCGTTTATGTTGTTCCTCTGAGATTTTATGGTTCAGAGTTTCTATAATTCTTGGACAGTTCAGTGTGAAGTCTGATTCTTTTTCGGCTCAGTGTGAGAACATGGTATATATCCCTGTTGTCCAGTAATGTAAAAAATTCAGTTCTATCCCTGTTGTGGAACTTCAGGTTTTCAATTTTTGTTGCTTACTGATCATCAGATCATGTCAAACTTGTTGGTGTTTTTTTCTTTGTGCAATCCATTTAGACGTTGTACTGCAAAGTGCAGACTGGAGTAGCTGAAGCTCCCATAAATAAAATTTTGTACTGATTTGAGCAAGTGGACGATTAGCAACTTTGGTCTTGAGATGAACTAATCCTGTCGATAGGGAGAGGAACATTCGGCTTGATACAGAACCTGATTGCTGATCACCAGCACTTAAATTTGGAGCAGAACTTGTCATGTTCTGTGATAATGTAACTTATGTTTCTCACATGTTCAGGTAAGGGATCACCTTTGCCTTCTGTTTCTCTACACGTTCAATCCGCCGGCGACGTACTATACCGGTGAACAGAAACAGTACAGAGACAATGGCGATGACGCGATGTACTGTAGTATTGATATTTGACTATTTTTAATAGTAATTTTTTAACTATTAGGTCATATTAGCACGTACAGTGTTATGTTGTTTCATATGGAGTAATTATTTAACTCGGTTTAACATTTTTAGTCCAACCAGAGTATTTTTTTTTCAATATGTGTCAGACGACATCTTTTTTTTACTCTACATGGTGTTAGCTTACTAGTTATGTTTTAACTCAAGTTAGCATAACCATCCGCTCACTGTTACGTGCCACAGATTTTATAATTTTATTTGTTTGTTTATGTCATAAAAATACTTTTTGTTATTATATTTTTGTTCTCACTATCCAGAGTAATTTTATCACTATCGCAAACCACCACATAATCCTGCCAATGTCATCACACATCCATGCACTACAAGAATCCTGTTAATCCGTGATGAAAAATATCTGTCACGGATCACTAGAAAACCATCACCAAACAGCATCTGTGATGGTTTAAGAAATCATCACGGATTGAGCGTCATGGATTGACATGCGTGACGATTTGTCGAAAACCATCACAGAGTACCAGAATCGGTGACGGTTTTAAACCGTCACGATATTGCCCTAGACCTAGTTAGTCCAGCCCAAGCCCATTTCCTGTGACGAAAAATAACCGTCACGGATGAATTGCCACATCATCATAGATGCTTGCATGGTTGCTTACATGGATGATGACATGGACACTACCTCAGCCCATTTGTTAACAGGCCAGAATCAAAGATGGGCCAATTTTGGCCCAATTTCAGCCATTTTCGCAGCAATTTTTCAGCCTTTTTTGCAAGCCCATTTCAGCATACTGCAGCCCAAATTCGTCACTAATTTTTAGCCCACTCTTCAGCCCACTACTGCAGCACATATAGCCCATATACACAGCCCATTATCAAACATTCAGCCCACATACACAGCCCACAAGGAATTAATGTAGCAGCACATTAAATAAAAAAAATCTTATGTTTCCATCCAACAACATATCACATGAATTTTCATCCAGCATCACATTACACAAGTCTTCATCCAACAACAGTTACCATACAAAAGTGCACACAGCCAATAACACAGACTCAGGAAATGCATACAAGTCCAGCAGCTTGATTCATGCAGCATGCAGTAGCAGCAAAATGCAAGTAGCAGCAACAAAATATATACCACCATGTATGACTTAACTTGGTCGAAATTGACTTGACACAAGTTAGCAGCAGCAAAATGCATGTAGTTAGAGGCAAAAGATATGCACCATGCATGTCTTAACTTGGTCGAATTTGACTGAGCAAAAGATTAACTTTTGCTTCCATCTCAGATTGACTCCTCTTCATCTCCTCTCGGTCTTTAATCCTTGCCTGCTCAGATTCTTGCACTTTGTTTGACAAATCAGCCACCTGTGCACGAAGCTCAGCATTGGTCCTTTTCTCCGCTTCTAGTTCTGTCTCAGTGCTCTGCTCACTGAATCTAGGCTGGGCATTATGGAACCCCACATTCTTCAAGAACCGATTCTTCTTGGTGTTCTCAGCAAGCACATCAGCAACAACTTGAGCCGCTGACTTAAGTTCTTCACCTTCTGTTGTTGTAGATAGCTTGTTTTCCATCCGAGTCTAGCAAGAAAGTAGCAAACATGGTTGATGTTGAGAGAATTAAAAATAAGCACTACAAAGATCAAAGTCTGAAAATTATCTTACAATAGCCTCCTGTACAACAGGGGTGTAGCATTTTTTTTTCTTGCTGTAGTGGAACTCCTTGAACAAATCAAATGCATTAGGTTCTTCATCATTGTATTTGTCATCCTGAGAACAACATATATGCATTAGGTCCAGCATGAATTAAGATGTTACGAAAATCTGGGCAGCTACTGTTCAATTGAGAATCTAAAAGAACATGTTCAACTAATTTCTAGCCTCATTTGTTGCACACAGTCACACTATGTTTTCCACTTAGACAAACAACTGCAACAGAGGTCTTTCACTGCATACACAGACATAAAAACAATAACTTTTAATCTATTAACACACTCAACTTAGACATAGATGGAAACCTAACTCGTCACCTTTCACACAATGTATTGGCATCGGATCAGATATAGTGTCCTTGAACATTCCACAAACTAATGGACTCTCATGAACATAACAACATGAGCATGGACATCATCTTGTTTAGGCTGAGGCAGACGTATTTAAGCAGTAGCTTGTTCATACAAAAAAATTATATGGTGCTTAAAATGGCCCACTTACCAAATTTTCAACATGAACCATGTATGCACGAGATCCGGTTGTGTGATGGTACTTAACATTCCCTCGGTTTTCTTTGTTCTTTTGACACATCTCCTACATTAAAGACAACAATACATGTAAGGTTGGTGATAGATTAGCATGCACAAGGCATCAATCTGGTTTTGCAGAGAGAACATACCATCTTTTGGGGACTCTTCCATGATTCTAGGAGTTGAGTCCACTGTTCATTACTCATGAATTTGACAGGAGAAGTTTTTGTAACCAAATGTAGTGGAAAAGGATCAAAATATTTTTGCTTCAGCCTGTATCTTTGTTGGCGAACTGCGGACTTCATCATCTCAGTACAAGCCATTTTAACTGTATCATCCTCTATGTTTATGTCAAACTTGGCCTAATCGAATGGAAGAACATTTATAGAAAAGAATATCAATTCAGTAATTTATGGCTTAAAATAACAAACAATGGATCTTCTATCGAGACTAAATGTGGAAAGGACCAGAGAATGCATGTACCTTTAGTTTTCCTAAGAACAGATTAACGTACGCAGATGCAGGTTTTTCCTTGTATAGCTTCCAATGCGGGAGTATAGGCACATGGTTCCTAACTATGATGTTGCATTCAGTTGCAAACTTTGCAGCAACAAGAGGAACCACTGGCCTTATATTCCCTTCAGTTATGACAACTTGCAGCTTGCCACGGCACGCTCGGTTTAACCTTTGGAGACCACGTCCCATATTATTTCCCCGGTCCCTTCTCTCCACTCCCCCTAGTTGTAAATGTACATTGCAGTTGAAATTAAAACTAAAATTATTGAGGTGAAGCAAACATTGATCCAAGATGATCATGAATTGAAAGCTTTGCATACAAATATTGATCAACTGAGACAATATGAAATATGGAAAATAGATGAACAAACTCACCTTCGTTGGTAATCTGGTTGTGGTCACCGTGTTGAGTAATGCCATCAACTACATCAGCCACAAGGGTGTTGTCATCATGCTGGGTGAAGCCATCTAAAAAAGGGCAGCAAGTAAGAAAAGCATTCATCATACAAACAAAACTTACATAACGACAGTAAGAATTCATCACCTCCATTGTCCATATGGTTGTGCTGATTATGTTGGTCGATAGCATCAGACCCGGTGGTCATGTGAGTGTTGTCAAGTAAAAATGTGAAAATTGGTTTCATTAATTTTTTTTATTCTTAAAACTCAAGTTAATATTTTCAAAAGGTAAACAAGCAATAAACTTAGATCAGCAAGTTAAACATTTTTATAGCTGACTCATGTTAATGGAATGTAACCAAGAAATGTGGCAGTAGAACTGGCCTTCAACAGCAGCCTGTGTGTGGTCATCTAAGTTGCCATCGAGATCTCCAGCGTTAGCTTGTGATGTAGCTGGCATACAAATATCACTTGGTGTGAGACTTGCATCTTGTTGGGCAATGCTTTTCTTTGACCTTGTAACTTTAGGAGTCATTTGCTCTGCATAAACTCTCTTGCGAGACCGAAACTTGACTCCACCAGTCTGGATACTTGAAGTTTTGTTGTTACAGTTCTTGCGAGTCTTCTCCTTAGAGCACTGCTGGAAAGAAAAGCATGGATTGGTCAACATAGTATTACATTGAATTAGGAAGAAAAATAACAAGTTAAGACTTGTCAACATAAAGGAATTACAACCTTTGCATTCTCATCATCAATCAAATCTCCTTCACCAGTATCATCCTTTAAAGGATCATACTCGGACTCCGAATCTCCACTTTGATTCTGGTCAGAATGAACACCAACATAGCCTTCCAAAACTGGGGTGTAGCGATCAGGAAGTCCAAGCTCCTTCAGCCTTGCACTGTTCTTCATGCATTCTTTTAGGCGCTCCAATTCGTATGGACTCAGATGAACTGGTGGATGGTAGACAGCAACAATAAATTAATGTGTTACTGACTCAGTGAACAATAGATAAGCCACAAGAGTAGCAATAGCACACCATGTCTTGGATGAGGTACAGATGAATTGGAATATTATTAATGGTTAGTGGACTCAAAGATATATATTGCTAGTAAAAAAATGATATATACTGCTGGCTCTTTGAGATGCCTTTCAACTAAACGTTGTTTAAAATATTGTCATGAATTGCATGCACAAGCATCAGGAGAATAGATGAACTGATCAGGAATTTGTCAACAAGACTGAAAGTGCCATATGCTAAATGAATTATTGTACTCTTTGATTTTTGTTTACCAGTAATTAAGCAAAGTATGACTCTCTCCCCCTCCATTCCATTCCATATTCATGTATAACTGTAGGGTATGAACAAGAATCATCTTGTGAACCTATTTTTTACTGCAAAGGCAGAAGCATGTACCCTATCTTTTCAGGTAAAATGACCAACACTGCAAATGGAAGTTCTAACTATAATCCAGCAAACAGAGCTTTGCATCTATCATCCCTCAATTTCCCAAATCCACCGGTCTTCTCCACAAATCCAAACGCCACAAAAAAGTCAAGAGCGAGGTGATGTTAGGACTATACCTGCTACCCGATTTCCTTTTGGATTCTTCGGCGCCATAACAGCGATGCTGGTGGTGGCCGCGCTCGGAGCCTCCCAGTGACGATGGGCGCGCGGGCGGCGGATGGAACCTTCCAACAGCGTTCTAGGGTTCCATCGGGGCTGGAGGATGGGAAACTGGAGGATGCGTGGCGGCGGGCAGGCCTTGATGCGCCGGTGAGATAAGGTGGCTGGAGGATGGGTGGCTGCTAGGGTTTTGGAGGATGGGTGGCGGCTAGAAGATGGGTGGCGGCTGGAAGATGGGTTTTGGAGGATGAGTGGCGGCTAGGTTTTTGGAGGAATTGGGAAGTGCTGTTTCATAATTACCGATGTACCCTTGAGAAATTTTCTGATGGAAGTGTTCTCTATATTTTATATTTTATGAACCTAAGGGTAGTAAGGTAATTCGGACTGTGAAATATTTCGGGCTGGCGCACATCAAGCGCGCCAAGCCGCTTGGGCGCGCGGGATTTCCCCTTATCCTGAAAACTCAAAGCCCCTGTTTTGTTTGGAACCTTCTAGATGAGTATATATTATAATAAGTCTTATATTTGAGATTTGCTACTATGTAAAATTTGTTCCCCTTGAATGATTGAATCTGTCTCATTCCTTCATACTCCATTAATTTTTTTTGTTGGAATTAGAAAATCAGGTTAGACAAGCACCATATATGATACACATAGTTCATCATGTTATGATCCCTTATGTTGATGATTATTATCTTAAAAAAATGTTGATAATGATTAATAAAACTATATAGGTGTTGATAATTTCCCAATTAGTGCTTCTAGCTAGTAAGTGGTATAAAACAATGCATGAAGCAAATTTGTTCCCTTGAATCTATCTTATTCCATCGGTATTAGTCATATTCCACTAATCTAAATTTAGGAATTAGGAATTTTGGCCAAACAAGCCCCATGATCCCATTACTTTTTCGCGAACACGCAAAAGGATTGCACTTCAATATGTACAGAGTTTATGTTACACAACATGATCAGCTGGGAGGAGACAGCACACCGTACTAAACCTACGGAGCGAACGCACAGAGTCAATGTTGCTTTCTCTCTCTAGTGCTGAGGAGAGATATGCGAATTTTTTTTTTTGATATTTTTTTCGAGTCTCGGAGCACACTGCAACCAACCATAGAAATTCTTAGCTCAAACGGACAAAAGATGAAGCATGAGGAATTTTTTCAAAGTTCTATCCAAGGGGTTCCGGAGCTTCTCGCCTAGAAAACATAATTTTGTAAGCGGAATTTGGTAGTTCTAATTTCACCGAACCCGGCAAAGCGGGGAGAATCGGATGTAACTTTTTCTGTAGATGTCTGTGGATATATTATATGTCTAATTTCGAGTCCGTATGAAAAAGATATGATTGTTTTAAAGAAGGTCAGTCGAATCAGGCACTAAAAGCACTAAAAACAATAGGTCACTCGCCCAACGCCAAACAAGGCGATCCCCGATGTCCGGCGAGAGCTGTATGTGAAGCACCGCACATGGTTTATCATGTCATGTGGTGCTGTACATATCCTAGGTGAGTGGTGCATCACGATTATATTTTTAAAAACATTTTTAGGCTCAACTAGTACCCATCACAAAGTGTCTACTATTATAAAAATTGAAGATGTTTTTGCTGGTACTTTGGTATGTCATCCGTATATGAGTCGTTTTTAAGTTTGTTCAGTTTTGAAAATACAAATCCGTATTTGAGTCGGTTTATAAGTTTGTTTGCTTTTGGAAATACAAAAGGAACCGTATAGGAAATCTCTATAAAAAACTCGCACACTAAGTAAGTTGAGACGATCGGATTCCTTCACCCGTTGCAACGCACGGGTATTTTTTCTAGTTAATAAAAAAATAAAGGCTCAACTAGTAGAGACTAAATCTGTAGTTTCATTGACACAGGCAAGTTGAAATGCCATTTAGGCCAACAAAGAATCAAAACTTGAAAAACGGATATGAATAGTTTGGCATCGAACCAATTATACATAAATTCCATAGATGAACATGATCTCAAATACAAATTGAGGCTATCTAAAATAATAGAACATATGGTCTCAAATAAGTAGAACATGGTCTCAAATACTAATTGAGCCTTACGACAAAATATTAAAACATAAAATTCAAACAGAACTATTCGTCGTCACTATCGACCTCCATAACTGAGTCATCTTCTTCGTTAAAATACTCCATAAGTGTGTCATCTTCTTCATCTTCATCTTCATCACCAATGACATTCACTTCTTTGCTAGATTCTTTCATCAACCGAGCAATTTCAGCAGCTTCAAAAACAGGGCCACGCTCATCATCTCTATTTAAAGGCGTATCATATATAATGCTAGAAACTGGTCGGCGTGGATCCTCCTCATCATAGCACTCGTCTTCTTGATATGCAGTAGCACTAACCTCCGTCTGACTTACGTTATAAAGATGCCTATGGTCAAATGTCTGTACAACTTGCCAATTTTCACCCAGCTTTGTATCTGGCAAATAGAAAACCTTCGTAGCATGAGTGGCCAATATGAAACAATCATTCTTGTACCACAAACTTCCAACATTGATGCTTTTAAAAAAGCCATCATCTTTAAGTGCAGTCCTCTTTCCATCCAGTTTGAACCAGTCACACTCAAACAAAACTACGGACCTCTCCTCTAAGTTATAGTCCAACTGAATTATCTCTTTTATGTTTCCAAAAAAATCAATTAACTGACCATTATGTGTAGCTTGTGACATTACTCCACTGTTCAGTGTCTTCTTGTTCTTGTCACGGTTAACTGTGTTAAACCGCACACCATTCACTATGCACGAGGAGTATTTTCTAACTCTCAAATCAGGACCGCATGCCAAGGAGAAGATATCAACATCCACCTCTTCTGGATTTGTACTATACTTCTTCAAAATCTGCCACATGCATACAACACACATATATTAGAAAAATAGAAGTTACATTATGCAATATATAACTTGACAATGAACACTAACATGGTTCCTAAACCAGGTCTGAAATCCTTGTCGAAGCATTCTTTCAATGTTAGGCACCCCTTGTGTCTCTAACTCTTCTATGAACAAACTGCAGAAAAAAAAATAAATTAGTGTGCAACACAAAGGTAGCATATAGAAGAAGTCTAAAAGTAAGTATATAGAACATACTTGACGTAATACTCAACTTGGGCACAGTTGTTTAGCACAAACCACACCATTTGATCAATGCCATTTTCATCATATACATATTCAGGTGCAGAAGTAAAATTAACTCCATGCCCAAAAACATCAACACCATAAGCTTCTTCATTGGAGAAACCTTTATTTCTTGGCTCCCGATTAAATCTTGTTTCAACATCGTCCATGTATTTAGAGCAAAATGTCAGACACTCATCAGCAATATAAGCCTCGGCAATTGAACCTTCTGGTCGTGACCTATTCCTCACATATCGCTTCAAAGTATATAGTCGCCTTTCAATTGGGTACATCCACCCATATTGCACAGGACCCCTGAGCAATGCCTCATCAGGTAAATGTATAGCAAGGTGTACCATCACATCAAAGAAAGCTGGAGGGAAAATTTTCTCAAGCTTCACCAAAATTATAGGGATTTCTTTCTTCATTTGAACCAGCACATCCTTGTTAAGAGTTCTGCTGCACAATTTCCTAAAAAACATCCCCAACTCAGCTATTGCTTCATAAATATCACTGTCCAGAAATCCTCTCATGGCAGCGGGCAAAATTCTTTGCAAAAGAATGTGACAATCATGTGTTTTCAGCCCCTGTACCGTTGTTCCCTCAGCATTTAAACATCTTGAGATGTTGGAAGCAAATCCATCTGGAAACTTGACCTCTTGTAAAAAAGCACAAAAAGCCTTCTTCTGTTCAGTAGACAAGGTATATCTAGCATGAGGCATCTCTCCATCCTCTCTAAATTGCAGCTCCTTTTTAATACCCAAATCTTTCAAATCAAGCCTAGCTTTAGCTGTGTCTTTTGTCTTGCCCTTTATATTGAGAATTGTCCCAATTAGGTTCTCACATATGTTTTTTTCAATGTGCATCACATCAAGATTATGTCTCACCTTTAGTTTTTTCCAATATGGCAACTTCCATAAACTAACCATCCGGCTCCAAATTTCCACATGACCCCCTTCAGAGTTGGAACGCTTCCTTTTCCCAGTTCCTTGTGGCTTCCCAGGTCTGACGTCTTTAACTCTCTCCAATTCAGCCAGCAACTCTTCTGTACAGAATTTACCTGGTGGATCATTGCTTTCGTGAAGTCCAGTAAACTCATTGTTTCTCCTCAAAGGATGTTCCTTTGGAAGGAAACGGAAGTGCCCAAAATAACCAATTTTGCTCCTTAAGGCATATGAAAGAGGATGCTTGTCACAATGGAGACAAGCAAAATAGCCCCTTGTTGTACGCCCTGAGAGAGTACTCAAAGCTGGGTAATCATGGATGCACCACAAAACCGCTGCACGAAGTTTAAATGATTTGCCAGTAATAGCATCATAAGTATCAACACCTGCCCAAAGCTCAAGTAAATCCTCTACAAGAGGCTGTAAAAATACATCAAAGTCCTTCCCAGGTGATTTCGGACCTGGAATAAGCAAAGCCATCATAAAGTTTGATTCCTCCATGCACTCCCACGGTGCTAGGTTGTAGGGCACAACAAACACAGGCCACATGCTATATTTTGTGTTCTTTTCTGAAAAAGGATTGAACCCATCAGTAGCTAGGCCAAGTCTAAGGTTTCTTGCATCCTTTGCAAAACCAGGATATTCACGGTCAAAATCTTGCCATGCCTCGCCATCAGCTGGGTGGCTCATATTATTCTCAACGGGCTGTCGCTTTAACTTGTGCCACTGTGCCGCTTCTGATGCTTCTTTGGTCGAAAACATCCTCTTTAGCCTAGGTGCCAATGGAAAATGCCGCAACACTTTTTGTGGAATCTTCTTTCTTTCTGCATCTTTCCATCTCGAGAGACCACAAACCGAGCAATTGTCATGCTTCTCATATTCCTTTCTGAACAGCACACAATTATTGTAGCACACATGTATTGATTCATAACCAAGACCCATTTCCTTTAGAATGCCTTTTGCTTCATCATATGATTTTGGGAGTGTATTGCATTCTGGGAAAGCATCAGCCAATAGCTTCATGTGTGCAGAAAAAGCAGAATTGCTGATCCTATATAATGACTTCATATGAAGAAGCCTTACCACAAATGAGAACCTTGAAAATTTGGTACAACCAGGATAAAGTTGACGCTTTGCCTCTCTCATGACAATATTCAAAAATGACTCTTTATCACGAGGTTCTTCAGCACCAACTTGATTTTCTACATCCGGTCTTGCTTGTGCCGCTGCAGTCTGTAGGTCTCCTAAAATTCCTTCCAAACGATCACCATAGTTGTCATCCTCTGTCACCATAGTTGTGGAACCATCATTATTTTCATTCATATCAATAGGATCGTCAATAACATTGACATCTAAGCTCTCTCCATGATGAATCCACCGAGTATAAGTAGTTTCCATACCATTCATCAGTATGTGCTTCTTCACAACAGCCTGTCTTTGGTACTTCTGATTAAGGCATCTGCTACATGGGCATAGAATTTCAACATTCTCATTGAATTTCCCCTGAATGAAACTCATAAATTCTTTGACGCCGTCAATGTATTCAGGGGAAAATAGTCTGCTGTGCACCCAACTTCTATCCATCTAATCAAACATTGTAGATAAACCACAATGAGCAAGCTGCACCAATTCAAATGCTACATCCAACTAAATCGAAGAAGAAGAAGAAGAAGAAGAAGAAGAAGAAGAAGAAGAAGAAGAAGAAGAAGAAGAAGAAGAAGAAGAAGAAGATATTACCTTGGCTGGCTGTTGAGGCAGATGGGAGAAGAGGCTTCAGGAGTCCGGTCAACAGCTGAATTTGTCACCAGGTGGACGCATGGCCGCACTCGGCATCGCTCGTTGGTGCGGCAATGGAGGGCGGCGGTGCTGCAGATCTACAGGATGGCGTTGTAGGGCGGCGGTGGTGCCTGATGTCGCTGTTCGGCTGGTGTGCAGCGGTGATGCGCGATGGCACGGTAGGCAAGGAGGCGGCGTTGCTGAACGACGCGGCAGTGGTGGGCAGCGGCAACGCCGCTCCTGCCAAATTTCGCCGTCGGCGGCGGCGGTGTCTTAGATTGGTTGCGGCTGGGTGTCGAACTGAATAACTGAGTCACGGTTGAGGAAACCTTACTCCTCCATACATACACAGGTCAAAAAGAGTACAGAATCCTACAATAACACATCAAACCAACTAGCGCAGTGGTAGGATGGGGCGCCTTCTACTAGTAGGTCATGGGTTCGATTCTCGTTGGTTGCATTTTTTTCTTCTATTTTACAAATTCGAGTTCTTTTTTTCTTTTCGAAATGCCAACTCCGGCTGCTGGGCCCCATTTTCGAAATGCCAACTCCAGCTGCTGGGCCACACTGTGGGCAACATCCTGGACCAACTCAACTCGAGTGAATGGCATTAATGGGCCACGCCAACAGGGATGCTGGGCCAATAATAAATAAATAAAAATATATAAGTGCAGAAGTGGACATCTACAACAAGTGGTTCAATTGGTAACATATTTCCTACCTTCCTGCTCAATGTGGGTTCAAATCCCACATGCTGCGGATTTTTCCCCCATGCGCACCATATTTTTTTAGTTTGCCATATTATGCATCATATACATGTAACAAATTAACAAAATTATTTTGTTCAAATTTAACAAATCATCATATACATGTAACAAATTAACAAAAATATTTTGATTTTTTCCGCATGCGCACAATATTTTTTTAGTTTGCCATATTATGCATCATACACATGTAACAAATTAATAAAATTATTTTGTTCAAATTTAACAAACCATTATATACACGTAACAAATCAACAAAAATATTATGTTCAAATTTAACAAATATTTTGATTCTTCTTGCAATCATATTTTTTGTTTTTCTTTGCGCTACAATTTTTTTATTTTTCTAGGCTAACTAGAGTATGACGAATTTAAAATCATACATTGTTTTTTATTTTTCTAGGCTAACTAGAGTATGACGAATTTAAAATCATACATTGTGACGGTCCTGATAAAACCGTCACGAGTTTGTGGGCTGTGAATATCCACTGGGCTCATCTGTGACGAAAAACAAAATATCGTCACGGAGTATGTCTGTCAGTGACGATCCGTAAATCCGTCACGGAGAATCCATCACGGATTAACAAGTTTCTTGTAGTGATGATAGTAATTTTTTTACCTACCAATATAATGAACATCCATGATAGTAATTTTATGGGAACAGGTTGGATTGGGTTGGCACCCTAATCCAACCTGTTCCCATTCACTCTCCAATCTCTATCCTTTTTTTCCGGATCTGGGAGTAGCCGGCAGCATCATCGGCCACCGGGGCGACAACCTCTCCCTACACCGGCGACGTGGTTTGCTCCGAGGGAGTGAGCCTAGGCGGCAGCTCGTGGACATAGATGGTGCACCGCTGGATCTGACTCCTCTCCGGTGTTGCAACAGAATCAGGGGCATAGAGGAAGCCTGTCCTGGTCGTCTGCGTCACCTTCCGCCGACACAGTCCTGCGCGGTCGTCGGCGAGCACATCCGCGCGTTGCCCTGATTCTGTTGTGTATTTTTTGCACGCCATTTGTGGTCGTCGTCCACCTTCAGTGAATAGTGATGGATACTACAGCTGCGTGCCTTCTTTTTAAGCTATAAAATGAATCTTCGTCCTTTTTATAGATGTGTATTTTTTCCCTCACATTATAGATGTGTAATTTTTTGCCTCACATAATGACGCGGCACGGTACGGCTGCGGGCACGGTGGTGACGGGCGACTATGGGCGGGAGACGCAGCGGCTCCGCCTCCACCGCCGAGCGACGGCGTGCGCAGCGTCAGCCGATCTGGCCGTTGATTGTTCGACCGTTGATTGTTCGACCATTTATCTTATACAAAATTTTAGTATAAATATGTAAAAGTAAAAGTGTAAGTTTATACTATAATTTCTTTATGATAAAAGAAGTCATAACAAAATAAATGATATTTATATAATATTTTTAATAAGGAAAATAATCGAATGTCATCTAAAAGTCAACGATGTCATGCATAGGGAGTACTAATTAGTTTTCTTTGGTTTTCTCGGGAGAGGTCGTGAAATGACGATGGCTTGTCATTATTACAAAATCCATTTTTCCTAATGGCCATAACACATTTTCACCAGCGGACTCTCTATCCGCATGTGATCAGGGTCAATGAAAATAGATAATCATCGTAGGTGGGCCTTATCGGCTTGCGAAAAACAGTTTTCAATGGCGGCTACATTATACGGACCGCCAGCAAAGAGATTTTTGGCTAAAAAAAATCGACCGGCAAAAATATTAAATTTTATTTTTAGAACCTCCAAAACCAGATTCACAATCTACATCAGTTTGTCATTAATCCCGCAATCACAAATCCAAATCAAACATCACATCCCACAATCGCAGATTCTATGAATTTGCATCTAATCCCACAATAACAAATCCACAAATCAAACATCGCATCCTCCAATCCCACAATCACAAATTCAAGAAATCACAAACCACAACATGCATGCAACACACTAAAGATTCACAAATCGACCACCACAGCGCACTTGGACACTAGTGTAGAGCATCTCCTGCCGGCGCGGAGGAAGGAGGTCGAGGTCCACGTCGCCGAATCTTTGTACTTGTTGTTGCCAACACACCGTAGGACCCACGCCTGCAAGCCTCGTCGTCGCCACCCGCTCATAACCTTAGCCACGGCCAAGCTCCGTCGCCGCCTGAGCTTCATCACCCATCGACAGGCGCGCCCGAGCTCCGTCGGCCCACCTGTGGGCCTCCCCACCACCAAATTCACCACCCGAATACCTCCCTGTCGTCGGATCCGCCTCCAGCCACCGGATCCGCAGCCCACGCACCTCCCGCCACTGGAACCACCGCTCGCGGTCCTCCCCGCGCGCCTCCTTTGTGGATATATATTTCCGTTAAGCTAGGTTGGCTGTGTACCCTTTGCAGATATCGATGCCGGTTTAATAAAATATCTATTATTAAAAAACGGTGAGCTAGCGAGAAAAACACACTTGACAAATTATGATGACATAGTCAAATATAGAGGAATTATAAAACGTCACTTGCTCATTAATTACTTTGAAGAATATTAACTTTGGCTTTGCTTGTTTCAATGTTCTGCCCTGACTTACTGAAGAAACATCAGACATCTTTCGGCTAGCTTCATAAAATGATACACTAGACGATCTGAGTTTAAAATCTAATTATTTGATATTTAATTATTCTCTAATATTCGCGTATTCGGAGAGAGATTGCGTCTGTCGATCTTATTCCCTACACCTACTAGATACGATTGAACAGGTCACAAGGGCTGGGGCGTGAGACATAAGATTATATTAGTTATTATTTACATAGATATCCCATTGTATGTCAACAAGATGACTGAGAGTTTGAGAGAGATGTTCATTATGGAGATCATCAAGTCAAAATCATTAATTTTGAGATGTGTACACTTTCGGCCTTTCGGGAAGGCTATGACCACATATATAGTAGGACCAATATATATTTTTTAAAAAGAATATATTATTGTACTTTGGCAGTCTAGATATGTATATACGGAGAGCTGAGCTACTAGATATCTACACCTACTAGGGAAAAAAAATATTATTGTACTTTGACAGTCTAGATATGCTAATATAGTCTTGACAACATTTAGAAATTACATTATATTTTTATAAAATTTGCATGGGGATTAAGAAGCTAAGCCTAGGACTCAGATTCTAGTTGTCCTAAGCCTAGCTACGTTCTACTCCCTCCGTCCCATAAAAAACCTACTAGTACCTGTGACATATCCATATACTACGAATTTAGACATACATCTATTCAAATTCATTGTATTAGAATATTCAAATTCATCGTATTAGAATATGTCACATCCGGTTCTATATTTGTTTTTTTATGGGATGGAGGGAGTAGTGTTTATACTTTTTTTTTTCTTTACAGTGATCATTACGAGTGTTGTGGAAAGACAAACACTTATCTCTAAGTATATAAAGGCAATAAAAATCATATCTTGGAGTCTATTTATAACTTACAAGCATCTGAAGCAAACTCTAGTGTTTTGTTTATGTTGGGTTTTACATAATCATCTCTTTGATAGGAACATTTACATGGTATACTTGTCATTTCGTAACCTGTCTAGCCTAGACAACTTTTGTGGGTCAGCGTTCTCATAGAAACGTTCTTTAGAGTTGACCTTCTTCGGCCTAGTTGGCCTACAGGATCGAGCTTATGGTGGTGTTTAAATGTCCTGAAGATATAGATGAAGATAAAAATTAAGTGTTTCACGTAAAACGAGGTTGTAATAACGTGTGACTAATTGAGTTTTAATTATTAATTACAAACTTGAAAAATATATTAATATGATATTTTAGAACAACTTTTATATAGAAAATTTTCGCACGAAACGTACCGTTTAGCAGTTTGAAAAACGTGCTACGAGTATCCAAATTTAATCCAACTTTTGTTGGAGAAAATGTTTGTGTCCTATCTATCCAAAATGTGAGAAGCAGCTAAACCTTTTCATAACACAAGGATCGATCGACGAATTGATAGCCCGCTCCCCACCTCATAAGCAATCTCACGAATGTCCATAACGTACGCCTCCTCACGGATGGATCGCTCAATCTGGACTAGCTAGCTACTCCTAGTTTTTCCCCCTTTTTATCTAAGGCCACCTCATATCTTATCTTACGTTTATTTTGGTCTGGAAAATAGAAATGTGCGTACTTGGGTTTCCATGAACTTCGCTTAAATAGTGACATATATATATCCAGAAATTATATGTGTACATATTGTGAGGATGAATTAACTAAACTTGCCACATTTGTGGCCGACGGCCCTGGCAAATATAATTGAGTTTGCTTTTGTAGCTGAGCACCTCCATTTGTGGTTAAATCGATCAAATCGAACGATTGACTTTCACTTAATTTGCAACTCGATTAATTTCCGGTGAATCGAACGAGCACGTACGTATGGTAGATGCCAAGCGTACTTGCATATATGAAGTACTTGCATGCAGTTATTAGCCTGCTAGTATATTACAGTACATATTTCTTTACCTTGAATCGGTCGATCGACGGCGTCAAGAAGCTCAAAATTAAGCACCGGTTCGTCATCTACTAAGAGTACGTATACAGTACTAGATCACATGTATGTGCCTCATCCTGCCTATATAAACACGTCTAGTTACGTTATCGATCGATTCTCATCACACACTCGAAATAGTTCAAATTAAACTAGCAATTTCGATTACATATATCTTCACTTCGTGAGGAGAGAAATTAAAAGAATACATGGCGTCGTCCTCCTCGTCGTCGTCGTCCAAGGCTTTGCTTGTTTTCGCTCTCCTGCTCGCTGCTGCTTTCGTCGCCTCTGCCGAACAAACTCGTGAGCACACACCGACACACCGTACCTCATTAATTCGTGCATATAATTTAGTTTGATTTTCATACTGGAGTTGAAATATTTTCTTAATCAATTCGATCGTTTTTCTCACACACACACACACATGCATGCATAATTTCATCTTTTTTCAAAAAAAAATTTAACGAACCGGCTCATCGATGAATTATATATTGTGCTCGTCGGTTTGATGAACTTGAACATAGGCACGTACTCTCTCCGTTTCACGATGTAAGTCATTCTAACATTTCTCATATTCATAGTGATGTTAATGAATCTAGACATATACATCTATCTAGATTCATTAATACCAATATGAATATAGAAAATAATAGAATGACTTACATTGTGAAACGGAGGAAGTACATATTTGTTTTTGCATTTAATATGTAGGTAACGCGTGCTCCCAATTAATGCTGCAGATGACGACGGTGACAATCCGCCGGAGTCGCCGGACCACGAAGACCCACCGCCCTCCCCTGAATACTACGACCCACCGCCATCGCCGGACTACTATGACCCGCCGCACTCACCGGACTACTACGACCCGCCGCCATCACCGGACTACTACGACCCGCCACCGTCGCCGTACTACGGCGGAGGCGGTGGATATGGCAAACCACCGCCGCCGCCGCCATGCTGCCCATGCAAGGGTGTCTAGGACTGATGCGACTGGTCCGGCGAGTGCTGCTCGCCGTAGGCCGATGGAGCGAGCTCCGTACAACTCATATGAAGCAGATCACACATGGTGGTTCATAAATAAACACTTCTCCTTAATTAAATATTATTCAAAATTACTAGAAAAATGTATACAGTTCAAATAAAATAGTTGATGTCATGATCTGATACCTATGGTGTCATGCTGACATCATCATGATATGAGTATTACGTCCGGTATCACGGTATCATATTCGATATACCTATCTAGTATCATAGATACCACATCTGATACCTAAGGAAATAGCATTATAAGTATTACATATTCTTTTTTATCGAAACGATATAGCATTATGTAGTAGCCCTCAATTATTATTTGCATGTACTTTTATATACACCTGAGTATTAGTCTTAGTAACATACATCACTATACCATATTAATCTACTCGACTACTCCCTTTATTCAAAAATATAAGCATGCATATTTAGCGCTCCAGCTACATACCCAGAAATACTTTCTCAACTTCTCAAATTGTAAGTTTGCAAGGTGCCACAGATAATTGTTGTTTTGGGCTGAAGAAATGGGCCATGCTCCCAATAAATCCTCAACAGTCCAAATCAAATCCATATGTACAAGCCCATCACTAAGGAGGAGGCCGTTGATACGCAACCAGCTCCACCTCTATTACGTATACGTATATGCATATGCATACAAAGTATATAAATTTGTGTATATATATAATGTATATATAAATTTATATGCGTATATATAAAATATTTGTGTATATACTTGGTACATATACACTTATACAATTTTTTATATGTATAAATTTATATTACACACTATAAAGAATTATATATATATATATGTATATATATGTATATATATATATATGTATATATGTATATATGTATATATGTATAAAAACTATGTATACATGTATATAAGTTTACATGTTAATGTATAAATTTTGTATTGTATATATAAATTTTACACGTATAAAATTAAAAACAAACTTAAAAAGTAAAAAAGTTGAAGAAAATAAATAGGCCAAAATTACTGAGCCCATGGAAAAATCAAGCCAAAAAGGAAAAAGAAGTATGCATAAAACCAATCTAGATTTAGCCTATATAGTAAAAAAATTATTAAACCGACATTTACATAAAAAAGAAAGTAGATAAGCCGACAAAACATACGTATGCCAAAAAATGAAAAGGCGGGGTTCTTCGTGCGAGTAGGCCGGTGCGTGACTAGTCACGAATTAGCACTTTCGCATCTAATGAGGCCTTTTTCAGTTGGGTCTCACGTGATGGATAGGCCAGCCCATTGGGCCTTAGGCCCGCCACCTAAAAAGGTGAAAAGGTTTGGTCTCATCTTTTCGCTTATGCTTATCCTTATCAACCAAAATTCAAATTTTCAACATTAAATTTGGAGTTAATTTTGAGGGTTTTTTATCGAAGTTTATTTTTCAGCATTTGCTTTTAGATCACTAATAACACGTATATAAAAATTTTTTTGCAAATTATTTTTCATTCGTAAATGTGACATTTGACTTATCCCCATTAAGCCATCCGATGGCCTCCTCGGTTGCAGGACCCCGTCCTGGACGACCGATCGACGACCCAATCATCGTAGCTCGCGGCGAGCCGACCGACGACCAGCGCCGGCGTGCTCGCATTTTCCGAGCTCACCTAACGGATCGGCGAATGAAATTAATCCTACGCGCGCCCAAATAAAATCGCCCTTCTCCTATGGCGTCACACACTCACACTTGTACTGGTGGTGTTTGGTTTGAAAAGCTAAAATATTCTAAACAGACATGTGGGCTTGGGGTTTCCACGAATTTTGCTTTCATATGACATATATATTTGATGCAAATGGGCATGCCTATGGCGTGATTAGTTGTTGACATTGGTGGCCGGGCCATCGTAAAGTTGACCTTTTATGAATAATGTACTCCTCCCACTCATTTCTCGTGTGGTTCTGATTTTCCGCACCCAACATTTAACCATCCGTCTTATTTAAAAATTTTATTAAAAAAAATTAAAAATAAGTTGAGCATAAAGTACTATTTATATTTTATCATCTAATAACAATTAAAATACTAATTATAAAAAAGTTTAATAAGACAAGCGATCAAATGTTAGACATAAAAATTTATAACTGCAATTAATTAAAATGGAACAATGGAACGGAGGGAGTAATCGGCAACCGGGGATTAATGCGGTAATCAGAATGGCAAAACGGTTAGGGCACCCACAATGGTTATCTATAGGCTCTCTACAAGAGATCCATGTCAGCATATTTTCCTACTTGAAAGGTATTAAATGAAGAGAGAGAGAGAGCAAAGCTATCTACTAACTTAAAGATAGTCTATAGAGAAAAACGAGGCAATGAATGAGAGAGATATAGATACCAATATAGACATACTATTAAGGTGGTTTACTATTAATCGAGTCTATTGCTGAAATATACATGTTTTATAGAGAGCACCTTACTTTACTATTGTGGATGCTCTTATAGCTGGTCGCTAGTCAGCTTAATTATATATGTTCTGCTATACGTATAACCTTGAATCGGTCGACATGAGAAGACGCAGTGTGTCATCAACTAGTAACTAACGCACTACTACCAGAACCCTAAATCTCATAAGAAGGCTTCATCCTGCCTATAAATACGCTTGGTTTGCACGCATAGGCTTCTCACCACACTCGAGATTGTGCGATCCAGTCCTAATTAATTATACCGTGAGTTGAAAATTAATTAAGATCACTTAAGGTCTTAAAGCTAGCAGCCATGGCGGCATCGTCCAAGTTGGCTTTACTGGTGTTCACTCTCCTGCTCGCCGCCGCTGCTTTCATCCACGTCGCCTCCGCCGAAGAAACACGTACGTGAGCTAGCTAGCTAGCTAGCACACACCCTGCATGCATATATATACATACAATTTTTCGTTAAATTTTCTCCTGCACATACACATATATACTGCTTCCTCCGTTTCACAATATAAATTATTCTAGTATTTCTCACATTTATATAAATTATTCTAGTATTTGTTACATTTATATTGATATTAATGAATCTAGACATATATATCTATTTAGATTCATTAACAATAATATTAATATGGATATTAAAAATACTAGAATGACTTACATTATGAAACGGAGGGACTACGATACGATATACTACTACATGTATTGTGTTCATGCATGCCTTCTTCATAGTATTCATTTAGTATTAATTAGTATTTGATATGTCGTCTATATGCATGCAGATGACGATCACGACGGCGGCGATCACGACCCGTCGCCATCGCCGCCGGACCACGAGGACCCGTCGCCGTCGCCGCCGGACCACGAGGACGAACCGCCGCCGCCGTCGTCTCCGGGGAAGGAGGACGTCTGCAAAGGCAAGGGGTGCTGCGACTGGTCCGGCGGCGACTGCAAGCACTACTGCGACGGATACGACGACAAATCCTGCTGCGACGACTGGTCCGGCGACTGCCACAAGTGCTGCTCCAAGTAGCCCGGCCCGCCGTATATACGTCGATATCGCCGTACGCCGTACTATGTGTGTATACGACTGTATACGCAACACAAGCTCGATCGTAGTATTGCTTATTGCACTCTTCGTCGTCATCAATAAATTAAGGCACGCGTGTCAGCGTGTGTACGCGGTGCCGACGTGCGTTTGTACGTACGTGTACGGCTTGCTAGGCCATGAGTGTGAGCTCTTTCCAAAGGCTACATGTACTATGCGCCAGTCGATGGCTTATAATATTGTAATAACATAAGTTGTGCGTGAGTGTAACATGATATAATATAATAATAATAATATGATGTGCGTGTATGTTTGAACGTGAATAATATAGATCTGCCGTTCAAAATAAAGCTATAGGTGTAGTTGTAAAATGACTTTTCGTTTATAGGTTTTCATTAGAGAGAATTTATCATGAGATACTTAAGAAGTAATTTTCATGGTGAAGGTCTGAAAAGAAAATAAAAACACCGTTGTTAGTTTGTTACCTTCAGTCCGAACACCTTTCGCCGAGGAGAAGAAGAAGAAGAAGAAATGGAAAGTGTTAAAAGGCAACCCAAGGTGTATTTCTCTGGAAACTGGGCCATGATCTTCATATGGTTCTATATTGGGCCGTTCTCGCAAGAAGTGATCATTAATGGGCCAAATCACCTCTTGAAAGAAATAATGGGCCAAATGATCAAATCCATGGGCACTAGCCCAGTAATGATTTATTCTTCTTTGTGAAGTTTCTGAAATAGAAATTTCGTTCTTTTCCTCCCTTCTGAACCATTATACTTATTTCCTAAGGAACATCCGAAAGGCAAAGCATGTGTTAAAAGTGAAATCTTACATCATATTGGGTTCTGTTTATTCTCTTCAAGGAAGAGAAAGTCCCACCGAACACGTGTTAAAGTAGCAGAATCACAAAAGACGGTTGATTATTCCTGGGAAATTTTGTTTTATTCGGGAGACATTTCCTGGTTCAATTCTCTTCTCATTTTCTTTACGGAGAAAGTGAGAGCTTTCTTACTCAATTAAAGATGCTTTCGTTCACCAAGAATTAAAGATTCAATTAATGGCCGGTGGAATATCACCCAAATTAACTATTTAACCAAACCGCTAATCCAGCTGAGGAATTTTTTTTTTAGAATGGGAAATCGCAAAAATATAGATCGGTTAGGCAAAATCGTAAGTTTAGCACCCTGTCAAACAACCGTGGTTTGACGGGGACCTATCAAACTGCAACAGTTCAATAGGGTAGTTGGTCAAAATAAAAAATAAAAAAAGTACATAAACAGTGACGCTACAGTGATTGGTAGGGGCATGTCGAACTACCCATGTTCGATATGTTTGATGAACAGTGCCACTACAGTGATAATTCTCTTTTTTAAAATTTTTTTATCACCTCGACAAGTACCATGTCGAAGATAGATACCCTGTCGAACAACCGACCTATATTTTTGTGATTTTCGTCTAACCGACCTATATTTTTGTGATTTTACTTAAAATCGTATTATTTCTTAAAATAAATTCTGCAGCTGAGTGCTACACTGTTTTGCTCTCTCCGCATCTTTGATAAAGTCGATGTAGCCCAATTCTGTGAAGATATAAACAACATTCACAAAAATAGTACGATCAATTGTTACGAACTTACAAACTGAATCGCAAAACCAAGAACGGTGTTCAGCCAACAGAAAATTAACTCGGGGTTTTGCAGGCGGCAGCTTGCGCTGCATCACGGAAACATCCGATTGTGCATCACGCACGGGTTAATTAACAAAACTCAACTTGTTTCTAAGTAGGGAAAAACAAACTAGAGAACGAAAGAAATTAATGTTTGTTTTTGAAAAAAAAAAAAGAGAACGAAATGGAAGAGATTGAAGATACATGCATGCATGAATCGTTGATAGTCTGATGAAGTTGGATTGACCAAAAAATAATAATTGTCAACTCCTAACTCCAACCTCCACTGGATGATTTTTTTTTTTTGAGCCGATAATCATTTGAGTTATCATTTTTCTCACCTGCACTCGAGCTTATCACTTTCAGCTCACCAAAAACCCGAACCTTGTAACCCATTTTTGTACACCCCGATCGGACCGTCCGATACACCGACTGTCCTGCATCCAACGGCCGAGATCGATCGCTCTGCACCAATCAAATGGAGTACAAGCGACACGTACCCACGTAACATCCATTAAATTACTTGGAGTCTTCCTCGCAGTCAACCGTCCATAAAAAATTTTCGGCTCCCGCCGTGTTCGTTGATAATTGGTTCGGATCCCCGCTGCTTCGTCGCAAATTAAAAGAATCTCTTGAAAAAGATGTGCCACCCAACGCCGCAACCGCAAGGTGAATTGGAATTGCCCTGAAACCGGTAGTAGCATCTGTGTGCACGCATAATCTCAGTATAAAAGCCCGCGACATCACGCTATATCTGCTAATCTGCTCTGCTCTGACACAAACCAATTCGATCAATTCTGCTCTCTCTTCAGATCGAACGCTAGCTTGCTCGATCTGTTGCAAAATTGTACGGCGCCATGAGGGTAAATTTGCTCTCTCTTCAGAATTCAGATTGATTGATTGGTCTTAGTGACGATATATGAAGATGAATTGAATTTTCTTTTCTTTTTTTTCTAATGGATATATGTTGCTGTGTTCTTCTTGCAGACGGAGATGCTTATCAGGATGCAGGCGAGCTCGGAGAAGAATGGGAACGCCAAGGCCATGAAGGTGGCGGCGGCGATGGACGGCGTCGAGTCCGTGACGCTGGCCGGGGAAGGTCGGAACCTGCTGCGGGTGGTCGGCTCCGGCGTCGACTCCAACCACCTCACCAGCCGCCTCCGCCGGAAGGTCGGCCACGCCGACATCGTCGAGCTCCGCACCCTGCACGACACCTACCCACGTGGCGCCGCCGCCGGCAGCTACGCCGCCACCTCAACGAGCGGCCGCCTCGGCAGCAGCAACGGCGGTTACTACTACTCCTCCCAGCTCTCCGCCGGGCGCGGCGGCGCCTACAGCTCCGGCGGCCACCAGCTGTACGGCGGCGGCTACGACTCGCCGTACTACCACCAGGCGCCGCAGCATCCGTACGACGGCGGCTACTACCCGTCGCCGTACGGCGCCGCCGCGGTGCAGCACGAGTACTACACGACGAGCAGCAACGACGATCCCAACGGCTGCTCCATCATGTAGCAACGACTATAGTTTAAGCTTAGCTATTGTGTATAGCTGTTTCTATTTTTTTTTTCTATGATTTCTTCTTCTCATTTCATTTCGGTGAGGTTTGAGCAGTGTTTACTACTACTATTTGCTGGTGAGGCTGCTAAATAACTGGGGAAATTTGTGCTTCAGTTGATTTGTTTGTTCATCTCTGCATGTAAACAGATTTGTGTGAAGCCGTGATCGGTCGAGATAGAGGGGCTATGGTTTTTGTCAGCCCCTTCGATCGTTCCATTTGATTGTAATTAATTGTTAATTTGCAGCTGTGTTGTTTTCAGATCTGCCAAGATAAATCAGTGTGAAATGCAGAAATGATGAATGAATTTTCAGAGATGCACATCGACCGACATTGATTGGCTGAATCTTTTTTCCTTTCGGGAAGTAGGAATCGATCCTTTACACTGCAGAACACACTAGTACACCATATTTGTGTGAATTGTTTTCACATAACGTAACGTGGAAGCTAGTCAGTAGTCACCTAGATATACAAATTAAGCAACAGAACAAGTCGTGTTATCGGTAAATTATCATCTCTTGTATTGCACATTTGTCTTCTGGGGCTAATGACAATTGTCAAGAGTTCGGGTGATTCATAGTCACACCAAACGTAGATAATTGGATGATTTGATGTGTTAGACACAGAGACAACGACAGAGGGTGGATGGGAGATCAGTCTTAGCCATCGCTGTATTGAGTTGCCTTTCTGCCAGGCTCCACAATATTGGGAGAAGGCAGAGCACAGATAAAAGGTCTTGCGCAATCCAAGTGAGAAAATTGACATTTGTCAACAAAATGGAAGAAAAATATGGCTTATGTATTTAATTAAACCTCTGCAGTATTACACAGAGCATCTTTAATAAGTATTGAACGGAAAAATATATAGTGTCCAGTATAAACTTCATGTACAGTACAAACATGAAAACTATATATCATCAGATACATGAATGTACACACCTAAGATGGAGAGTAAAAAATTTACTCAAAATAATATGGACAAATCACATATATCTATTTGTGCATCCTATGATAGCTTTTTAGTTTACACTACACAGTTTCCCGTGTTGGATAGAGTATCTATCATTAAATATGTTGTTTAGAAATAGAGCGGATTTTTTTTACTTTGGACCACACTTTATTATCAAAAATTTTGTTTTCGATCCTCATTTGATCTATCTTCTCACTTTGTACCAAATAATTTTATATTTGTTATACTTTAGTCCACCTTAACTCTCTTTTCAAGCCATATCTATCAAATCCTTAGGCAAAAATATGGCTGGGGCATGGATGAGGGAGTTTATTGAGGTGTGAGTGATCCAAATTAAAACTTTGTTAATAAAATATGGTACAAAGTATAATTAACTCTTAGAAATATACTAAGTCGTATGTTAACAGTTTAATTTTGAGCTTGACCAACTATTAATTAAATAATATTTAGGTTTTTCAAAAAAAATATTATTGTATTCATGTTCAAAAATACTAGACCATGAGTATGGTTCTATAACTTTGAGCAAAATTGTGTAAGAGATATTTACAATCAAATTTCATTGTTAGGCAGTTAATATAGTACGTGATGTGATATATTTCAGTACTATAAATCGATGTGACATATGCTAATATCATGAATCTGAACATTTATTTATTCAGATTCGTGATACTGAGATATATCCTACTCCCTCATCCCATTTTAAGTACAACCATAAGTTTCCGTGTCTAATGTTCGATGGAGTATAGCTAGCTTTTGGTCGGGAAAGCATTCCAAGGATCGAAACGGTAATTTCCCGTCTGTACAACGATGCGTCGTCGATGACTCGATGGCAACCCCACCCGGCCAGATTAAGCAACGTCGCGAGCACGGTTAAGTTAACCAACATACTTGCGCAAGTTGCACATGGACATACCCGTGCAGTTAATTAGTTTGGTCGCACGCGCGCGATCCTTTTCTCCGCCCCCTAGCTGCTAATTAACATGTTGCGTCATCGGAGACGGGATCGGAGGACGTGTTTTCCGTGACGCGCGCGCCACTGCGCCTCGCCGACCGCCCCCGATCGACGACGTATAAAAACGAGTACGACGACTTGGACATGAGTCCGCGGGTTTTAATTTTCGCCCGTCGCCACCGGTGTACATGTGGATCAGCTACCGCGCGCGCGCCCACGTATATATCACGATCGGCCACCGAGTTTAGCACGTACGTACGTTTCGCGATCTCAGCGGCAGTTTTCCTAGCTAGCCCATGTGGCATACGATGCGTACCCAAAGTAGCTAGTGTCGCGCGCGCGCGCGACTCGCGCCTACGATCCTGTACGTGGTCGAATCCCTGTCCAAGCAATCTAGTCCTAGCAGCAGCAGCAGCAGCTACGACACGTATACGTACGATCGAGAAGGTACAGTACGCACGTTGCGTTGCGCGTGGCACGAATTGCCAGGAACTTGAGCTCGGTGCTTCAGTTTCTCGCCATATATGATTGATTTTATCATATCTTTCTCGCTGATCCGTCGACGACGTTTAATTTGGCCGGTTTCATGCAATAGTTCTTGGCCACAGCTGGTTAATGAGCCGATCGATCCCTACTCTGGTAGTATTAGTTGTTTGGTACATCGCGATTTGCTCCTGGAAGCAGTGGGCGGTGGCGCCGATAGAGAGCGAGCGAGCTAGCTTAGAGCATCTCCAATAGCCTCTTCAAATTAACCTCTCCAAAAACTCATATAGCCAACTCTCTATCTAATTTGGCTAGTTAAATTAGATGATCACTCCAACAGACTCTCTACTGATCCTCTCCAAAATAACAAAGGACCCACATGTCAGTCTCTACTCCTCTTCTTCCCCCCCCCCTCTCTCTCTCTCTTCCTTCCTTCTTTTTCTTTTTCTCTTTCCTTCCTTCTCATCGTCGCACGGAGGGCGCGGCGCCGGCAAAGGACGACGATGGCAGAGGGACGGCGTCGGCAAAGCAGAGGGCAGCGCCGTGGAGGGGCGGCGCTGTGGAGGGGCGGCGCGGAGGGACAGTGGCGCGGAGGGGCGACGGCGGCGTAGGGGCGGCGCGTGGAAGGGTGGCGCGGAGGGGCGCCGCCAGCGGAGGGGCGGTGGGGCGGAGCCGGCGGACGGGCAGCGGCGCGAAGCGGCGAAGGCGCGGCGCCGACGCTCATCTGACGAGAGAGAGAAGGGGGAAAAGAGATGGGACCCACAATTTGGCTAGGTTATTTTGGCTGGCCAAATTTGGCCAGCGGGAGGAGTAGTTTGGCTAGCCGGATGGCTTAGCCATCCGGTTAGCTAGTCTGTTGGAGCATGATTTGCTTTAAAATTGCTAAAATTTAACTTGGAGAGTTGAATAAGGAGGCTGTTGGAGATGCTCTTAGGCCGGACCATGTACGTACATGTGTATGTACTGTTCAGTACTCTCTCTATCTTTTTTTATAGACATATTTTCAAATCTGAAAAATTTACTTTTGATAAGCATATTTCAATCCAACCACCTATTATCTTAATGACTTTCTCGGATTTAATGCATGACTCTCTATTCTTCTACACAAGATTAGTTATATGGACATCGAGAAATGTAAATATTAATGAATCACTTATTTATGAGAAATAACTAGTAGCATATTTAAATAAATGATAAGTAAAATTACTTATTCTTAGTCATTGTGCCAAGATGAAATATAACTATCACCGATCTCTACAAGTGTAGCGAGGGATAACAATCGACGATAGATGATGTGACGCCGACGAACCATGCAAATTAAATGATCATGCATGTAGATATATATCCATCGGCTTTAATTCGATACATGTATTTGCTGAAACTATATGTGTCGGTATCAAATTATCTAATCTCCTTTTTGTCAGTTCGTTTAATTTGCCATACCCCAGACCGATCTCGATCGGGTATGTCCTCCGTGCGTGCAACACTCGGAATTGCTCCACAACTAACTTGCGACAGTAAGCTAGGCTATATATTGGCACGTCGGGCACGTGAAATATTTTGTTTTGATACACAGAGCGCAAGCAAGATAACCATGCCATCAATTTTCTTAGACAGATCAGATCGATCTCGGGTAGATGATCTTCTTCTTCTTTTTTTTGTTTATTGCAACTGCTTGACTATAGGTCTACTACAAATGCTTTTTAACTCCGCCGTGCATGCAGAAGCTAGCTAGTGGAAACGTGCGCGGAAAAGAACCACATTTAGTCAATCCACTTTCTAGTGTGTGTGTATATGTTCATCCATTTTAAACTTATACTACCTTCATTTTTTTTAATAAATAAAGCTGTTGGCTTTTAAAATAGCGTTTGATCGCTTGTCTTATTTAAAAATTTCGTGTAAATATACTAAAATATAAGTCATATTTAAAAGTGTGTTTAATAATAGAACAAGTCATAATAAATATATAATTTTTATATAATTTTTAAATAGGACAGATGGTCAAATGTTATGCTAAAAATAATCAATGATATCGTCTACTGAAAACAGCTTTTGAACCGTGGGTGTTAAAGATTTTGAGTTGCATTTGGATGCAACAACTGTTAAAGTTACTTGTCTACTACTCCCTTCATCTCGAAAAAGATTAACTTAGGTGGGAAGGACAACGAATCTGAATCCAGATTTATTGTTTTAGATGGTGTTAAATCTTCATTTAGGTTTTTTTTTAAAAAAAACGAATAGGGTATATTTTTATGGTACATGGAAAAGTTATCGACCAACATGAATTATTTTTTACTAAAATAATTACACGTGACCAAAACAATACTACTACGACGACGACGAAATTCAAGTAAAGGCACGTGGTGGTGGACGTCTGCTCCCGTCAGCAAGGAGATCCTGGCATGTTTGGCTGATATATCTCGTATGATATTTGTGAGTGGATGGGCCTTTTGTTTATGCATAAACAAAATCCATATGGATTGTTTTGGGGGCCCAACAGTGAGACATGCCCTGTATAATAATCCTCCCCTTCGAGATAACTACACACAAAGCCGAGCCAAAGTCTCTAGGTCAAAGTCAACAGTTAAATATGCATTTCTCTCAAGGTCTATCTAATCAGTGTGTTTCTTTCGCTTGGCTACCAAGTACTAGTACCAAATAAACAAGATATTATGGTATTGTCAAATAAACAAGATATTATGGTATTGTCACACATGGCAGGTACAAACCACTGAGCTAACCACAGTAGCTCACAGGCCATTATCCTGTCAGTACTTAAGAGAGTGAAGCACGCAACACACGGTTGCTAATCTCCTTAGCCCTCTCCTCCATTGGAGCTATAGCTAGCAAACTTTTTTTTTTTACTGAGCAAATTCAGTTAGCGAAGCGAAAACCATGAAGGTAATTAACATGGTTCCTTTTCTCTCATGATTCCCGTGTTTCTGCAAGTTTGAGTTCGAATTTGGTGTGTTTTAATTTCTACGAGTTGCACCACGAATTGGTGCGTGTTTTATGGAGGTTTATTTGCAGAGTTTAATTGGTGTTTCCTCTGAAAGTTTCTTCTACGTACATATTTTGCTTTGGTCTGCTTGAAACTTTTTGTCCGAGACACAGGCGAGATTTTAGTTAATCCATGTCTGAAGAACTTATCTGTGAAATCCATGCGTTGAAAATTTCAGAAGGAGATCATTATCAGGATTTCCGTGAAAACCGACAAATGCCAGAAGAAGGCCATGAAAGAGGCTGCTACTGTCAGCGGTAATCATCTTTGTTTTGATCTTGTTTTGAATGCGAAATCGTGGTTGTGTTCTTGTTGATTTCATGGTTGATTTGATTCCGGTCGAGCTGCAGGGGTGCAGTCGGTGACGCTGGCCGGCGGCGACCGGAACCTGCTGCTGGTGATCGGCGAGGGCGTGGACACGAACAAGCTGACCAAGAAGCTCAAGAGGAAGGTGGGCTCCGGTGAGATCGTCGAGCTGAGGACCGTCGACACGTTCGAGGCGGCGGCGGCGATGTTCCCGGGCGGGATGATCATGCCGCCGCCGGCGCCGGGGAGCAAGGACGCCGCCGCCGCCAGGGCGATGGCGACGACGCGGGCGTCGCCGTACCACTACCAGCCGTCGCCGTACGGCCCGTACCACCAGCAGCAGCAGTGGCAGCCGCCGTACGCCATGGCGCCCAGCCCGTACGCGTACCCGTACCAGTACCACCCGTCGCCGATGGCGATGGCCGCCGGCGGCGGCGGCTACGGCTACGGCGGCAGCAGCTACTCCCGCGCGGTGGCGCTCAGCCACCCGGCCATCTACTCGCCGCTGGTGGAGAAGCACGACTACCACCCCATGAACCACTCCACCACCACCAAGAAGAAGACCACCACCACCACCACCACCACCGGCGCCGGCACCGGCCGCGCCGCCGCCGCAGCCGCCGGCGGCAAGACCTTCAAGGCGGTGTCCCGCTCCCGCCGCCACCACGAGAGCGACAGCAACGCCTGCTGCATTCTCTAGCACCAAATTAATCTCGATCCATAAAATTACCTATATATGTGCATGCATGTACATATGTGTGATTTTGCTTGTTGCTTTCTTGCCTTGTTCTTTTCCATTTTTGAAGGTCGTTAACCTTTTGCTGCTTTCTTTTGCGGTTAATTAATTTGGCAGCTTTTGCTGCACAACCTAGTGAATTAACCATGTATAATAATAAAACTGTATATCGTAAAAACTGTACCTGTAAAACTCTGTTACTGCTTGGATTTCTTCAGAGATTATCTGAAGTTCTTGCAAGAACAACACCTCTCCTATTACAGAAGAGTGGTAGCTTTGTCTTGTACTATTAAAGATTGTGATGCAAAACTACTCCCAGATTTACAATTCATCTCGGTTAGAGACTACAGAAGAGTAGTAAACGATCAAAGGAACAGGGAACTGCAAAAGACAGTAAATTGAATAACTGATAAAGATCAAGGAATAGAGAACTGTAGAAGTAGAAGCTAACTTGCTAGATACGCACACCGTTAATTGTTTGGATTAGTTGATGGAAACCAAATTGCAGCTTCAGAAGATTAAACAAAAAAAAAATTCCTGTAGCAAGTCACCATCAGTACAGAGAGTCAGAGAAGATAGATATTGAAGCATCCCGAGAATCCAATCAGCACTCACTCGACATCGATTAAACATAGCAACCGATCGTCATCGTCGCGCCCCCGTTTCTGAACTATTTTAATTCCTTGAGCTGATGCCAGACGCAAAAGGGATAGTTAACCGGCATTGCTTCTTGGCTGGACTTCAAATTCTTTCAGCACTTTCACTTTTTAGTTTGAGTTGAGTCCCGATCAGCTTTCTAGGCTCCGTTTCTGATTTCCAAATGGAGATTTGTCAAATGTTAATTGTCAGTAGTAAGGTAGCACAAAACAAAAACCACCCTAGTTAAACTATTGGGTGATTGTAAGCTTCATCTCAAATTTAGCAGATTATTTACACGCACTACGCAAATTTATAAATTGAAATGAAAATTTTACAAGTTTATTTACTAAATTATTCTCCCTCTGTTTCAGATTATAAGACGTTTTGACTTTGGTCAAAGTCAAACTGATTTAAGTTTGTCCATGTTTATAGAAAAAAGTAATAATATTTTTAATCCAAGATAAATTTATTATAAAAATATATTCAATTGTAGATTTGATGAAACTAATTTAGTATTATAAATATTACTATATTTGTCTATAAACTTAGTCAAACTTAAAACCGTTTGACTTTGATTAAAGTCAAAATTTTTTATAACCTGAAACAGATGGAGTACATATCTGTTGAATAATCTCACGTTGGTTGTGGAAAGGCAAGTGGCCTAATATATAAGTGGGGGACCCCCTCACCTCATTGGCTAGCTTTTGGGGTGGAAAATACCCTTCACGATCATACAATTTGTATCAGAGCCTGGTTAGTTCAACATCTGGTGAAGGGGTGGTAAAGGGCTGAGGTACGTGTGAAGGCCTGATGGACCGTGGATCTCACGTTACCTCATTGGTCAGCTTTTGGGGTGGGAAAGGGGCAGTAAAGGGTTGAGGTACACCAATGTGTGAAAGTAGACCTAATATATAAGGGCATCCACAATGTAAGCCATTCCTAGAGTGTCCTCACTAACTGAGGACACTCGTAGGGGAACTCAGCTCGCAATGGAGAACACCCCTGGATGGGCTCCTCAAAATCCCAACCTATAAAGCCACAAGTGTTGTTTTCCTCTTCTACCCCTCTCTTCAAACTAAGGAATTTGAAGACATGAAGCATTCAAAATACACGAATATATTCAACACATGAATTTTCCATCAGCAACGGGTAGCCTCAGGGGCGTGTCCCTAGCTCCTTCCGTCCATCTCCATTTGCTTTTTTCGTTCGCACCGTCCCCCAGCGACGCCACGCGACTCCTGCCTGGGCGACGCGGCTCCTCCTCCTTTTCGGCCAGGGGACGGGCTCGAGGCACGCGTTGCGGCGACGGGTGCTCCACCTCCATATTCCCCTTCCACCCCTCTCCCCCCTCTCTCCTGTTCCCCTCGAGCTCAAGCCGGAGGGAGCTCATGGGCGGCGCTATGTGGCGGAGTCGACGGCGGCGTGGTGGGGCAAAGTCGCAAACCACGCAGCTCGAGCTTGTGCTGACCATGGTGGCAGCTCGCTCCTACCGTGCGCCCGCTTCAATTGCTCCGCCTCGCTTGCTTCGCCCGGTACCCAGCTCGGCCGCGCACGCGAGCTCGTCGGCCGACTGTCGCCTTGCTTGCTTCGGCCGGTACCTAGCTCGGCCACGCACGCGAGCTCGCTACGCCATCCACCAAGCTCACCATCGGTTTGCTGCTCTCGATGCCTCTAGAAGATTGGGGGAAAAGATGAGATAGAGTAGTACAGATGATGCGGTGAATGGCTATGAACGAAGAGGATAAGATAGAGTAGTACAGATGATGCGGTGAAGTAGTACTAGTACTTGAGAGTGAGATAGAAAATAGTATCCTATTGCTTAATTAGATTATAATATATAGGTTATCCTTGATTGGTCCCTCACCTCGTTGAATAGCTTTTGGGTGGGAAAGGCTCTTTACGTTTCTTCGATTTACTTTTATCATAAACCAAGCCGCATTCCGGTGTACTGGCTAATGGACTTTTCTCAACTTATACACTACCATTTTGGTTTATAAAACGAGATAACTTTTAAATCCTTATTTAGGCTCAGCGATCAGTGGCCAAGGGACAACTGCCGTTCCGTGAATGAAGTCAAGTCAAGGATTGTTGTATGTTTGCTCCAAGAGTCAATTAAACGCTTAGGTTATTAGGACGGTTTCACACGTTCATTTTTCAACATGGTGAGATGGACCACCGGGAAATTGGGTTTATTTTGTTGACAAATAGGATAGCTAGCTGTACCGATCATGCATGCTCATGTCACGAAATGACAACAGTAGATTAGGGGGAGACGACATACTCGAATCTCCTTGATATATTCCCTCTAGAACAAACTTGGACAACCAACATGATTGTTGGAATACTTGCAACTGTTGAACTTGTTCGTAAGTATTTTCAATGAAGAATTATTCAAGTAAAAAAAACAGAACAGTAGTTTGTCCTTTCTCTAGAAAATATGAGAGTTTTCATTTTTAAATAAGAAAGGTATAAATCCCTGGTATCTGCATCCGACGTCAACTTAAGGATGCACATTACCACTACATTAGCTAAATGTTAATTGAGACCTAAAACGACTAAGAAGAAAGAACAACATGATAAAAACTTATCAATGCTAAGACTGGTCTGAAATGGAAAAAAAAAATCTGAACCTGTCATTGAAACCATAGGCCGACCAACCACAAAATTGCAATAGTTTTTTTAGCGAGGAGATATTTCAAGCTTCATTCCTACAATAACGCTTTCAAAGAAAGGGTACAACTTGTACAATCGTCATCAAAATCCAATCAGTACAAAATTTTCACCTTAGTGTATATGTACCATTCTCCTGTACACATCTTCAAGACTAGGACATCCAATATATCCAATGTTTTTGGACATCCAATCCAATGTTTGATGCTTTCACTGTCTCCAACCAGTGAATGCCAAAACCAGTTTTTCCACCTCAAGAAGAGCATCAAAAGACTATGCCTGGGTATGGGCTTCTTTTACAATTACACGACATACACACACGCAGACACATCACTGCACACGTAAGATGATACTCAGTAGTACATCCATAATCTCACTACAATCTCGTTAGAAACCTATCTGCATAAACGTAATATTTGTGGGTACCAGAATTTAAACTCCGACGAATGAAGTCATTCGCCCATGACTCCACGCCCCCGACTATTCGCTAAATTCAACCAATAGTAACTTATCCTCACTAATTAGGAAGCCAATATAAACCCTATGTTTCAATCTATTATATTATTAAAGGAATAGAAAAATGAGCCTCCACGTTCGCTCTCATGGCCTAGAAATTGTCACATTAATCGGAGAAAAAGAAAAAGCAGAGTCCATATAGAAATACAATTTAGAAATAGCTGAAATTCGGAATTGAAAAATAAGGAATATTAGAAGAGGAGACTAGAGTCCATATAGAAATACAATTTAGAAATAGTTGAAATTCGGAATTAAAAAATAAGGAATATTAGAAGAGGAGACTAGACTCCATATAGAAATACAATTAGGAAATAACTGAAATTCGGAATTAAAAATAAGGAATATTAGAAGTAGAGTATAGAGTCCATATATAAATACAATTAAGAAAAATATAGAAATTCGGAATTAAAAAATAATGAATATTAGAAATAGAGTATAGAGTCCATATAGGAATTTAAAACTAAGTAAAATTCGGAATAAACATAATAAAATTAAAAGTAGAGTTTTAGTCCGTATAAAAATACAATTTACAAATAACTAAAATTCGAAATTAAGAAAAACATGGGAAGAAGAGTTTAAAGTCAATATAGGAATATAATTAGAAGTAACTGAAATTCGAAATTAAAAATTAAAGAATATTGAAAGATGAGTTTAGAGTCCACATAGAAATACAATTAGAAATAATAAAAATTCAGAAATAAAAATAAATAATATTGGAAGAAGAGCCTAGAGTCTATATAGAAATACAATTTACAGAAAATTCGGAATTAAAAAAATATATTAAAAGATGAGTCTAGAGTCCATATAGGAATATATATAATTTACAAATAACTAAAATTTGATATTAAAAATAATTAATAACTAACACATATGTAAAATACAATATGAATATTACACATTTGTAGTTTCGTAAAGTTATTGAAAAATTTAAAATTATGATGTTATTTTAATATATTTGAATAATATAATGAGAAAACATATATGCTATTATATGAGAAAAATATAATGATGCTAGCCGCGCAATCTGCGCGGGCCACCATGCTAGTTAGGTGTTAAGAGAAGCAAATTTTGAGGATGGTCGTGATTACATTCAAAGCCAATAATACAACCGTTTGATCTTAATGTTTGATGAGCATGATCTCTTCCTCTGTTGTTACATTTTCATTTTCAAATTGAACTATTTGCATATTGCTGTGCTCATCACAGTAACACAACTTATTATATATACTGCCATAAGCGTATCTTTCATGGGAGTAACTTTTATACTCCAATCATAAAAACCTAAGGGCCTCTTTGTTTTGGAGGAAAAATATAGAAATTTCCTATAGGATTTTAGGAAAATTTCTTATGAAGCCCTTTGAAACAAAGAATTGAATCCTATCCAATACTTTGAAATTCCTATGGAATGGACAATCCTATAGAGATTTTGGAGAAAATTTAGCAAGAGCTTCAACCTCTTGCTAACTTTCCTTTGAGTCTATCTCTCATCCAATTCCTGTATTTTTCATGTGGTTTAATCAAACGGTCATTCCTGTGTTTTTCCTGCGTTTTGCAATCCTCTATTTTACACTTACATTTCTATCAAAATCCTACGTTTTTCCTATTCATACGTTTTCTCAATCCTGCGATTCAAAGGGCCCTAAATTCATACGTTTCATAACCAATTTTGTTCACGGTGACGTGAACAAATCCAAGAAACTTTTATATGCTGTAAAATATAAGATGAATAAAAAACAATCAAGAATCTGAATTTTTTTCAGACACGGATACCAAATACTACTACGAATTCAAATTTGAAGAGACTACAAATAATTGGATGGACTTCTAAACTTCTAACGAATTCCCTCGTTATTACCGTTCTACCCTCTATCTCTGGCTCTTCGCGTGCTCAACCGCTAATTCCCTCCCCTCTCCTCTCTCCCTCCGATCATTCGCGGCGGCGGCGGCGGCGACCGGCGACCGGCGGCCATGCGGGTGGCACCCAAGGTCCTCGTCCTCGTCCGCGACGCCGCCGGCTACGGCGCCGCCCTCGCCGACGCGCTCCGCCCAACGCCGGGGCTCACGAGGTCCCCCCTCTAAAACCCTAGCCTCTCTCTCTCTCTCTCTCTCTCTCTCTCTCTCTCTCCACAAAAGGACCAAAATCCAGCGCCTTACGGTAGCTGACCCGTCGTCGCTGGATGCTTTTGCAGGGAATCCACGCCCCTGGAGCTCCCCCTCGCCAAGTACGGCCTCGACGGGGAGAAGGCCTCCGGCGAGCTCGTGAACTTCTCCGATTCTAGTGGCGATCCGCAGGTAAGCGTCCCTTTTTGGCTTTTGGCCCCGTCTGATAGATCCAATTCGCGTGGTGTGAAGGTTTTGGATCAACAATTAGCTGCTTGAGCTAAATGGAAAGCATTTTCTTTTGGGGGAATGAACCACACGGTTCCTGGAATAAGCAATTGTAGGGGGAAATTAGTTATCGTGCACAAATGTACTGTGTTGAGCTGGCAGATTAGCCTCTGTTTGGCTGCATACTAGGATATTTTCGTTTGGTTTTATGATTATTATAGTTAGAAGTTTTGGAGCAATGTCAGTGAACCGAAAGATATAGGGTTGTTTTGTTTGATGCCGATTCTTGCCCTACCAGTTATAAATGGTAGCTTCAATTGGTACTATGTGGCCATTTGGATTGGAACCAAAATTTGCCGATCTATAATGCTAATCTATGGGTTGTTTTGTTTGATGCCAATTCTTGCCCTACAACAACTTTGGTAGGCTTCAAACCAAAACGGCCTATATGTCGCAATTTTACTGAAATGCGTGAATACTATAACTTACTCTTACGATATGGTTTAGTCACTTAGTAAATCTTGCGTCTTGGGGTTTGATGTGGTATGCACCAATCAACTTACTGGCGAGTGTGTTTTGGAGGCACAGAAAACTTTGTTGCCGAGGAAGAGAGAACTGATGGTTTCAGTATGAACATATGTGTTGTATCTGAGTTTTTGGAACTGATTATCATCAATTCATCATGATTCAGTTTGAGCACTTGATATATGAAGCCTGAGTTGTATTTGTCAGTTGTCACTCTTTTGATTGCTGCGAGCCTATTACCCTTCATTTTGAACTGACTTATATAAGCATGCGTTCATGTATACTGGGCTTATTTCTGTCGGTGAAGATCTTTGTACTTCCTGTCTAGCAAACATAGAATAGACACTTCTGTTTTCATGGTTATGGATGTAGCGCTCTAAATTATCTTGTTGCATTTGGTCAGCGCAAAAATTACATATTTTACAGTTGATTAAATGGTACCTCATATTATGGTGGAACAACCTGAGGCAATCCAGTGCAAAAGGCTACTTTTTTGTGATTTACTGGTTGTCATAATTTTTTCAGATGGGCAGGTTTACCTTGTGCCCTAGATCTATTGATTTCATGTTGCTTTGCCCTGTTAGGAAAGGTTAATTTTCATGTCTTATGGTTAACTGCTAGTCAGCTGGCACCTGATAGCTTTTGCAGTTTTCACATTATGCAATTGTAAGGTCGTAGAACTGTTGTCATGCACTCTCTCTTTCAATGTCACTTTATACAGTTCTGCAGTTCTTTGATGACCAATAGATACTGAATGACTGGCTGACCAACTATATATAGTTTTTTACCTATTTCTTTTTATTATTACTTGGGAGTGTTCATTTCTTTCTGATATATTTAATTTCTGTTAACTTTTGCCAGGTGTCCTTTTTTGTCCTACCAGACTATAAGCCTCCTGTTGCAGCATGTGCTATGAATGAGATTTTAGCATTGGTTTCTTCGGAAGCTCCATCCACTCAGCCAACCCTCATTGTCCCATTTATGACAAGATCGCCAAACTATTATCATGGAGCAAAAACAGGACAGTTAGCTACACTCCATGGTGCTGAAATAGGAGCAACAACTGAGTTTACTCAGATGTTAGTTGACGGAACTACTAAACTTCCTCAATCTTTACAAGTGCGAAGTGAGCCAATACTCTGTTTGCTGGAAATGGTACGTGTGTTGAATATACCGACAGTTATTCTTTTTGCATCCGGTGGGCAGCACCAAGGAAAAAGCTCTACAGATGTGGACCTTGAGGTACATACTCACTGACTGCTGAGTTCCAATTGAATTTTGCTTTGCAGTTTATTTCTTCTTTCTCTTGTTCTAAATGAAGATAAGTGCAGAATAGGAAACTACTACAGTTTTAATGGCTAAGCTTGAAGTCAATTTTATGGTAATATAGTAAATGAGAAAAGGTTAACCTGTAGACTTGGTATCTTGAAAATATTATGTTAGAACCAAGATTGAAGTTGAACTATAAAATATGTGTCCAGTAATAGGAAAATGTGCTCTATGTCCTCTTCTTTCCAAATAGAAATCCAGAAACCATGATGTTTCCAAATAATTGTATGTATATCATCATGATGTCGGAAATAATATTATAATGGTTAGAGATCTGAACTTTCAGCACTTCCATTTCATGATGTAAGTCTGCAATATTAAGCAATATACATGACAGTAAAAATTATGTAGGAAAAGGAAATAGTTTTTTAGTTTCGAGCAACTGTGATTCTGTGAAGGAGGCAAGGAGCTAGTCTTTTGGTAATTATATAAGGATTCTTGCGTAATTTTGTCTGCCCCACACTCCCACCCAGGAACTTCAACTTCTCTGTACCTGTTGCCACTATCTTCAAAATATATCTGCAGTTTTTATACTTGCATTTGTTGGCTCACCCCGACCCCTACCTGTTGTGCTTCAGGTGCTGCAGTGTGTAGGTGATCACTTGGCTAAGCACATCAACTTGGAATTCAGCAAAGAAACCGTTCTTCAGAGGGGGATCGAAAAATCACCCGTCTTTCAGGAACCATGGCGCGAACTGTACCAGTGACAGAATTCTGGCATGCCAGCACCCTCTGAATTTAGTTTTGTAGGCCTTACATGTTGGACTAGTACGGTGTACCGGAATGCTGGATTTATTCTGTCAAAGGGTGTGTAATATGACGCTCTGTTTGCTTCTGTTTACTTCCATCTTGATCAACTGCTTCTCATTCCTTGCTGCCACTCTAGAGCAAAGCTCCTATAAAATTATAGAAGAAACCGCTGGACTGGTCAATCTGGTCTTCTGGCAATCCTAATTTTCCCAAGGGTTGGTTGTTTGACTTGAGCGTGTAATGACTGGAATTAGTACTACAGAAGTTTGTCATCACTTGTTTGGTTGATGATTCGGTGCAGATATCACTGTTATCATTACATTTGGACATTTAAAGGTAACTACTAGTAGAATGCAAGAGGAAAAGGTATTTCATGTGTGCCTTCGTAAGAGATCGATTCTGATGTCCTATTGGTTCCTGAAATGTGCCAGAGCATCATGAATATGGACGATTAGATCGTTACTATGGGCTGTTAGTGTTTGAGGAATATTTGATCAAGGGAAAATACTGGGACTAGAATCTCGAATGTACTTATTAACTGAAACTAGATTTAACCATTGATATCACAATATTCATTCTGTCTATCACAGAACATCCATGCAAACTGGAAGAGCGCCTTTTTTTTTTCTGCATTTGTATGCTTTGGATTGGTACTAGAGAGAGAATGAACATAAAACCAGTCTCAAATATTGTACTCCCTCCGTCCTAAATATTGTACTTTGATCATTCGTTTTATTTAAAATTTTTTAAAAAAAAATTAAAAACATAAGTCACGAGTAAAATACTATTTATATTTTATTATCTCATAACAACAAAAATGCTAATTATAAAAAAATTTTAAATAAGACGGACGATCAAAGTTGAGCGTGGAAACTAATAGCTGCACTTATTTTGGTACGGAGATAGTAGTAGAGAAACTAACACGAGGCTCTAAGAAAAAGACATTTCAGAAGAAGCAACCGGTTCTGACGAATAAATAATTTTATTGGTCCACTTGTCAGAAACAAGCAAGAAAGAGGGATCCGGATCGTCTGCCGTAATAAGAGGAGAGAGTACGGATTGAGAGAAGAATTATATCGTTATCCGTGCCCACGCTTTCTTACCTATTAAACAGGGTGTTCTTTAAAAAAAATTATATAGAAAAGTTGCTTTAAATGATCATATTACTTTTTAAAAAAATTTAAATGAGTTACTCCCTCCGTTTCAGAATGGAAGTCATTCTAGCATTTCCCACATTCTATCTAGATTCATTAACATCAATATGAATGTGAGAAATGCTAGAATGACTTATATTGTGAAAAGGAGGAAGTAATACTCAATTAATCATGTGTTAATAACTCACGTCGTTTTACATATATTCTCCATATTCTTTTTTTCCTCTCGTCTCAAACACAACCGAGGAAACAATTATTGGTGACGTAGCTAAATCTTAGGTGTCCATTTCTAGATCCCAAAGTATTTTCCGTAACGCGCGTGCACTCACCTCTATGAGCGTATACACACAGATAGGTACATCGCATACTACTGAAAGAATAATTAGCTATAAATGCAAGTACCATGTGGGTTGGTTTCACCACAAGAAAAATAACCGATTGAGTTATGCTCACTTCACATAAAATGTAGCGTAAACTTGAAATACGTAGGATATAGAAATGGATTGGGCAAATGTCAAGTGCTCATTTCTTTGTCCTACGATAGTTTCTATATTTGTAATACATATGAAGTTTGCGCTACATATTTTTTTTTTATAGAACCTCCATTCGTAATTCATACAGTACTTTACATCGTTGCTTCATGTAATACATTAATTTATACCAGGTTTAAAATCAAAACTCTATCCATTTTTTAAAAATAAATCTACAAAGGAATGTGACACATTTTTATATGAATCTCGGCAGAAAATAGTTGCTCCCGAAATTGGAATCTGAAAATCGCTTCCGTTGGTGGTGTTCCTTGCGCAAATCTCGAAGCAGGGGCAGCGTCAAGCCGTCAACCCGGCTCCTGGCAAAGGAGCAGAGCCGAGATCCCCCAGCAATGGCGGCGGCGCAGTGAGCTCGCCGCCGATTGCCAACATGCGGGCGACGCCACCGCCGCCGCCGCGTCCCCCGGCTCGCGCGTACCCAGGAACGTCTCCCATGGGCTCGTCTCCAGCCTTGCCGCGCTCCACCAACCCGGCGGCGCTCCTCGCCCACCTCGCCGCCGTCCTCACCTCGCCCGACTGGTTCCTCAACCCTTCCCTGCCCCGCCTCCCTGCCCTGCTCACGCCGTCCCTGCCGGAGTCGCTCCCCGTCCCGCTCCCCGTCCGCCTCGCCGCCGCGGCGGCCAGGGTGGCCGCGCCGTCCCGCCACCTCCTCGCCGTCGCGCTCCCGGTCGTCCTCCGCCTCCACTCCCTCTCGCCCCCGCCGCTCCGCCCGCTCTTCGACCGCCCCTTCGCCTCCCTCCTCGCCCACCTCTCCCGCTTCGCCCTCGCGCCGCTCGCCCTCCGCCTCTTCGCCCACATGCACCGCCACGCCCCGCCGGCGCCGACAGCCCCCACCTACAACGCCGTCATCCGCTCCCTCTGCCGCCGCGCCGACCTCGCCCGCGCCCTGCGGTACCTCAGCCTCATGGTCCGCTCCGGCTGGCGCCCCGACGCCTACACGTTCAACTCCCTCATCGTCGGGTATTGCCGCACCAACCAGGTCGACGTTGCCCGCGACCTGTTCGACAAAATGCCCCTGAGAGGGTTCGCCCAGGACGTGGTCTCTTACGCCACGCTGATTGAGGGGCTTTGTGAGGCGGGGAGGATTGACGAGGCAGTGGAGTTGTTCGGGGAGATGGACCAGCCAGACATGCACATGTATGCAGCCTTAGTGAAGGGGTTGTGTAATGCGGAGCGGGGGGAGGAGGGGCTTCTCATGCTGCGTAGGATGAAGGAATTGGGGTGGCGGCCAAGCACCCGTGCTTATGCAGCTGTGGTTGATTTCCGGTGTAGGGAGCGTAAGGCCAAGGAGGCTGAGGAAATGCTTCAGGAGATGTTTGAAAAGGGATTGGCACCGTGTGTTGTGACATGCACTGCGGTGATAAATGCATATTGTAAGGAGGGAAGGATGAGCGATGCATTGAGGGTGTTGGAGTTGATGAAGTTGAGGGGGTGCAAGCCAAATGTGTGGACATATAATGCATTGGTCCAAGGGTTCTGTAATGAAGGAAAGGTGCACAAGGCGATGACTTTGTTGAACAAGATGAGAGCATGTGGAGTCAACCCAGATGCTGTGACATATAATTTGTTGATTCGGGGCCAATGCATTGATGGACATATAGAGAGTGCTTTCCGATTGCTACGTTTGATGGAAGGAGATGGTTTAATTGCTGATCAGTACACATATAATGCGTTGATCAATGCTCTCTGCAAGGATGGAAGAACTGATCAAGCTTGCTCCCTTTTTGATAGTCTAGAAACTAGAGGCATAAAACCTAATGCCGTGACATTCAATTCCTTGATAAATGGGTTATGCAAGTCTGGTAAAGCTGATATTGCATGGAAATTTTTGGAAAAGATGGTTTCTGCAGGTTGCACACCCGATACTTACACATACAGTTCATTTATTGAACACCTATGCAAGATGAAGGGGTCACAAGAAGGTCTGTCCTTTATAGGGGAGATGCTACAAAAGGATGTGAAGCCCTCAACAGTCAATTATACAATTGTGATTCATAAGCTTTTAAAGGAGAGAAACTATGGATTGGTTGCGAGAACCTGGGGCGAAATGGTTTCATCAGGTTGCAATCCTGATGTAGTCACTTATACAACGTCTATGCGTGCTTACTGCATTGAAGGAAGACTAAATGAAGCAGAAAATGTTTTGATGGAGATGAGCAAAAATGGGGTCACTGTAGATACAATGGCATACAATACTCTGATGGATGGACATGCAAGTATTGGACAGACAGATCATGCAGTCTCAATCTTGAAACAAATGACAAGTGTTGCTTCTGTGCCAAACCAGTTTACTTATTTTATCTTGCTTAGACATCTTGTACGCATGAGATTAGTGGAGGATGTGTTGCCTTTGACCCCAGCTGGTGTGTGGAAAGCCATAGAGCTTACTGATGTCTTTGGGTTGTTTGATGTAATGAAGAAGAACGAATTTCTTCCTAATTCAGGAACTTATTCTTCCATTCTAGAGGGGTTTTCTGAAGATGGAAGAACGGAAGAGGCGACATCGTTAGTTTCTCTTATGAAAGAAGATAGTATATCTCTGAATGAAGACATCTATACTGCTCTCGTTACTTGTTTTTGCAAATCCAAAAGGTATTTGGATGCATGGGTGTTGGTTTGCTCTATGATTCAACATGGTTTTATACCACAGTTGATGTCCTACCAACATCTGCTTTCTGGGCTTATTTGTGAAGGACAAACAGATAAGGCTAAAGAAATATTCATGAATTCTAGATGGAAAGACTATAGTCCCGATGAGATTGTGTGGAAAGTGATTATTGATGGCCTGATAAAAAAAGGTCACTCAGATATATCCCGTGAAATGATTATCATGTTAGAGCGTATGAACTGCAGACCAAGTCATCAAACCTATGCAATGCTGACTGAGGAATTACCTGACAGGGAATAATATGCCACACAAGTCTCATTCATCACTCGAAGCGAAATCCCCATCAGCTGTGCAAACTGGCATCTCATTAGGTGCTGTTCAAGCACAAGGTGCACCAAGTGATGTGAAATGGATCATCCAACATACTCTCTCACACACAAAATGAGTTCACGCTCTATTTGCTCTCTGGAAGGTACAAAACTGGTTCTTGGTATTATGACTTTGCTATTTATTTGTTACTCTCAGTACATGACTATATGTGTTGCTTCCCATAAAGCTTTTGACCGAAGTGTACAAATATAAAATTCCGCATTCCACCTGATCAATACTAACCTTAACTTTACTTACTGAATTGATACTAAATTCTCTAGCCTTCAGTGTGTTCACTGAATAATGTATGGCACCACATGAGAATCCGTAGCTCCTGAACTAAGAAAATAAAAGAACTCTAGATAATGGTGGAAGCACATATAACGACTTGATGCTATATGTTGACAATTCTTTGTTTTTTTTTTTGGAACATTGTGTCTGGATATCCACAAATAAGGTCCATAGAGTATAACTTTGACATTTACCCATGTGAACTATTTTTCTTGGCAAAGGAAGATTTTTGAGCTATACAAAACAACTTGCTGTACTTGGCAAGGTTAGTTAATTGCTTGGGTTATCAAGGGAAACAAACATTGACATATATCTGAGGTGTTCAGAGAAAGCATTCATAAATGTATCACTAAATTGATAGGCCGTCAGGAAAAATGATGAATTCCGTGATTTCTTGAAAAAAATGGCTTTGTTTTGTTATATGTTCCTTGAGTTCTCTAGACCATTCCTTGGATTTCCTTTTCCATGCGTAGTGTACAGATTTTCTGAGCAGAAACATCCCTTTTGATAAAGCTGTAGCGCTGTACTCGAAAGATAACTTGAGTTTGAAGCTTAATAGAAAAAGGATATCACCAAAAGATCATAAAGCTAATAATACCGTGTTCCTTTTCTTTGTAGAGCAGTGATTATCAGATTTTTGAAGACTGATATGAGCGCAAAGCATTTGAATCCAGATTGTGTGTGTGCCTGTACTATATCAGGTCGACAGATAGTGTTTACAGATTTGTAGGAGCCAAAAGTCCCATACCGCTATGGCAGGCTTCGCTACTTTATTATTTTATTGATCTGAAGAGAGGTTGCCAAGTTTGATTCGACGATTTTGTCACGGATCTTCTGAGTTACTGTGTGGCACAATTTCTGATGCTGGTTGTTGAACCGATGAGTGATCTGATTTTTTTGGGTGGCAAGTATTGTTGCCAGTAAAATATATGGAAGGGCCGAAAGATTTGGAAATGCACTCAGCGATCAGTTTCAATAAATCATCAACATAGGAATTACTGGTAAGCCTCTTTCAACTTTTGCATAATGAATCTTCAGTTCTAATTCCATGTGCAATATAGGTAGATTTATCTGTAATTGACTGACAAAATGTTCCAAGAGAAGGAACTAATCTGGTCGGCTACTAACTTGTTTGCACTGCCAGTAATATTGAAATAAGCAGCAATCTTGAAGGTGTGTACGCGCAACTCGAATAATATTTGCATTACGTTGGCGCTGTAAAAGGAAATCATGAGTTGATGCTACGATATCAGTACTGTTATATCGCTTGATTTGATGTCTGGAAGCAACGGGATACTCCCTCCGTTCCAAAAAAAAAAGACAAACCCTGGATTTACGTGTCCAACTTTGACTGTCTGTCTTATATGAAATTTTTTTATAATTCGTATTTTTATTGTTGTTGGATGATAAAACATGATTAATACTTTGTGCATGACTTGTCTTTTTAATTTTTTTTATAATTTTTTCAAATAAGACGGATGGTCAAACATTGGGCACGGAAACCAGGGTTTGTCTTTTTTTTTTTTGGGACGGAGGGAGTAGCTGACTAGAGCATAGTGACAATCTACAGAAGTCTCATTTCTTATGTTCAAGACCGACACATAGGATGCATATGGCACTACTTGTATAGTTACTATATGGTATCGGTATGTGTTATTCTGTCATATATGCTCACTTGTGCATTCCATCTTAGTACATTTATGTACTGATGAATAATCCATCTGGATGGTGCCAGGTCACAATCTGGGAAAGAAAGGAATCTATTAACGGACGGCCAAGATTCCCTGGCCCACTCAAAACAGCGAAATGCACAAAGCCTCGATCGGCGTCTGACAGGCTGTCACGGACGTGGGCTCACAATCGGGCTTTCAGGCTGAATGTATGGCCCAGCCAGATAGGAAAGACAGCGTTATAAACCAAAGCCACGCTGCAGCCATAGCTGAGCACATGGAGGTGCCACATTTTGTCACACTAAATGTTACTCCATCCGTCTCATAATATAATATTTTAAGTTTTTGTTTGCAACGTTTAACCATTCGTCTTATTTAAAAAAAATTTGAAATTATTATTTATTTTATTTATGACTTACTTTATCATCCATGGTACTTTAAGTATAACTTTTCATTTTTTATATTTGCAAAAAAAATTTGAATAAAACGAGTAGTCAAACGTTGCAAATAAAAACTCAAAATCCTTTATATTATGGGACGGAGGGAATACTTACTTTGTTTCATATATTATAAGTTGTTTTGATTTTTTAAAGTCAAACTTCTTTAGGTTTGATCAAATTTATAGAAAAACTTAGCAACATATCTACAACACCTAATTAGTTTCATTAAGTTTAACATTGAATATATTTTAATAATATATTTGTTTTGTGTTGGAAATATTATTATATTTTTCTCAAACTTAAAAAAGTGGAAAAAAATCAAAATGACTTATAATATGAAATTGAGGGAATATAAGCATGTTACACTTTGTTTGGTGGGTGTTTGATTTATTGTCATAACCGTGGTTGATCACACTTCTGCTCCACCGATCTTAGACATACTCTCTCCGTTCCTGAGAAATCCAACTTCTGGGGATAAATCACGGACGTAGTGGCAGCTTTAGGAATTTCTCGTTGGGTGATTCTACTCCATGCTCAAAATTCTCTAACGTATTTACTTAGAAGTATGATACAAATATAGCATATAGTACCTCATAATATTACAAATCCACTAAAATTAGCATTTGAGCTTTGTAAAAATTACAACATATATAGTCATTAAGCCATGCATATAAACAGTGGCGGAGCCAAGGCCCGGCTTGCACGGGCAATGGCCCGGGCTCTACCAGCTACATGCAGCAATTCACCAGTAAATTAGTGCCTAATTACCTTAGCAATAATCTTTCTTACTCACCGGTATGGCAGTACAATGCAACTAGTAAAGCAGCAAACACGCTCAACACAAACTTTTAAAGCAAATGTTCATACTAAAGTTATCTATTATAGGTTTGTGTATACCTTATTTGTTGTTAGACTTGTCCAGACTCATGAAAATTTTTGAATCCGCCGTTTCATATAAAGTGAAATTGGCTGGATTTGAAGGAGGGAGTCCTTCGGGACCAAAATTGATGGTGATCAAGGGATCACCTGGATCACCCTCAGAACTGTCACTGAGCACGGAGTATTTATTTGTTAAATTTTGTGGCTAGCAAACTCATAGCCACACTTTAATAAAACTTTGAAGAAAAAGCTTTGTGATAAAAAGGCATGGGGAAGTGTAGGTGTCAATCAATATGCTCTTATCATGGAGTACTCCTGATACGGACCAGGTTACTCTAATCTTATAATCATGGTGACTGTGGCCTGTGGGTCATGTGACTGTGAAGCAGGAGAATCCTAGTTTGTTGGAGACACGTCTGTGAGAGCCGGTACAATAAGGTGACGAGCAGGTATAACAAGATGATGCAAATAGGTTGTACAAGTTGCCACGTTATATTCGTACTTATTGGTGGGGGGGGGCAAGAAAAACGGGCTATAGATTTATAACTAGCTGCAGCATGTGCTTAATAATCTATGTGAGAGATAGGTAGATTAGATATTAATGATGCAATATTTATCTACAACCAATAACTAATTGTATAAATGGATTATTAGGTTGGCTTTTATATTAATTGACAGTTGGGCCCAGAAAGCTATCTGCCGACGTGTCAGCGTCTCACCGCCGGCCACGCGTGTGGGCTAAAGCCACTGCTGCTGTCCACGTCAGGTCGCCAGCTCAGCCGGGGCGGAGGCAGCCAAAGGCACGGTCGTCGTCGCCCCCAAGCTCCCAAGGAGAACAAACAACGGTCACTGTCAGGGCGGGCCCACGGGGTCGGAAGAGTAAAATCGCTCGACGTCGGTACGTACGGTACGAGCTCCCAATCCGGAGGCAGTAGGCTGTGCGAGTGTGAGGTACTGTTCCACAGTACACGAGTAAATGCTTTTGGTCCCCCTATTGTACTGGCCTACCAGAGGGTTAATGTGGACCTCCAACTTAATTGACTGCTCAAATCTTGTAGTATGGCTGTGTTGGTGAAATGGGTGATTATGGCTCTGGATTATTTGTTGGCTGTCTGTATACGGTATATTCAATTACAAGCGTGGAAGGTTTTACCCCTAGTTTTTATTTATTTATTTTAGATAATATGAGTTTAAACCATATAGCAGAGCACATTGATGGATATTGCTTTGGTAAATACTACTCCTAGAACACTGGATTGGTTCGTGTTTTAAAAGGTTTTCTATAGGGCTAAGGGACAGTAAGACATCAATATTTTTAGCAAGTCAAGAATATAGATATATAGATAAATGTTGCATTTGAGCAAAAGTAGTACTAGTGCGTAGTGAGTATTTTTACAAGATTATAATATCTAACTGATATACTGCAATATCCCGTCTGGATAGGATAATATTAGGTCTGATACCAAATGATACCCGTCCATGTCTAAACATGTCAATATGTGATACACATTTAGAGATGGAGTTGGATCGAAATGTGGTGGACCCGCTAGAAAAGCAGGAAACAACGACACATATCGATTTTAGGATGTTGGTGCTCTAAGGCATCCGGCGACAGCGAGGCACTCGAAAACTCCTCCTATTCCCATGATGACCTACACCTGCAACTACCATTGTTGGTTGTGCGCCACCACTAGCATACTGCCCTCGAGATTAAGACCACCTACTCCCTCTCCATTGCCTCTTTCTTCGTGGCCTTCTCATCATCATCACACCTGCGTAGGAGCAACAGCAGTGGTGGCATCCCCGCCTTCCAGCGTCGAACCCTTTTGCCGTTGCGCTCGAGTTCACTAGGGATGCGAAAGGAGAGGGCTACGACGGCCATAGAGGAGGAGGGACTTGCGGCAAGGATGACACATCCGAGGGTGGAGGTGATGGTTGTGTCGCGTACTCGAGAGAGAATATACTATGCATCGTAAGAAGAGTAGTATTTCGACTTGTGGCATCATCCTACATAGCACACGCTCTCTCTCTAAGGATACTCTTAGGATGGTTTTCACTGTGGATGCTTTAAAGTCTTAGCTTGAAATTACTCTTGCCATGTGTCATCGGTTTATAAGAAAAACCCTAAGCCCAAACACAGTGGCGGATCTAGAAAACCGATTTGTTAGTGTCATAACGTGTCTATCGGTGCCATAGTATACTAATAATATTTAGATCATAATGTTATAACATATAGATAAGCAATTTTGTTATAGGTTTTGCCGAAAGTCGTCGGTGTCGCCTGACACCGGCCTGAGTAACGTAGATCCGTCCCTGCTCAAACATGCATGCATTTTTAAAACACTACAATGTTTTCGACATTGAGATGTACTTCAAAGCATAAATTATGTAAAGTACTTATAGAACACAACAACATTACGGGGTTAAGAAAAAGCTATCATTTGTATCATGTCCTTTCCGTATTCTATATCGATGTCGTTTTCCACCGCTTGACCAAAGTATTTGCAACAACAATACTGACACTGGAATTATCCAATGCATTCCTAAATATGAAAAAAAGAAAACAAATTTCTTCTCGCAAAAAAAAAGAGAGAAAGAAACAAACAAAATGAATTTGGCGAATATAAACAAAGCAGAGAGCAGAGCAATCTCCAAAAAGGAAAAGGTAAAAGCGAAAAATAACCAAAGGGGAAAAAAAAAAGAAGAAGCAGAGGAGTGAAGAAGAAGAGGGTGGATAAAAACGGATTTACCTTTTTTTCCGAGTCTCCCAAACACACAATCTCCTCCTTCCCACTCTCTCCGTTGCCCACTTCCTTCGCATCTCCTCTCCCTCTCCACTCCTCCGCCGCGGCGGCGCCGGAGCTGTGCCCGCCGCCGTCGGAAGCGTAGCAGCAGGGGATGGCAATGCCCCCCCGGGTCACCGATCCCCGGCGGTGAATTTCAGCGGGCGGGGAGCCGCGCCGCCGCCGTCGACGACGACTCTGGTCCGACCTCCTCACTGGTATGGTATGGGGGGGGGGGTGTTCCTCGATTTGGCCTCTGTGTGCTCGTCCTTGTTGTGTCGGGGTAATCGGTGAAGCTGGCTCGTCGCCGGGGAAAGTGGAAGGTGGCTCCCCGGCGACGGGGGACGGCGGAGGCCGGTTGAATCCAATCGGCTCGGTGCGTGGAGGGAGGGGAGGGGAGGGAAAACTCGGGTAGATTCGCAGACCTGTGGTTCATGGACTTCTGTGAATTGTCCTACCATGAAAAATGGTTTACATCTACCGAATCTGTAATTCGCTATGTTCTCATGTCTCCTGGGGAAAGGGAGAACCTGTAATTTTCACTTTTCAGAAGAAGAAAAAAAATTGTCAACGTGATTGTATAAACTCTAGTTGTTTTTCTCTTTTTTTTTTCTTTAAAAAAAACTCTAGCTGATTCCTTTGTGAGTTCAGTGTTTGTTAGTCTATGAATATATATATCATCATGGTGTAGATGTTTAGAAGGCAACCTAAACTGAACCCTAAATAGCCAGGCACAATGCAAAGCCATTTTAGGGGTAGTAGCGTATTGTTACTGTCATTTTCCTTGGTATACTGTTTCTAAAGATAATTCCTCTGTATACTTGAATATGAAGGTGTCGCTGTTATCTTCGAAAGCCAGATTTTTTATGTTATTTACCGATTCATTTTGATCTTTTTTCTTTTGCAACTTGCAAGGACAATGAAGTCATATGGTTCAGTTTCAATTTTAACTGTACTTTTTTATGGAACATACATTTTCTAGAACTCTTACTATGAATGTCTTTATAACTGAAAATTCTGTACTGATATGGGAGCTGTTGTGCTTATTGCGTTTTTATACATGTCTTCTAGGTCAAGCTACTGCATTTGTACAGTTCGCTGAAGATCGGTAGTTCGTACAAGCTGGGATGAAGTCAAAGACTAACAGGAGCATACAGAAGGCGAGAAAAACAGATAATGTCCAAGGAGGACCAAACTGGGTTCTTGTTGCGGGAGGAGTTTTGCTGAGCACACTCTCAGTTAAACTTGGGTGCAAATTGAAACAACTATTTGATGCGAAGCAACGAAATAGTAATACTTCCAAAGGTCTAATGCCTCCATTTGCTGTTGTAACCTTGATTCCTTGTCTGTATTGTTTTAAATGTTGACTGCTGACTTTGCAAAATTGCAGCCCAAAGAAGGCCAGGAACATGTGAGTTACACTCAAATCTCTACCGGTTTAGTGATCACCTGAGCTGCTACCATTGTAATTCAGGTGCTTCTTCTGTAACTTAATACGATCTATTGCCTTTTTATCACTGTGTGCTGTACCTGCCAGCCTATGTGGTTTTGATTGTTATCACTCTTCCTTCAATTTATAGAGTTAAAATGCAAAACTATCTTAGTTACAGTATCATAAGATATGCATATATGCTATTTGCATTTCAAAAATAATTTGCAGTATTATCTTTGTATAGCTTCAATGGAAAAACATTAGGCGTAATACTTTCTGCAGCATTCATAACATTTTGTTTCAGCACTTCAAACTTGCTGAATACCCTTCTTCCCTCACTTTCAAGGCTCGATCTCAACTCATAAAAAAAATTATGAGTTGTACACCAAACTGTTGGGAAAAAATATTTAAGCATCATTCTTCGACATTTCCAAAAACCAAGGCACGTTTTTATCAAAATCACTACTAGTGGGATGAAAAAGTTATTAGTCGTCCGTGAAATAACCACGCTACCTTCTATAATCTGTACTATAGAGGCCCAGACTACCATCAGGTTTGCCTCTCATTTTAGCTCATAGTGTGATTAGTTCCATGAAATGAAAGCGCACTTGATCGTTGTTCTTTTGAGAACTTATCACAGACAGAGTAACTAAGTCTACTAGGATTCTCTTGACGAAGATGCTTTCGTGCAAAATGCTGGAGTAACAACAACCCAGAAATGATAACATAGCACTGCTGAGAAAATTGCAACTTGCTCGATTTGAATGGTAGAATAACAACATCCCCAGAAATGAGAACTAAATAACAGTGTTGAGAAATTGCAACTTGCTCAATTTTTCTGGTTCATACAGAAATTATCTGTTGATATGTAAGTTTGTTATAACTCTAAGACCTAATCTTGCACTGTCTGTTACCAGCTGTAGTCATTAGTCAAGAGTTAAGACCATAATTATGCTGCTGTACAGAAGAATGTTTATGCACAGAGAAAGAAAATTAGAAAAGAAGATAATGTTTTATATGAGTGGAGTACTATTGTCATTATCACATTTTCTTACTTCCTTATCGAGCACTTTGATACACAGAAAGTGCTGGTGTAGCTTTACTTTATTCCTGTCTTTCTGGCTGTGAAGCATTTACAGACAATTAAGCAATTTTCATGTTTCCTATCTGTTCTTACATTTATGTTCCTGGAATTAATATAACTAAGTTACATTGTATTGTGTTGTAGTTTCCACATTGTAAATTGTGTTTAAAAACTTTTTGTTAATTTTTTGTTGCCATGGCACTTTGTCAACATATGGGAAGTATTTATTCTTTGCTATTTTTTGCAGGGTTTTCAGGCAATGGAGTAGGAGTAAAGCAGGCACCTGCAAGTCCTGCATCAAAACAGATGGAACCCTCCCTTCCACTTGTGAAGATACCAGGACCAGAATCAAGCAAAGAGAATAATGGCGTCATGTGGATATCATCACCTGATCGACTTGAGGATCCTCGTAAACCATTTCAGTACTCAAACAGTTCTGGCTCTCCTTGTGTTTCAGAATCAGGATCTGACATCTATAGCAAGAAAGAGGTTATACAGAAGCTGAGGCAGCATCTCAAGAAACGTGATGAGATGATCATGGAGATGCAAGCTCAGATTGCTGATCTTAAAAACTCTCTTAACATCCAGGAGACACATTCCACCAATTTGCAGTCTCAGCTGGATTCCGCTAACCGTGATCTCTTCGAATCTGAGCGAGAGATTCAGCACCTGAGGAAGATCATTGCAGATCATTGTGTTGCAGAAGCACTCTCTCATGATAAACCTTTGCTGGCTGGGCATTGGCAGTCAGGTGCCACCAATGGGCATGCCAATGGCTATGCTGATAGCAGCAGTGTTGATGACCCTGAGCTGCATTTTATTGGCCTCGACAAAAGGAAAGGAGAGGCAGAAAGGGTGGAGATGCTCAAGAGGGAGGTCGGTGAGCTAAAGGAAGTTATCGAAGGGAAGGACTTCCTGCTTCAGAGCTACAAGGAGCAGAAGGTGGAGCTCTCTTCCAAGATAAGGGAATTGCAGGAGAAATTCTCAAGTCAAGTGCCCAACATCCTGTAGGATCTAAACATAATGTCACGTTGCTGCAACGAGCAGAAGCCAGAAGGTGGATCATCTCTGCTCCATTGACCGGGGAGTTTCAGGAGAAGAACTGTCAGCACAGATGCTGAACATTTTCCTAGGATATTTTCAGAATGTTAGGTTGATTGCCGTCTTTCTTTTCGGTCATCGTAATGTTAGGTTGATTTGCTTCCTTTCCAGTTTTTGTCACTTTGGTATCAAAAAGGATATCTTTTTTCCCCAGCTGCTAGTCCTAGGGTAGATGAATTAATGGAGATCTTGATACTCAAGGTGTTGTACAGGTTTTCGTTCTGCAGACACGGCTGTGTAATGTCATTCTTTCTCCAAACTACTTAAGACGCATTAAGCATTCATTTAGAATGCAACAATGGCATCTCTACATTTAGATCTGCTCGGCCCATGCCATGAGACATTGCTTTTACCTGTGGTTTGCAAATACTGAATACTGAGTCTCTTTCCATTCAATGCAAATATACACATTGCCCTTCTGAATGGACAAAGCCCAAGATCAGATATCATACAAGAGTAGTCACTTGAATCAATACAATTTATTAATTACTTGCACTTATATGTATCTTACTTTAGCTAACAGGAAGCGCATCCCATGTTCATGAGAACATGCACTCTGCTTAATTAAGTTTGGCCAAATGGCTCTCGCACATGGAAAGATCCTTCTAAGATTATCTCCTCTTTTGTTTGCTTTCAAAACGAAGAGTAGGCAGTGTTGCGGAATTCAGATATGGGAATTCAAAAAGGAAGATCTATCGGATGAAACAGAACATAGTTAGCAATATAGTAATATGGTAGCACTGTCACTGAAAACTATCTCATGAATCAAATCTAGTGAGCTCAGGCCAGGTTTCTAGCGTTTGTCCCTTGACAATATTATAACATTCGTGTACTACATATTCATGTTGTATATATAAGAAAACACAAGTCAGATCATATGACCTGGCTAATTGAATTAAACATATTTTTGCCGAATTGACTGCATCCCTGTCAGGTCGTCAGTGTGCAAGCTAAGCTGAAATATTTCGGTTCAATGTTTCGATTAGTTGGGCGGTCTATTCCTGAAACTTATGAGCCATCAAGTGTTGGTCAGCATCGGACGAAACCTAACGGAAGGCAGGATGTGGTTTAGATGGCTTAGCTTGATGGTGTTGTGTATATGCATTTCATTAATGTTTTAATTCTTGATTTCGAGAGTCTAGCATTTCTAGTATGTCAATATAGTAGCAGCCAAAAACGATTTTAAGGCAGAAATTTTACACTTCTACTCTTAGCGTTGTAGAAACAAGACTGAATAATAGAAAAGTGATGAAAACTAACTAGATATATTTAAAATTATATTTCAAAATTTATTTTTTTTATCAAATATTTCAAAATTCAAATCATGGTTGGGCTTGTAATTTAGCAGACGAGCTGCCAATAGAGTACTTGCTTGGCTTTGGTGACATCTTGTCTCTATCTTGTAGTAATATAATGAGATCCATATAGCAAAACTTTTTTTTTTCAGAGATTCTTTCTACGGCTTTCATCAATCAAAATTTCATATGATGAAATATTGCCAATCAATCTAAGACCAAAATTTCTCTCTGAAGATTATAGGTTTTCATTAGATGATACACACTAATTGGGCTGTAAAATTTCCTTGGAAAGAATAATACGCCAAGATACATACTAAATCAATTACTGGAAATGAACTTGTCAAGTTTAATTTATACTTTCCCACCTTAAATAAACAAATATTGCTTCCAATAAAATTTCAGATAATCCACAAATTACTTCCAGCTACTGCAGCAAGTCGTTATGTGGTTAAAATTTCCAAACTTCGGTCAAAATTTCCAAAACTTCGGTCAAAATATACTAAGGTGTATTCTTTATTATAAAGAAGACTACATTCTTGTTAAATTTTTTTTTACAAAACAAAGTGTTGCAATTTTTTTGTCTTTTTCAGATGACAATTTTGATATGTTTTAGTGACAAACAGCTACAGAAAGCAACACATTTTTAGACTGAAAAACAAAACTTTGTCCAAAAACAGACTGTTGGAGAAACTAATAAATGTACCTTTCTAGTACCACATTTACTACACAGTACCATGATGCAAAACATGTAAGAGTAGTAGCGTGACATGTTGTTATGTGTAGAGTATATTATTTCGCACGCTAACATCTTATCAAGTGACACAAACCTCACAGTCAGTACATCTGCCCCAATATTTGTTTTGCCAGTCTTAAACTATGATGAAAAGGACTTCACATTAGTTTTGTTCGAAGGAAAAAAAATATTTTCATAGCAAAAAGGTCATTAGTTTAGCTCGAAGAAGAAAGCTAGACTCAATATAATTGGATCCATTCCAAATAGCAAGAATTAGGATTCTATTTACGTGAAAAGGTTACATCGTTTACTATGAAATTGAAGCAAAAAAATCAAATTGGTACTTTTTTATTTAATTTTAAAAGTTTTTCCCTGTCTAGAAATGCTTCGTTGGTACCAGTATGTCTAATAAATTTTGGGTCCGTAGAGGTGGTTTGGAATTTGGAGCACTTAAATGTGGGAGAGCTGTCCTCTACTGCTGGTTTGATTTCGCCATTTCCTCCTCTATTTAATGCTTCTCTCCTTTGACTTATCTACCATTTCTCAATAATGCCCTGCTCATAATATGTTATTACCAGACATTCACTAGATATAGTTTCATTTACTTAAAATGGAATATTTATTCTATATACGCGATATGCTCTATGATATATATACTCCCTCTGATTCAAAAATAAATGTTATCGGAAGCAGTGAGTCTCAAAATTCTGAATTTCAGATCCATAAGTTGGTTCCTATATATTGTAATATATTTGAAAATCCCAACAGAATTATGCTATGAACATTCCTTTTGTTTTGTTTTGTTTTTGCTAGGAACATTCTTACCTGTATACATTCATTATGTATATTAGTCGAAGTAAAAATGCAACATCATCTTATTTTCTATCTACTGTAAGATGAAAATCCACTGAGTGGAAATGGATAATGAAATACTAAATGGATTATATGCTACTCAAGAACATGCTAGGAAAACATCAATTATGTTCCTCTTCGTCCCATTAAAAAAATCCAATCCGAACCTGGACATATGCGTATACAGATTCGTAGCTAGAATTTGCTTTTTTTTTTTCTGGACCGAGTAGTAATCTAGCATCTCGTCACATATTCCTAAGAGACAACTCTCCCACATTTAAGTGCTTTGAATTCAGCTTAAACTATCAACATTGTCAAATTTAGAGTTTTTTTTTCAGATGGCCTAGTGCGAAAAATATTTTTCCCATTTAGAAATTAGAAAATAAGTTCAAAAGTTACTTGCTCATATTTTAACATGCACCGTGGAGTATCCATAACCTACACAAAATTTTGTATGGTAAAAATAATTATACTGCATAGAAGAATAATTATTTAAAGTTAAATAAAAAAGCATCTCTATTTCTCACCGAGCTTAAAAAGAACCATCTATATAGCCACATAAACCTTATTTCGCTAAATATGAATTTTGTTACTTTTCGATACTCTCCAACGCAACCAAGACATTATTTTTAACAGTAAAAAAGGTCTATTTTACTCCTCTTAACTAATTCAATGGATCACTCAACCTCCTTAGGTTTTTTTTTCCTCAGTTTACCTTCTAAACAATTAAAAATGGATCACTTTACTGATTAATAACATTTCTATTTTTTTACTCTTAATACAAGTTGTATTTTAAGTTGAAATTTTTTAGGCCATAACTAATACCATTATTAAAGTTTGAAAATGTTTTCGAATTTTTTCGTGGATGCTTGTTTCAGCTTTAAAATTTTGATGTTTAAATCAGTCTTAAGTGCTTTCGAACTATATAAATAGTTAGAAAAATTCAAAAAAAAAGTTCATATGTAAGTTCTAAATGCATCTATATTCTACCAAATTTTGATTACGAAATATGATTTGTATAGAGAGAAAAAAAAAAGAGAAATAGTGTTAGGGGAGCAAGCTGAACCATTTTCAATAGTTCGGGGAGTCGAATGAGCCAAAAATAATTTAGGGGGTTAAGTGATCTGGTGGAATAATTTGAGGGAGTAAAATGAACTTTTTTTTCTTTACAGTATACTCTTTAAAGTCATTTTTTGAGTGTGCTTCAAAGACATTTCAGGTCACAAGGTTTTGACACCTGAAAATGCTATTCTTCCTAGTGAACATGAACATACAAGTACCCAACTGAATCGGACCTGGTCTGAAAAACTCATGAGAAAATACTCCCTACACACTAGGGCCAAACCACAAAAGTTGGAACACTTGTAACAAATTGTCCCAGCAACTTGTGTTGTAAGCAATCCAAGGACTGGCCTGTAAATATACACAACACATCCATCATCCAGAGAGGGAGGGAAGAGGGAGGAGAGAGAGAGAGAGAGCATCGATCGAATTTATTGCACAGCTCTGCGCCCTCATGCCTTTTATTTAAGTGTCCATGCTTCCGTTCAGATTTTTTTTTTCTCCTTCACTTCCGAATTCCTTGTTCATTAGGCTTCCTGCGATCCCCCGTAGGCTCACTCATACCTTCCTTCTCCCTCTGCTGCTTGCAAACTCTCTCCTTGACGTTTCTTTCGATTTTGGAAGAGGAGGTAGGAGAAGAGAATTAGTTGCCGAGTTTATCTGAACTTGAGGTGAGTTCTTGCTCTCGATCTTTCCTCTCTCTCTCTCTCTCTCTCTCTCTCTCTCTCTTATCGTCGTTTCTTTTGATCGCTATGCTCATATCTTTCGTTCTAATCTTCTGTTGATGAGTTCTTGGTGCTTTTGATTCTTCTTTCCTCATCATCTACTGTAAATTTCTCTCTTGTCAAACTCACTTACTCCACTCTGATTTTTTTTAAAAGAAAAACTGATGTGGGCTTGGACAGAGTAAAAAGCAACATAGTTTCAAAAAAACTTTTGTTCATGAGCATCTCATATGAATTTCATCAAGATCAAAGCAGCAATCTTTTCTTCTTCTTTTTTTTCCTGCGTCTCCTCATGCTTGCTGGTTAAGCTCTCCCTTTCCTGCCTGCCGGCCTGTGCCGTAGTAACTGCGGTGTGTGTGGGGAGAGGGCGCCACCTAGCTGCAGACAACGCCTGCTCCATGTAGTTAATGTCCATTAATTTTTCCTCTCGTTTCCTGCCAGCTTCTTGAATCTGTGGCCGTAGACCCGATCGATGTATTCTTGTTTTGATTTATTTCTGCGTATTTTGTTGTTGCGTAATGTGTTCTAAACTGTTCTTGACGAGTAGTAGGAGACAGTGTCTGTATTGTACTGTATGTCTAGGACGAGGAGAAGCACCAATTGATGGCGCATCTCCGTACTCCGTATCATGCAAATAAACCGGCAGTTTTATGTTAGAAAAAAATATGTTTAAATAATTGGACAGGAAGTTTAAATCTTGAAAAATTTTGGGTTAATAGATTGCAGTGTCGTTTGTTTTCCCTCATCTGAAGTCTGAAACAGATGGTAGAGGCTGTATGTTAATTTCCAGAGAGAGAAAGGAGAATTCGTTACAATCACAAACAACTATTTCGATTTTCGATCGAGGTAGTATTTTCGAGGCCATCTGTTGGGAAAAATCTAATATGCCTAGCATGCTTAAACCGTACGTTTCTTCATTTTGTGTTGGAGATGAGTATGCTTGTTGTGTATGTTTTTTTCTGTTGATGTTGCGGTTTGTACTAGGCTACTACTAGCTCATGCAAAGGACGTGAGATGCTTCAGTTTGTCGTCAGGACAGCTTTCAAGATTTCGTGTTAATTTTCTTCATTTTATTTTGACCGGATTTGTTAACATAATGCGAGAGCATGGAGTTTACAAAAAATAATAATAATAATCAGCATTCCTTGTTGCTAGTAATATTGTCAATATCCACAGAAAAAAATAATACTTGCAGTAACTTTTCTGATTATATTAAGTTGTTCGAGTTTATCCATTCAATGTAATTATTAGAACTCATATTGCTGCTGCTTAACCGTTGTTCCCATCTTATTATACCTCTTTCGCATGCAGGACATAAGCAATTCTTTTCTCCATAAGATCTGCATCTATATCGTGAAACTAGGTGACCTTTTCAGTTGCACCCTTGTCTACTCACAGTAGGTAAGAACACCAACTGTTTTCTAGTACGGTCAATACATCACTGTGGCTGGGATAAAATTTAGGATTATTTTTTTACTTTCAAGTTAACTTTGCTTGGTTAGTAAGGGTGCCAATATTCTTTGTTCTTGTAAGCTGTAAGAAATTGTGCAGTCAACTGCTGTGTTGAGAGTAGCTAGGGTAGTCAACTGCTACTTAAAAATTAGGATATCCAGCAAGTGATTCATCGTTAGTTGCGAACACTGATTATTCACTACCTAAAACCTACTCTGTTGACTCCATAGCTGTAGCCTGTTTACAAAAACTGAAAACCACTTTTAGTAATAATAATGCAGAAATTCAACTTGATCCCAATCAAAATGAAAGTCTACATTTTTTTTTCAGCAACTTGTGGACACTGAAAGGGGATATGGCCTTTTCTTAAGAGTGAGAAAAGGATCCAATTGTGTGTATTCGGGGTCTCGATCGATCTCGGTTGCAGGCCTTGCAGCTCTACCTGTCAAAAATTGATTTGTTAAGTGGGAAGGCATGATACTCATAATGAAAAATCAATGTCTTGACGTGGTCTTATGCTTATATATACGTTGGTTCCACCAAGACTACCACCAGTCCACCAGCTTCTTTGTTCAGAGTTTCAGACTGGGGGGAGAATTGTCCCTATCATGGTCTTCATATACTATATTTTAGGAAGATGGCAGTTTGCAGTCACAAGTCACTACAGGAAAATTTAATGCTTATAACTGATTAAAAGTGATTTAGCAACCAAAATGGAAGAGGACAATGCTAGAGATCTTAATTAGGTTGAATTTACATTCCATTCTGTAGGATTTGCCCAAATGATGTTTCATCGTGTATTAGTAGTCAGTCTTGGGTTATATGTCAAAAAAGATAACTTGGTATGCTAGCATGACATTTATTTAAAAATATATTTTTTTGCCTTGTGAAAGTTTTGATATTTTTGTATTGGCTTGACAGATGATGAAAATTTTGACAACGGTGAAATTTCTGATGGAGGTAGCTTGATAGCTACATTTGGTCTGAAAGACTGAAACTGGACACAGAAGTATACGAGAAAAGTGATTGGCTGGGTTTTGATAGGGAAAATGGTAGAAGCCTCAAATCCAACACAAGATATGATAGATATAACTGGACATGTAGTACATGATGATGTTTCTTACGACAAGGATGTTTTGGAGATAAAATTGCCAGATACTGTTGTTACTTCTGATTATGGTGGCAATTTTGTCAAGGATGTCTGCATCGATGAAGGAGTACTTCCGCATCGGAAAATTTCAGCAGAAAAAAAGTTAGATGAGAAGTCACCACCAAATTTTGATTTCCTAATGATAGACACGAATAGTGATCTAACATATGGGGGGAAAGGTGATGCTAAAAAATATGCACATGGACAGAAACCAAAAACTGTTCTCCTACCTGTTGGATTCGCTGCTGACGATAACACGGAGAAACAATGTGATCTTGAAAGCAGGGATACTGCTAGTGATATCAGTGAGAAGAAAATAAGTTTGCATGAGTTACTTAAGCTTGAAAGTGCAGAAGAATCCAAGGAAAGACTTAAACTTGAAAGTGCAGAAGAATCCCAGACCCAGCATCAAAGCACAACTTCTGCAATAAATGAAAAAAACATGCCCCCTGTTCATGAAGAGGCTATTGCACAGGTAACCACATAAGTTACTGGCTTAATCTGTAATCAAATTTGTTTTCTCATTACCACTATCACCAGGTTTGTCATTATTATTTTTTTATTACCTGACCCTACTCTTTTGGGTGATAACTTGAATTATATAGTTATGAGAAGTTCAATCATCCTTAGATTGGTTTTTTAGACTGACAAACAGGTTTGACACCACATTGCAGGTTTCCACAAATGACTGCAATGATGTTGCAACTGCATCAAAAACTGATGAACTTATTACTAGCAACGTATCAAGTATCAATAACACCAACGGTTCATCAGCAACAATATCTGACAGACATGATGCAACCGCAGCATTAGATAAACCCATGTCCACTGCTGAGACTACTGACGGTTTAATTGGCTCCAAACAATTTAACGAAGTTGGAACAGCAGAAGCCATGCCTGATGCTCTGACATCAAGTAGTTCTTCAGAAGTCCAACCATCCGAAAAGAGCAACGACCACCCCGAAAGCTTCACCAGCGAGCCGATAGCGGATCCACAGGATGAAAATGCAGTGGCCACATCCTCATCACCTCATGTTGTAGAGTCCAGTGATGCAAATAGGCAGATGAACAACAAGAACTCTGACAACGATGGTGCTACTGATGTGCATGATTTCAACCAGACAGATTCAGAGAGCTGCGCAGACGCAACAAACGATGGCAGAATTAGCACGAGTTCTACCGATGCGCAAAAGGATTCCACTCATGTGGATGAACTAGATGTGCCTGATAATAATGCAAAGGGAAAATCTCTGATTGGCAATGGGTATCCCCTTGAGCCATGCTCTCTTGGGCCTAGCATCATGTGCAACCCAGTGTCGACCTCTGGTCACATTGGCAACATCTCCATCCGGTCAGATAGTAGCACGACAAGCACCCGGTCCTTCGCATTTCCAGTGTAAGCATCCATCCTCATCCACTCTGTCATGTTACAACTATAAACTTAAACCTTCTTTTGTGTTCATGAACAACTTTTGTCTCAAAACTGAAAGTTGGGAGGTATGTGCTGCTTTGGTGGATGAACAGGTTACAGTGGGATTGGAACAGCAGCCCGGTGAGGATGGCGAGAGCGGAGCGGAGGCGAAACAAGCGGCGCCGTGGCTGGAATAAGGGCTTCCTCTGCTGGAAATTCTGAGCATCCCCTTTTCTTATACCTCCTGAAGAATCTCTGAAATTCTGATGCGCTGCTGAAGTCGGTCGAAATCTATCTGTAACTCCACCGAAGTGTCTGATTTGCACGCCATATATGTATACCCTGCTTCTTCTTTTTTGTTGGTCCTGTAGCAGGTAAGATGGCTTGTCGGTTTTGTCAGTGGCTTGTAACTCTGTACCGTGAGCGAGAAGAGGAGTGAAGAGGTGTATAAATAGCGTGTAGCCTAGGGGGTGATGGATCATTGGATTGCATTGCTATCTGTAAAAAAAAATTAGTTTGTGTTGATCTTTGCTGGTTTGAGCCTTTGAGGAGCTAGAACGTATTCCTTTTCTCTTCATCATACCAATATTCGTCTTCCGGTCTGAATTCTGAAGTCTGAACTGACATCTGGTTTTCTGAAACTGCGACCAAAGTGCTGGAATCTGAAACTGGGGCGATCATCAGTTCATCACGCGATGTCGCGATGGGACTGGGACTGGGAGGGGAGAGGGGAAGCGCTTCTCTCACCGTTCCGGTGGCACGTCTCCTTTTTTCACCGCCGACCCTATTATTTTTTAGTACCATACCGCTCGCCGTGGAGCGCGTCCCCCAGGATAAAGGAGTGCGCCCCGGAGTCTCCATCGCCGGGCCTGGTAGCGCGGGCCTTAAACTCCAGCTTCTTTGGAGGGCAGAGTTGGTAACGAGTCGGATATCCGTGGGGGCGCTAGTCTCTCGTCCTGGGTCTAAGTTTACCCGAGGCAGGCATTGCTCCCGGGGTCAGTGTCGGTAGAGCCCATGTCAAAAAAATAAAGGCCCCAGAGAAAATAAACTTTTTACCCCCGCACAGCCCACTAACTTTAAAGCAGTCATCGTGATATTTCGCGTGCTTGTCGCGGGTCTGTGGACAGAAATAACTCTCACATGCTGAGCTTACCACTTAGCGGAGTTCATCGTGATAATTCGCGAGCCCGTTTGCAAGTGTGGATATAAATGGGGGGGAGGCGGGAGGCGGCTGTGTATATGTGTTCTCGCACCGCTTTACGAGTGTACTTTGGGTTGCGCTTTAGCCACAGGTGCGGGCTTCCACGTAGTAAGGAGACGAGGAGCCTTCTCTTGTGGGAATAAGTTCACTTTAGTTCTTTATTTGTCGCCCAATCCGGGCTACGCCCCGTCCCCCAACTTTCCATAACCGTGCAAACAAGTTCTCTCGGTGGTTTTGGTTGACGTGGATTGTTAGACTAGTTCTCCGTTCCACGTGGCGCTGATGTGGCAATTGTATATTGGAAAAGTAATAAAAATCGTGGTCCCACAATTCAACCATAGAAAAAATAATTTAAAAATAAATATGGAGGGGCCCAAATGACATGTCATTCCCAAATGATCAAATCCAATCCTCTTCTTCCTCCTCTCTCCAGCTCTCCCCATCTCTCTGCTCCCTCCTCTCGCCGGGCGGCGTCCAGCACGACGGGCGGCGCGGCGGCGGTAGGCGGCGCCGGCGATGTACAGCGCATGGCTGGCGGCGGGCGATGGCGTGCGCGGCGGCACGCGAGGCGCGTGGGGCAGAGGCGGCCATCTCTCTCTTGCGCAACAGATGGATTAAGTTGTGACCACGATCGATCACTTCAAACCAAATTGAGTTCACAGCAACGAGATTCACATACTGCAATGCAGAAACGCAAACAGAACAGGCAATTCAGTTGGCCAAATGCGACAGAATGGAAGAGTTAACCACAATCCAGAGCTAGAGGATTCAAACAGCAGCACCAGAATTGCTTCACTGGGTTATGTTGCGATCGCCTAATAACCAAACTGAAATCACAGCAGCAAGGTTCAAATCACCGCAATGCAAACATAGACAAGCAATTTATGAGGCGATTCTCCACTGCTTCATCACAGATGCTCAAATCCAACCGAGGGACTCCAAGTTAGTTCAAAGTTCAAACCAATTCCCTTCCTCCAATCCACCGAACTTCCAGAAACACACGCGTACATTGAAACCACACTCGATTAAGAACAAGGCACGTAGAATCGGAACCAATTTCAAAAGTTCAAGAGCTCCGGAATTTACTCAAATTTGCCATCTCGAACTCGAAGCCACTCACGCACATGGAGCAGAGCGAATCACTTACCAGTGGAAGGGAGGGCGACGGCGAGCGAGGAAGGAGGCGCGTGGAAGCCTGCACGCCTGGAGCGGCGCCTCGCACGGACCGCACACGGATGGCTGACGCACAGGTGTGGCGCCGGCGGGAGAGGAGGGAGCGACGCCCGCGCGCTCGCCGGTAGGCCAGGGAGCTCGCCTAGCCGTCCGCCGCCCTTCTAGCTCGCCGGCGGGAGAGGAGGGAGCTCGGCACGGCTCTAGCTCCTTCGTTCCTCTTCCCCTTTCCCATACGCGCGTGCCCGGGAGGGAGTGAGGGGAGTACGAGCCGCCGCTGCCGCTGCTGTTGCCGCTGTCGCGGCGGACAGGGAGAAGAAGCCGAGGGCGGAGGCCGGGTTGGGGGAGAAGGCGAGGGCACGGAGCGTGGTGTTGAGCATGAAGGAATTGGGGGCGCAGGGGAGGGAGGCGAGGAGACGGAGCACGGCGTCGGGAGGGGAGAGCGCGGCGTAGACGGCTTGTGGAGCGGCGGCAAGCAGCGGCGGGAGCATGACGAGCGCGGTGTAGAGGCGCTTGGCAATGCCGTCCCGGCGCGCGCGGAGGGCGTCCGGGTGGTCGGCGGCGGCGACATGGATGGCAGCGTCGATGGCGTCTAGGGCGCCGCCGCGCTGCTCGCCTTCACGCGGAGCGGCGGCGCCGACCACGGCCACCGCCGCCGCCGGAGCTCGCCTGCTCCGCCGCCCACCCGCGCCGTCCTCTGCCTGAGAAAGAGAAAGAGAGAGGGGAAAGGGAAGAAGAGAGAGAAGGGAGAGGGAAGAAGAGAGGAGTGAGACTGACACGTGGGGCCCACATGGCCCCCACAATTTTAAAATTATTTTTTTGTGCAGCTGACATGTGGGGCCACGTTTTTTATTATTTTTTTTAGATATAATTGCCACGTAAGCGCCACGTCAATGCCACGTGGGACGAAAGACCTATTCAAACAAGTCACGTATGCGTCACGCCAGCCAAAACCGCTGAGGGATCACGTTTGCCCGGTTTTCGTAAGTTGGGGGACGGATCATACCCGGACAAAAAATAGAGGGACCCAAAGTGAACTTATTTCTCTCTTGTGGGGGGCAAAAAGGGCTCGCGCACTTTGACCCCCTCTTTACCAACTCTCAACTTTTTTTTATCCCCCTCTTAAGAGGCTCTAATTTATTTAGAAAAATCTTAGAGAAATCAGTTGTCAATCTCCCTCTCAACATGGACTTGAGGACGCATTGGATATTTGGGTATCCATCAATTCTTCAAAAAAAAAATTCTAGTTTTTTCCTCCCTTCCATATTCAAAAATTTTCTAAATAAATTGAGAATTCCGTAGTCAAATACTCTCTGGACTCAAGAGAACGCCATGGATCGGATACCCCTGAATCCTTCAAAAAAAATTCTAAATAAATTGAAAAATCAGTAGTCAAATACAGGCTACAAAATTGAAAAGATGCTATATGTGACATCTTTATTGAGGTTAATTTCTCAACGACGTGCTGCTGGAAAGTAGTACACTACTAGCTATGATCTATGGAGTTTGGTCACTCCTCTCCTATCTTAGCCTAGGGAGAGAAAGATAAAACTGAGAAAAAGAAAAGCTAGTCTAAATCAAAATAGATACAGCGGGATGAACTTGGCAGCTATATATCCATCTATCTTGGCTATCTATACTCATAAGTTGTGCTTCTTAGGGTGAGGCGTTGGTCCCCGGCGTTCAACCACTACTATCTTCGCAAACTGATGAACATCCGGGCTCCCTCCATGGACAGAGTTTGATCCAACTTGCACGGCTTCAACCTTCTTGGTCTTCTCCTCATCGAGCTTCTTCTTTGAATCTTCTAATCCTCTTTCTGTTGATGAACCACGGCTCGACATGGACGTGTTCTTCACTGCAAAAAAGATAGTAATACTGGTTAAAATCAACAATAGTTGAACATACGAAGAAAGAAAAAGGGAAATGCTCCTGCCACAAATTTCATGGTGCTTTTCTCAGAGAAAAACTATGGTAACAATTAATTGCTGCAAAGATGAATATGAACTTACAATGGCGTGCGTGAGCAATGGGACGGTCAAGTAAGAGCAAGGAGATGACCAAGGCGATCACAAGAAGACTCGAAGTCCTTCGGCAACTCATGATGAACATGAACTGAACTCCAATCTTGGCGTACGTGCTTCTTTTCTCTGGATGCACTACGCTCTTCTGCTCTAGCTTAGCTAGCTTGGTCAGTCAGTGAGTGAGAAAATTAACAGTGTACAGAGGAGAGGGGGGCTTAGATCGAGTAGTAAGATCTTTATAGGAAGGCAAATGCTTAGCCGCTTAATTTGTCAGTCAGCTGAGAGGAAGGCGTGGTCAAAGGCTTTGCTCAAAACTCATCTCAGATTTCTTACACACACTGTTATTATATGCCGTACGTACTCCTGTTTCTACCCTTGTTTAACAAGCCCTAGGCCTAGGCGTTGTTCTTTTTTACAGCTCGGTCCTAGTTGCACTTGCACCATATGCCACGCACTGATGCACCACGTGTGGGCTCTGCAACAATGCGTGCCGGTGCCGTGCCTTCTGCCGAGATCGAGCTAGCAGTGGCTGGGCTTCGGGAGTTGAGCTCCCTGTTGGAATCCCGCGGCCAATCGGCCACAACACCACACACACATCTCGCCAATTCGCCATGAGACTGGTTTCTAATACATGGGTGGTGTAAAGTTTTGGCGTGTAGTATAGAGTGTTTTGACATTAATAAAAAATAATTATAAAATCATCAATAAACCGCGAGACAAATATATTAAGCCTAACTAATCCGTCACTAGCATATGTTTACTGTAACATCACATTCTCAAATTATAGAGCAATTAGGCTTAAAAGGTTCGTCTCGTAAATTAGTTGTAATCTGTGTAATTAGTTACTTAACATATATTTAATACTTCATACATGTGTTTAAATGTTCGATATGACAGGATGAAAAATTTTGTGTTGGGATCAGGGCGTGTGTGAGCGTGTGACTGGGCAACACTTCTCACATGGTTGCGCCTGCGCGGCGGCAGGTTTTCTCGTTTATAAAAAGAGGGAAGTTGTAGAGCGATTCTACGGCACTGACACTAGTGTTAAAAGACCAGGATCCAAGGCAAGGGGCACCCGGGATGGATCAAGACTCGCACCCCTAGGAAGTTTTGAAAAACCAACATTCAGGAATCGGGACAGAAGTCACAGAAGGCGGAGGTGTGAGATGCCTCTCTCTGCGTGCAGTCGGCTGGTTATTACGAATTCCGACACGGTTTTAACCCACAAAAGTAACCGACCGCGGCAACTTGGTAGCAACAGTACCATTGCAAACGGAAGGCGGAAAACACATGGAGCAAGTGGTTTCGAGCATAGTTTTATTGCACAAATCAAGCAGATTCATTTCTAGCTTTACAACTGCAAACTTCATTTGTTCGATCAGCTTTGAGCAGATGAGATTGTAACACCATATCCCATTTAAAGTCCATAATGATGTGTTGCTTTATACCTAGGTGATCAGCAGTGTTATTGTAGTTGTAGGCGATTGGTACTGTGAAATTAATGTGTTGATTTAATCTATGTGATAAACAATTGTCAAAAGTAAGTGTTTATTGAAAATACAGTGAATAATGTTTTCGGTCGGTGAATAGTGCAGTCAGCAATGGGTGGTCGGTCAGACCGGAGGTGTTGGATAGCCCGGCGGTTAGACCAGCAGACTCTGGGTTGTAGTTGGTTTCGGGTTGTTTTCGTGGGATTTCTAAATTGCTTCATGTTTATGACTTTTAGATGTTTCTTTTTGTATGTGATACTATTTTATGCTGATATGAGTCAAGTTGGTGCGAACTTATACTCGAATACAGAGAGTCTCTTTGTTGTTTATGTGCAGGTGTTGCTTGAGGTTATGTGAGTATAGTCGGTAATGGATCAGGACTAGGCTTGGAAGAAATTGAGGTCCAAATGGTCATATCACACAGGATGCTTAGGCTAGAAACCATGCATGTGGAGTGAAGGTTTCCATAAAGTATATACATAGTGTTGTGTACGTATGGGAAGAGGTCCAAGTTTAGAAAGATTAGAGCGCGGAGTTGTATGAGAATGTTGTTTACCTTGTTGAGTAGGTTTCCTATGTGATTGGGAATTCTAGTTCTTGTAGGATTTGTGGCTAGGGGTAGCCACGTTGAGGATATAAATAGATGAGGGGTTGATGCTAGAAGTATATCAATTTTTTAGGAGAGAAAAGTTATAGTTTTGCTTCGAGGCTTCAATACTAGTTGACAGAGGAGTGCTTTAGATACACTTTGTAAACACATATTGATGCAATAAAGTTGATCTACTTTCAAGAGTTTCGTCTCGTCGATATGTGATTTTTGGATCCCGATGGTCAGACCGACAATTGGCGAGCAGTCTACGGCAGGACTACTGCGGTTTAACCGGTAGCAATCAACATGTTAGGCCTCCCCCGCCCCTCTCCTCCCCTTCCCGTCTCTGCCGTCGCAGTGTCGGCAGTGGGCGGCGAGCGGCGACAGCGCCCTCCCCTCTCCGTCAGCAGCGGGCGGCAAGCGGCGACACCGCTCTCCCCTCCTCCCCTTCCCCTCTGTCGGCGGCGTCAGCAGCGGGCGGTGGCAGGCGTCGGCGGGTGGGAGGCGGCACAGGTGATGCGGGCCCACCTTATCGTCACCGGAGGCACTCCGCCTCCTTCCCCGCTGGCCTCCGGGTTGCCATCGCCGTCGGCATCCTCGTCCTTGACAGGAGGGAGGAGCGCCGGGCCCGGGCCGGCGATGGCGCGAACGAACAGCATCGCGGCGAGCGCGGCCAGGAGCTCTCCTTCTTTCTTTGTTCTTCTCTTCTCTTTTTCTTATTTTCTGAAGGACTGTAGTTCAGAATTAATGTTCATGTATATAATTAATCTTCTGTTTGAAGAAGTGTAGCTGCAAATTAGTCCCCTTTTTGCAAGTGAGACTAGGGATGTGTTCGGATTCCAGTGATGGGAACTAATCCCTCTCACACGGAAAACGGAGCGGTTTATTAGCGCGTTATTAATTAAGTATTAGCTATTTTTTTCAAAAATGAATTAATTTGATTTTTTAAAGCAACTTTCGTATAGAAACTTTTTGTAAAAAACGCATCGTTATACAAACACAGCCTAGGAGTTGTGCATAGCAATGAGTTATGTATGATTTTGTTGTTGAATATGTTCATTCAATCTGTGGTATCAAATTGTTGTTGAGTATGTACGTTCAATCGGATTTGGGTAATATGCAAGTAGTAATAAACAATGAAAAAAAAGGAAAAAAATACCTTTAGTCCCGATTGACAACACCATTCGAGATATCTTAGTCCCGGATTAGATATCTCGGTTTGCAAAGGGTTCCCCAGTAGTGTCACTGTGTCAGGAGCTCAGCTCGGATGTGAAGCTGGCCAACATGTTTTTTTCACGGATATGCATAGGACTTGCATATCATTTTGTATTAATAAAAAAGGGTCACGGCGAGAGAGAGTGGCAACTAACCAACAGGCAACAGCATATACAGAGCAGCAAAATATGAAAAGAGCACTGTACAGCTCGGGACAATGCTGCAGCACACAAGTACTCCTAGAATTCGTCCTCACAAGTACTCCTATACCGCTATACGTGAAGCTCATCAATGATGATTTTTCCTGCTACTCGTTGGAGGGAAGAATCTTCATCTCTGAAGACCCTCGCATTGCGTTCTTTCCTTACCAAGTCTGTCACATGGTTAGGAACTTTGCATGATAATGGAGTCACATCCCTTCTCTCTGGATCTAATCTTTAATCCTCCCCCACCAGTCCACAATGAGAATAGTTCCCGGGCTGGTGTAGGTGAGACTACCGGCGGCAGAATAGCATCCAGAACTGCCGCACCCATCCGCACCAAAGAGTTGGTCTGCTCTGCTGTCTCTGGCTATCGCTGTAACTTGAACTCCTCTACATAGATAATTCCATTTCGTAATCTACTTGGATATCACGTCTGGTATATCCCTTACCAAGAACTTCCTGATTGCTCTAACTAAAGGAAGAGGGTTCTCAACGTGCACGGCGTGGCCGCTGTCTGGAATAATGATCATCTCACATAGACCATCGGATTCGCGATCCTTGTGCTTTCTTATCTCCCTGCACATTTGCTGCGATATCTCTTTGAATTTTGGGTCCTTTTCACCTGCGACGATGAGGAGAGGGCTCTTCAAGTGCTTCAAATCTTCCCACAGGGACCTAGAACATTGAAACTAACATGAGATCGAATCACACATGATTTTCTTATTACACAATCACTAATGTAATATGACCATCAAAGTGTTCACAGGCTCTATATGTATCATCGGCACACTATATTTTTTACCACTATTAACGTCAAAATTACTAACGGACTCGATGGAACATGACTTTATGGATATCATCAATGAAAAATATAATACGGAGTATGGGAAGGCAAGCCTTACTTTTGCGTCCCTATGCTTGAGTCAGCGAGAACCTTAGATAGAGCTTTGATATTATTGTGTTTCATTCGTGTCCTCACTAGAGAATCAAATTTAGGATGTTCTCGTAAACTGTAAATTTGGTCATCCATCAACAGAAAATATCCCAGAAAAGGAAAAGAAAAAAGGCATGTCAATACATTTTTGGCAAAACAAAAGTATATTGTCACTGCATAACAATATTACCTGGCCCACATTTTCGCAGAGTACCACGTCTCGAGAAAATTTTCCAGTCCACAAGAAGACAAGAAGTGGGCTCTTGATCTATCAATAGCACTACGACGTCTTTTACTTGCCTCGTCTCTCAATCCAGGACTACCCGAAATTATAACAGCTCCACTTATCTGTCTTAACGGGACTGCGTTAGAATCATAAAAATAAAGAAATAAACACAAAAGGTACAATGTCGAGAAATTTACCTTGTGGTTTTGATTTAATGCCATGTGTAGTGCAATCCTTGCACCCATTGAGTAGCCAACAACAACCACCGCTCCATCAGTTATATTTCTTATCAACTTCAGTAACAAATCTGCAACTGATTGAACTGAAAAGGAGATTTGGTTGGAGTTTTCAACATCATGCTGTAGAATTTCGGACTCGCCATGGCCAGGAAGATCGACAGCTATAACCCGTGCACTAGGAGAGAGAGCTTTCATCATTGGAACCCAGTCTTCACTCGTACCAAGAAATCCATGAAGAAAGAGAATAACCTTTTCCTACATTGGTTAAATCATGACAATAGTTACTGTGACAGCACCATCTTACTACATACGGAGAAACTACCAGTATCTCAAGTATACAGTGCAAGTAAAACTTAGATAATTGAACATATGCTTGCATCTGGTTTTTAAGTGGATAACTGGACAACCAAAATCAAAGGAGTAAAAACATAAGCAGAAATTTAACTATTACTGAGATTAGGAACAAGGCACACAAATGAAAAGAGAGCGTCAAAGCACTCCCAGAATGTATGAAACTTGTCCATTGATTGAATGATGTGAATAGAAAACAGATAACATCATAATTAGCAAGAAAGACAAACTCAAGAGAAAACATGTAATTATGAATGTGCTTCCTTCAAGAAATGAACCAAGGACCTATCAAATATATTATTGAATCATTCATATGGAGATAATAATGTTTTCACTTGAATTTTAACTGTTAGTACTAAGAACAGTAGTTTTAAATCAATACGTGAACAATATTCTGCAGACCTTTGTGATAGTTCCGCGGTCTACAGCATACCTCCTTAAATCCCGAGTAAAGTAGGATACATGTCGATTAAAAGAATTCCATCTTTTGAAACTATGATATGCTTAGCAATATATTCCAGTTAATATGCTACTAGCAATAGCTCCTGCTGTTTGCAACTTAATCATCTAATTTGCTCTCATACTGCAAATATCTAGCCATGGATCTCGTGTCAGACACTGAGCACTAATCTAAACCCTCTTATATAACAAGCTGGTAATAAACTGTTGGTTTTCAAAAGAAAATTGAAGAAATCTTACATGTGTGCAATCACCACCCTCTTGAAGCTTGACTTGATAAGAAAAATTATCCCCATCAACTTGGATGAAATATGACCTCAATTTTTCTTCACTATAAGTTCTTTCTATCTTCTTGTCGTTTATAACTAAATGCTGGAGATAGCCATGGGCATCTTCTGCCGAAGCTCTGATTCCATCACCAAGTGGTGGCGCATGGATTTTTAACTTTTGATCTGAAACATCTTCCCTTAACCATTGGTATGTTCCAAGTCCATGTGCCACATTTCCACAAGAACCTCTGTTCTTTATTCTGGATGTTATGTCATTTTGTCTGTCAACATAATGTGCAAACTGTATATAGGTTGCCAAACCTACAGAACTCTCATAGGTGCTACTGATGACAGCCATCTTATCATGCATGTGAGCCCATTTTGCTATATAAGCTGCAGTCTCAAAGCCACCAACAACACTGGGTTTTATAACCTGAATATCAACATGAAAATGAGGTCAAATCTAGAAAATGAAGCATCAGCTTGAAAACTAGCCCGTAAAGTTTGAACTCACAAGAGCAACTATTCCTGGATGTGAAAATTGATGTAGCTTAGGGATTACATCCCCTGTAAGGTTGTCGATAGTCTCGTCTAGTGCAACAGGCAAGCCACTATTTTCACAGAACTTGATGATGTCATTTACAGAGTCCACTGGTTCCTGTGGTTAAAACAAATGAAGACTCTCAAGGAAGAACTGCATGAAAAACAGTCTCTTCCCCAACCAGTATTATGATATGCTGGGTACAAATTTAATGCTTTGTCTATTTTAGATTTTCGATGCATATCAGATGAATAAAAGGCAGATTACCTCGATGTATTGCAAACATAAGCCTTTTACCCTGGATCCAAAATCAATTGCCTGTTCATATGTCCATTTCCTATTTGCGTCAGCACGGATATTGATCTTGTATCCTACAATTTCCCTTACTTTTTGAATAACAGCTGCATCTTCAGCGGGATTTTCGCGACGCCCAACCTTTGGGAGATTTTAAAAAGAAGCAATGTACAGATTCTTTTAGAAGCTAATAAATTCAACTTCCTATAATTACTGAACTGGTAGAAGATTTACCTTCAGTTTAACGGTGGTGAAACCTTCAGCAACAAGTTTGACAACAGCAAGTGTTACATCCATTGGAGTGCCACAGGAGTCTACGAGTGCACATATCTGTATGTTTGCAGTGCTGCTCTGATTATATTCGACCACATTGGAGCCAGTAAAAATACCATAGGATCTATCTATTCGTTGTGACTCCAGCAAATTAAGAATAGCCATCTCTAGACCACACTTAACACTAGGGAATACTGAAGAAGGCTGTGAAGAAGAACACGCGGAAAAATATCAGTCTCTCGTATGTTTTTCACAGAAAATTTTCTTAAGTCAACTTACAGGAATCCCAAGGGTTGTCCATATCCAATTGGAGAAGGATCCTCTCAACAAAGGAACAACATCTAGCTCAGCATCTTTCATTCTGTGAAAGAGAAACCTAAGCTGTTCTTCAACATCCAACAGATCCTCCTCATGAATTTCAATTGGTGCAACCTGTTATTTTACAAGGGTAAAAAATAATACTTAATAAAAGCTAAATAAATGCACGGTGCAACATGTAATATATTTTTAGACGAAACAAAGTTAGGAGTTCTGCCAATCAATTAAGAGGAATGAAGAAATAACAGACCAGCCTCAACTAAGTTTACAAAAACTAGAAGCCAATAAACATAAAATAAAACTACTGTAAAACCAACACCAAACCTCCAGTAATATGCTGTATATTCCTTCAGTGAAACATGGGCATGCATAAGAAACATTTTTCTGTATTATCCATTTGAAGGATAACATCTTCTTCAAGTATAAAACTGTGAGGTAAGGTAATTTTTAGACCAAATTAATTTGCACGAGGAAAAATATCCTGCCTACTACAAGTTTGCCAGATATTCTGGTTGAAGCACAACATGAAAAGTAACCTTAAACTGCTATAACATATATTCAGCTAATATACAAGGTCAAATGATTATGTTAACTGGAGTATTTTTTTAATTAGTGTTTTATGTAAATGTTCACCCACTCTGTGGTTCTGAGGGTTTTTTTCTAGTATTAAAGTCAGAGTTTAGATCTGGACCCACTTCCATGCTTCCATGAGTATTTGGATCAAGCTAAAAAAATTGTAAAGGAGAAATGCTCCAGACCAGTCCATTTCCTACTTGAAAACTGTGAGTAGACAACTAAGATAACATTTTAGTATAGCATAATTCAAGAACAGTAATTAAGGCCCACAATGAGTTAGAAAAAACAGACAGATTACAGTAGTAATAAAATCAAACCTCGCCGAATCCCACAATGCTGTCACCCACACATAACTTTAGTATGAAACCTTCATGAAAGAAGCTGCTTTCTGATATCCCAGATGTACGTGGTGCAGCAAGTTGGATCCTGCATAGAAGGTAAATCCTAAAATAAGAGAGTTCCCAGTTCTAACTACTGTTACACACTTTGTAATTTGTCATTGTATACTTTTGAAAATTCATAAAAAAATCTATGTTAAAATATGTTCACTCAAAAAAATATGTATAAAAATATAATCGTTGTACTGTACCAAAAGGAAAATAAATGACTTATCAGAACTTTTGCAAACAATAACTTTCTTGTCTTTTGTGTGTGGTGATACACAATACATTTGATCATATATTTGCGCAATTTGTGTCTCTGCACATTGTAGCATGCCCTGCATGTTTTTTTTTTCTAAATTTTGTAAGCTGCAAAATCCAAAACATGACTTTCTTGTCTTTTGTGTGTGGTGATACACAATACATTTGATCATATATTTGCACAATTTGTGTCTCTGCACATTGTAGCATGCCCTGCATGTTTTTTTTCTCTAAATTTTGTACAGCTGCAAAATCCAAAACATGGTTTAGCTACACTTATGTTTAGAATTTCCAGGCTGTGTGACCTGTGCAGGAGTGAGGTGTGTATTGATTGGTTAAGGATGTACCTGTAAAACATGTATTCTGCTGCATGTATTCTACCAACAGAAAAGCCATTTACCCCATCCTTACAATATGGACCTCCCAGAAGATATGCCAGATGCATGGTTGCACTATGGTCTGTGAACATGCTTATAATTCTGCAGAATGAGAATGAGCATATAAACGCGATGTAGACCAAAATAATCAAAAGAACTAGTTTGAATATAAAACCTATGAAAGTTGGCATTATCAACAATGCGATTCTCCACTTCGACAACACAATCAACATGCCCCTCATGGGACTTCACTAAGGCATCATGAAGTTCAGCTTTTGTCTGAACTAGAATATGTTTTATCCTGAAATACAACTCATGAGAATGCTGGGGATGCAAAATTGCCACCAGAAAGTTATTTGTTGTATCCACAGCTGACTCCATAACCAATAATGTAACAGGCAGAAGTCTCAGCAGAAAACATCTAATAAATCCCAGAATCAGTAACAGCGATGCTACGTTAGCATCAGGCAGGCATATTGTTAAAATTGTATTTCTATAAGCAAGGCCGAGGTATGTAAGCACCAGAATACAACAATCGCTTTTACCTGTGTGCAGCACAGAGTTTGGAAATCGATATGTCATGCAAGGTGTAGAAAAATTTCTCCAAAATTTGGAGTGAAGCTGTTTTTGCAACTGGTAGAAGGCTGAAGATTGCACCACCATGGTTGTTAATGACAATTACTGTCATGGGTTTCCTCTGCGTCCTTCAGGAATGTGAGATGCATTATCACTTTATCAGAAATAAATATTCATTTAAGTAGATGGTTATACAATAGCTTTACAGAGAGAATATCTGTAGTTCTTTTTATTTCTTTGACTAAGTAGTAATGCAAAAACAAATGCTTGGGTCAATGAAAAATAAATTAAGGAAATGACAATGAGCCAATGACTCGCAGAAAAACAAACGGTGGTGGATAGCATAGAATAGATTCAAACTGTAAACCTTTGGTTCAGAAGTGACAATCCATTGGTATCATGAAGAAAAGATATGTCACCAATCACACAGAATACCTGAAAATAGTGCAGCCAAGTCAAATTTCTGCCAAAAGCTTACTCAAAAAGAAGTACAGCATAAATGCATTGGCAACTGTCAGTATCTAGGAAATACACAATAAAAATATTATAAGATAATCAGAGTAGTTTGAGAACTGCAGGTGGCTGTGATGAAAATTAGGAATATTCTCTTTGAAGCATAGTGTTTTTCATTGTCCCCAAGTTTGTGCAGCTGCAGCAAGCGCATTTATGCATTCCATATCTAGGGTAACAAATTTCATCACATGAAGTACCCATATGAGCTAAATAACTAACTTACATGCTTGTTTGATCCAATGGCAAATCCAATTGATGTACTAAGCAAACCATCAATACCACTTGCTCCCCTGTTCCCAGCTACTGGTGCACCAAGAAAGCCTGGAAAATGGTGCATCATAGCATTATTTGCATTTGTACTATGGTCAATCCAGCCCTTGCCAAACATATCCAAGTCTCGAATGACCATGCTATTCCCAATAAACATAGTAGCATCGCCATAAAGTGCTTCTCCAATTACATGAGCAACATATGGTTCTGTAAGTGAACATTCTGAATGCACCTGAAACATTATCTCCTGTGAAACCTGGAATAAACAACAGTTATCAGGATTAGAAAAAAGCAGATGATGGCAACAAAAGGTGTTTGTTAGTTATTTCCAGAAAAAATCTGTTCAAGGGCATGCTTACAGAATTGAATTCCTTATGTAGTCAAGTTTCCATGGGGACAAATATATGAACTAGAGGCAGTTGGTTAAGTGATAAACCCCTTCATGCATGCTATTTACAGATTTCAGAAAGAGACATTAAATATCAATTGAGTTTTCAACTTTCAATGTCAATACTATTTCAAATCAATTTGTGGTGACCTTTTACCTATACTATAACCTGGGTGTAGGGTGTATAATACCAAAGTTTACTGCAGAAAATGATTGAAACAAATGACTAAGGTTCAGGAAGGTTGCTTACACATAAGGACAAGTTTTATCCTATCCATACTATCAGAATATTTTGTTGCATATTTTCAAGATAACTACCCTCTTATGGACCATACCGCTGAATTCAGAACCATTAAAATATCTGACCATCTGCTTGTCTTTGTTTGGAAATTACACTGGCACAGACTAGCAGCAAATTCAGTTATAGTAGCCTGGATTCTGTGAGTGACAACATGTGAAGGATCATGGCGGCATGGGTGTGCATCAATTAAGATGTAAGAAGACGGGGAGCAGGACTCAAGATATGTTCCCACTCGTTTGCTAGTGATCCGGCTTCCAATCTGTCAAGCAAAAAAAAAAAGAAAGGTGTCATTATAAATATATCACATAATGAAAAGGAATTCAAATGATTAGGTAATGCAAAAGTATGGAATAAAAAGAAGAATCAGTGAGGAGATGAACCTGGACAATAACATCTGGAGTTTTCCAGCTTTTAACAGATTCAGACAGTAGAATTTGATCTATGTGGTCTATAAAACAAATGCTCTTATCTAGTCCTGGAATTGATTTCTGTACTTTCCTCATTCGCAATCCAGACAGAACATCAGCAGCAATCGGCCAGGAAAGGTGTCTAGCTAGTAAAGTCACAGCCCAGATATCATCTTCTGTGTGAATAGCACCAACTAATAAAAGCCCCTGGTTTGCGTTCTTTACAATCTCCAGAACCTCCCTTACTGAACAAGAATAGTTACCTAATGCAGAAACCATTTTCATTCCTAGGTATCTAGTGTATGGTTCTCTATTTATAAACCATTTGTCCAACCCTTTCAAACAGTCAACACTCCAATCTTGATATCCGTAGTCTAGTGGTTCTCTAAAAGCACAGTTTATATGCACTGGCCCTTGTGGTGCTTGCATGGCATAGTAGGCTGCTGAATCAACTGTTGTAAGAACCATTCTCGCGTAAATATGATCATCTGGTGGAGGGAGACTAAAAAAGTGTCTTACAAAACTGCCAAAATGATTTACCTGAAAATAGTTAAAAAAAAATGTGACGAGTTCTTCACAAGAATAACAGAAGAACATCATAGGCTTACCAGATAAGTTTGCATATGCTATAGAGGCAGTATGCCATTAAAAGGAAATAAACATAAAACTATATGCATAAACTGGAATGGTAATCCAGCAAATTCCAAGTTCACTGTATGGGTCTTATTGCGTGAGGAATATAGGCCTTTGCTTCTCAAGTTCACTGTATGGGTTTGACTAGTGTTCTGTATATGTCTTTGCTTGAGTGAGACACATAGGTCATGTGAGGAATATATATGGATTGTACAGGTAGGACATAATTTTGATGGTGCTGAGAAATAAAATAAACACTAAAACATAGTTAAGGGAACAACATGATTGGCTTTATGTGCATGACAATACTTATAAGCAATTTAAGGCAATTAAAAGGTAGCCAAAATTCTGAATTAACAGTGCTGATTCGAAGCTCTTTTCAGAATAGGAGCTATTGCCAGAAACTTTTAGTTTTTGTAATATTGTATTCAGTTACAATACCTGATTGATGGCTTGGTTGGCTCCTACATCCTGCAGCTCAGGAGGACGATCAGCTGTGAGTAAAATAAGTGGTACGAAATCTTGACTTGCCTCCACCACCTACATATGAATCTTGATTAAACACTATAGACTATTTCTCAATAGTTGATATATCCATTACTGCATGGATTGCCTGTAGTAGCACATAGAGAGCATAAAGGTATACACTACACAGATGAAGTTATAGCAACAAGACTTGTTGAATTGTGATTTCAGCAAATGGTGGGTATTTCTGTAAAGGCTGGAAGTAAGGAAATAAAAAAAGTAAGAAAGAGAAATGTTCCAACTCACTGAAGGAAGGAGATTTGATACAGCAGTTCCTGATGATGTAATTACTATTGCAGGCTTCCGAGAACCTCTCCCATAGCCAAGAGCATGAAATCCAAGTGAACGCTCATCATAACATGATATGCAGGTTGTCAAAGGATGGACTGAAGCAGAAAGTGCAAGTGGGGATGATCTCGACCCTGGAGCTATACAGAAGTACTAAAGCAAACCAGGTCAGAGGCATGGTAAAAACGCTAGAGCTATGTATTCAGTTAAGCTTACCGTAAAACCAAGCCTGACAAATTCTTCAACTATGAAGGATGCCCATGCCAAATTAATGTTAGAGCATCTCCTAATGAAAGATTCAATTTTGTTGCTTTGCAAACATAAATCCTATAAAAAAATTAGATAAGTACAACTTCAATTACAGAGAGCAAATTACATACTATCTGTTTTTAAGCTAACCCACCAATTATATCATATTCTAATTATATGCATCATTTTTTTTAAATTGGAAAGTAGAAAATGCTGTAGGAAAAGGCTTACTACAGAAAGCTTGTACTCCCTCCGTTTCACAATGTAAGTCATTCTAGCATTTCCCACATTCATATTGATGTTAATGAATCTAGATAGGCATATGTCCAGATTCATTAACATCAATATAAACGTGGGAAATGCTAGAATGACTTATATTGTGAAACGGAGGAAGTATTTAACAAAATAATTTAATGGTTATTTATGAAAAAAAGAAACTCAGGTAGAAACCATTACCATGTTTGCACAAAACAAGAACTGCGGCGAAAACCGAACAAATGACTGATCAGAAGTTGGGCAATTCTCCTACAGACAAAAGAATAAGTTCCATATCCGATCAGGGATATAAATTCAAGTTTATTGTGTCTAGTCTTATAAGAGAACATGAACAACAAAAAGTTTAAAAAGGAAATAATAGGAAAATTATGTCTGTCCTAATAATTGTGGCGAGGTCTATGTGTACCCATGAACTTCTTGACTTTAACTTTTTGGTCCATGAATTTGTGGAGTTGGTCAAAAGCAATTCAACTAACTAACAGGTAGGCAAACTTGTTAGTTACCAGGTAATGCAGGGCAGCAGGGACGTAAAAAAAATAATCTTGAATTACTATTATAAATGTGATAGGTGTGAATGTGCCTTCCAGCAAGATACAGACAAAATATCCATAAACCGCAAAGAAAGAAACATAATATTCCTTTTTGCAAGGGGCATTTCTTATATTAAAACCAGGGATTAATCTCAATTGCAAAGTAATGAAATAGCTTAAAGAAGCTTACCAGGGTTAAGAGGATACCTTTTCCGTGACAGCTTTGCCATCTATTACAGCGAGAAATTCAGCATCCAAGTATACCTGGAACAGTGGATTCAACAAAATCAAATTGAGCACTTTGATGTCTGATGATAATAGGAATAGCAGATAACTGTCGAAATACATAAACAGCTATAAAGAGTGTTTGCGTGCAAACTAGAACTATGTTCCATAACTCACAAACTGGTTAACGATGAATAGCCAAAACTCTGTATGGAATACAATATGAGCACCCAATCTATATCATTAGCCATAGCTAATTTTTTTGGAAGCCAGCATGTTCTATATGTTAAAAGGCATAGACGTTTCATTTATCTATTTTTGTTGAAAAAGAGGATTTTTTTTATCATTCAACCAAAAACAAAATGGTGGGAAGAATGGCCATTAGAGATTGGAGAAGCAATTGTTGCAAACTTCAGTAGAGCACATCACAAAACTCTGCTATTATAATCCTCCGTAATATAACTAAATAATGTTTCAGACTCAAAACCCTGTGAACTAATTAAGGCATAGAAGTAAGAACATCGGAATAGTGAATATGAGTGTTCATGTGAAGGCCTGATACAACTGAAGCTTCATCACAGATGGACTTTGCAGAGTGGAGAACAAATGGCACAAGCGTAAATTCATGAAATTAACAAAGTGATTAAGATTGATAGAAATATGTACCAACTGAGTATTCCTGCTCTCTGACATACGCGATTCTCCAATGTAACTTGTTACCATGTTTTCATAACAGATAGTAGCTGAAGAATCATAGCTACTCCATATCTTACAGGGGAAAATACAAAACAGAAAATTAATTGTTTTAAAAGAACATGGAAATGCTATATTAATATGAAAGAAAGTTAAACAGAATTAAATATATTTTTTTCTTAATCTAGTTAGTTCCACATACCTGACTGAAACAAGATTCAAATAAACAAACAGAATCCTCAAATGTGTGAGACACGGAGTCATCCCAAACAATAGTTGACGATAACATGGAATAGCCATCAAATTCACTCAGCTCAACCTGTAAATTCAATTTTGCTGATCATCACGAATGCTATAAGATCAAATATCTACATTATGCCTGCAGAAGATAACCAAGAAAGAATTCTGTAAATTCTTACTGCCTCCTATGTGACTTGTATGCAAGAATGCAAGAAAAATCCTCAACCAAGTTGACCTCCACTTTTAACCCTTTGCATTTGCATTACTTTCTGTGCAATAACTTACCAGTCAAAGTAGGTCATAAAGCGTTGTGATCCTCTTGTAAATTGTTTATGTAGATCTTTTTAATACATTAAAAAAATGTTCTAATAGGCTAACTTCTATGTCATTTTTCTAGATATAAGTGCAGTACTTGTGCCACTCATGCATGTTCAGAATAGGACTTTCTTTGCACCAACGGATTACTTTGAGGACCCCACCACAATCATAAAAAGGCTAACAAGAAAAATTCAGGTGTAAAACTGTTTCTGTTGTCTGACAATATGATATTAAACCATGTAACCAAATTTATACAGGGAATGTCATATCACAGAACTTCGAGGATTTTCCTTGCTAAATTCAAAATGGCTTGTACACATAGTCTGTATCTCGCACCAACTTGATAAATATTCAGGTAGCTAGAGTAGCACCACAGAATACTGAAAGTTGTTACCTGAGGAATAAAGAAGTAAAATGAACCAATTCTCTCCTCTAAAGACAATAGTTCCTTGTCATATTTAACACCTACTGATCCATAGGCTCTAATCAAGTGTGAATTAAACGAAAGATATCTGCAGGGACAAACAGGTCCTAATTTAGTTAGAAACACCCTGCATCACACGTACGCTACGGAAAGCAATAGAGAGGAGGCACCTTGATATCAAATCAAACCCATTATCTACTCGAGAGGAACCATGAAAGCAAATTGCAGAGCCAGCGCCAGAGATTTCAAGCTGAATTGATGAATCAGTGGTTTGCTTCCTCGACAAATAAAACTGAGGAAACAATGATGATCTCTTAAACTGTGTGCACAGCCATTTGAGCGCCTTCGTACTGGGTGGAACAAGCACCTGCACCGTTGCATTGTCAGAACTGAGAATTAATCATCATTGTTTCACTTGTTGCTTAGACCGTAAGGGATAAACAAATCCAAATGCATCGCAAAGCATAAACAATGAGCTAGACGCGAGCTCGATTTACGCCTATTGCGTCAAGGAGCTGAGTGGATTATTCAATAATTTCACAGTGCTGGATTAAAATTCGTAAGGGAGGGGGGGGAGCATGTCGCCTCGCCGCCGCGCAGCAAATATTGCAGCGGCTGCTCACAACGAAACCAACTGCAAATCTGTAAAACACGACATATCCCCTCCCACACAGCCTCGCTGGGCGGCTCACCTCGAACCGGATGACGCCGCTCGCGGCGGCGGCAGGCGGGCAGGCCTTCACCTCCTCCCCGGCCCGCCGCAGCGCGGCGAGGCCGTCCCCGAGGGTGAGCACCGGCGGCAGCCTCCGGGTGAACGACACGTCCACGGGGAGGTCGCGGTCGCCGACCTCGCCCACCTCGTCGACGTCGATCACGATGCCCGCGCGCCTCGCGGCGACGGCGCGAAGGAGGAGGAGGCCGCCACCGCCGCCGCCGCATAGGCAGCGGCGCCGGCGAGGGGCGAGCAGAGGACGGCGAGGGGATAGGAGAGGAGGAGGAGGAGGAGGAGGAGGGGTGGTGAATGTGCCGGGGAGGACGGGGAGGGGGAGGAGGCGGTGACCGGAGGAGAAGACGACGGCGAGCATTCCGGCGAGGTGGGTGGAGTGAATAGGAGGAGACGGCAGGTGTAGTGTTCGAAATTTTTAAGCAATTTTTAATGTGAGGGGATAAGGTTTCTGGGCCCACGTGGACAGAATTTTCAGATTTCCGGCCTACACGTATATATGGGCTAGAGATCGGCCCAATCAAAATATCTCAAATCGTCCATGCCAAATATAATGTTCATTCAATTTTTCCTCAGAAATATTCGTTATACAATTTTTTTTGCAGAAATATATTATCGATATCGTACAACCGTTACGCGAAAATAACATGGTGACGTCGTGGACGGTATCGCACGATGAAAGTACGAGATAACGCGAGACCGCGCGGTCTCGCGGAATGAAAGAGCGAGACCAAACGCTCTCGTGAAATCAAACAGCGAAATTGTCCAATATCTCCATTTGATTAGTAATTAATTAATCAATTAACAATCAACTAGTAATAATTAGTGATTAATTATCCTAGTTAGCAATTAATTAATAATTAATTAATCACTAATTAGGATAATTAATCGCTAATTAAATCATAATGGCACCGGTATCGCTCCTTGCTTGAGCGAGACCGAACAGTGTCGCACTTATAATCCGCGAGACCGCGCGGTCTCGCGTCGCGTCGCTACGCGAGACCGCACGGTCTCACATTTTCTTTGCGCAATACCGTCCGCGACGTCATTCCACGTCATTTTCACGCAACGGTTGTGCGAAACCGACGGTATATTTCTGCAAAAAAATTTGTATCCCGAATATTCCTGAGAAAAAATTGAACGAACAATGTATTTTCAAATTTAATTCTGGTTATAATAGGGTTAGAGATGGGTTGATCCATCAACTTGGACTAAATAGATGGGTAATTTACAGGGTCAATCCACTTGATTAATCTATTAAGTGAATTTATGGTTTGATTTACTTGCATCCATGCCTGGTAGGTTTCATACTGAACTTAAACTTTTGAGTGGAACCAAAACTAAACTTAACTTTTTAGTGGAACCAAAACTAATCCATAGATAAACATCGCTTTCTAGGTTGATCTATATTATCCATGGGTTATTAGGGTTGATCTAACTTGATGTCGGTAGCCTTGTCACATCATAGTAGAAGGAGCAACCACTCCATACAACTCAAGCTCCTCCATCTTCAACATTGCTAAGACCATAAACAAATGGTGATCATGTTGACGATATAGCTCTAAGCCTCTAACTAAAAGGGACAATATCAAGATGTGCTAAGGTTTAACTCTTTTATTCTTGTGCGTCTTTAGTCGAGACCTTTATTATTTTGGATTGATATGACTCTCTACTACTTAGAATTGAGTATAAAGACAATAGTTCAACACTCGAACAGTTCCTATGCCTACAAAACATAAGAAAAAAAATTACTATAGCATAAGGGGAAACTTTACTGTACAAGTTATATCTTTAAATACTTTATTTTAGAAACTTAAAATAACATACTTAAGGGGGAAAACGACTATATATTCTCACACATCATGTATTGTTCTTTTGCAATGTTCTATTTACATCGTAATCCTCATATGTGATGCACTTATTGACTTTTGTACTTGAGTACTTTAATTTTTTTTACAATAGAAGTATAACTTCGGGTGAATGTATTAACCAATACTCTACACATAGTCATGCTTATGGGCACTATGATCTAAATCTTGTTATATAGTAGATTAATACACTCACAATTCCTAGATGTGCAATATTCATGATTTAGAAGTTAAACTAACTTTGTAGGAATACTTTTAAAATGAATCTTTTAAGAATATCTCTAACAAAAGATGTATCAGTGCTGTTAAGGAACAATAATTATAAACCCTTAGGACAACCACAATGTATGAAAAGATAACCTTAAAATAACGATTGAAGTTATAAAGTGAGTCATATACATTGTGGAAAGTAGTATTACCTTATGGTATACCTTATGCTTATGCTTAAGGTCTACCACAAGAAAAAGAAATCATTATTTTCCTCTCGCATTCACCTCATTAATCAGAGCCAAAGCATTTTTTTATCTCATGTGGGTCTATCTTGTGACCAAATCCTATCTATAGAATTGTGAGAATTGCTTTAACAATGATCAATTATTTATGGGATACATGTTAAGGTTACACCAAAAAAAAAACACCGACATTGCCTTGTGGTCTAATATTTTTCTGATCTTATTTTTTCTCCAAATGCATTTCCTTTGTATGATAACATTTATATTCAGCTGTATGAATAAGTTACAAATAATTCACCTATTGATTATTTACAAACACACAAGAAATATACAATTATTTTTGAATCTCGATGAATCCTACCCATAGGATAAAAAACCCACAAAACTCGCTAAACAAGTTATCATAACCATTTTCGGATTATTAATCATAGTACACCAAGTCAAAAAAAAAATGTCAAAAATGGTTGAAAAGTCAACCTGGCTACAATTCCCATCTCTTCTTTTCAACGGTAGATGCAATACAATTCCCAGCTTCCTGGGATTAGGGGCCTGTTTGGTTTCCACGGACTTATTCCAAGTCCATGTCACACCAGATGTTTGAATACTAATTTGGAGTATTAAACATACATTAATTATAAAACATATTCCATATCCTTGGACTAATTCACGAGACGAATCTTTTGAGTCTAATTATGTCATGATTTTGACAATGTGATGCTACAGTAAACTTTTTATAATTATAGATTAATTAGGCTTAAAAAATTCGTCTCGCGGATTAGCTCTCATTTATGAAATTAGTTTTTTTATTAGTCTATATTTAATACTCCAAATTAGCGTCCAAACATCCGATGTAACATGGGCTAAAAAGTTTTAGCCCTATCTAGACACCCCTTATAAAACACGGTTCATTACGCGCTTTCTATTGTACCACTCCGTGCAACCACTGCGAGACTAATAATAAAAAAAGGAAAAATATAAAATAAAAATAAACAAGTGGGGAGTAGTAGTAGACTCGTAGTGGTAAAACAGAGGCGTCGGCTGAGTCAGAGGGCGAAGAGGAACAGAGGAGGGAAGTCCAATCGGAATCCACCCCGGCCCCAACCGGGGTCGCCTCCCCTCCCCTCTCGATCCTTCTTCATCCAGCTTCGCGGCCGGCGCGGCGGAGGAGAGATCGATTTCTTGCTCCTACTCGATTCGGCCTCCGGCGGCGGATGGGGGTCGCGGCGGCGGCGGGCCGGCTCCTGGCGGCGGTGGACTGGGAGCGGGAGGCCTACCCGGCGTACCGCGACTTCTTCGCGCTCCCCTTGTTCGCCGTCTTCTTCCTCGTCGTCCGCTACCTCCTCGACTGCTTCGTCTTCGAGGTGAATCTGTTACTGTTGACCTGTTGGGTGCGGAAAGCAGCGAAGCTTTTGTTTTGCTGGTGTGTGTGTGTTTTCCCTTCTTCTTCTCCGGGCTGGATTTCGCGTTGGAGGAATCACCAACCAATCCGATCGCGTTGGATAGCTAGCTAGCTGGGTTTAGTTTATGTGTGTGGGGGGAAACAAAGGCGCTGCTAGCTTTTTAGCGTTTTAATGATTGCTTGTCGGGCTAGCTTGGCATGCGTTTCGCGTTTCCTGGAATTGTGGGGGGAGAGATCAAACGCTCGGATTCTCAGGAGAGATGTGCTGGTACATCATGGCATTGCTGTATTGGAGAGTCGTCCTCTTCTCTTGTCTAATGATTATCTGGTACTCTGAATCTGATTTTTTGTTACGGAGGGGCCCCTGTTGTGTTGCGCTGCAGTGGTTAGTCAGGGAGTATAATGGTTTAAGATTTAAGGTTTGTTCTTTGGTGATGAATAGTGTGATCTCTGAGGCATAGGCGCATCAACTATAACAATAATGGTATACAGTTTCAACATCTTAAACAATAAGAATTTAGTGATTTAGCTATCAAGATCCATATATGATTCCCTGGGTTAGTTTGTCTTCCATTAAGAAAATACATATATAATGTATTTTTCGAGGCGAACAATGACGGACTTACTGGGCCAGCCTGAACACAAGTTTATTAAGGTAAAAGTTCATGCAAGGAGAAGGGTTTTGCGAGCAGAGAAATGGATTGCAAGTTGAGTTGATATCTCTCATAACCTATCACACGACTATACAATTTACTGTTTATCAGTGGCATAAGGCAGCGATGTGCTGCGAATTTGAGGTTGTCAGCAGCTCAGTGCAGCAACAGACCACGAGTAGATCTGAGTGGTTTCTGGCATAAAGAGAGCAGTATTTCTCTCGTGTGAGCATCTTGAGCAAGGTTAATGTAATTTATATCCCTCAAAAACTAGAAATACCTCGCGGTTATAAATTTGCAAATTGCAACCATCTCATTGCAGTAAGAATAGTTGCAACCGCCACATTTATTGTATGAGTAGTATACCTTTCCACTGGGCTATCTGTAACCAGGAAAACATTTGTGTCGTGATGTTTTCTTGAGATTTTTTTTAGATAATCTTGATATGTATGTTGAGGTATATGTTAGCATGCTATTCATCTTTATGTTACATACCATTATGTTATTTAAAAGGTAATTCTGATCATTACAAGTCATCAGGACGGAGAACTAAGACACTAGTGAGGGAGAGTTCTTTCACTTCTAATATGGATGGACTTAAGCACAAGCACACAATGATGCCTTCTTTATGAACATTTACTAACTCAAAGTCTAGGTTGGAGTGCGATACCTAAGTTGATTACATATAGCTTTTTTCACAAGAAAATTATTTAGACAGATGCATGACTACAATATACAGACATCACAGGGTACTGCAATTATGGCACATGGCCATCTGGTTACCATTTGTTCTGTATTTGTTTGAGACATTTTTTTTGTTTGCTAGATGAGATCATTTGCTTCACTATGAGGGTTATTATGATTCTAAAGTAATTTATGCTTCTTAAATACATGATTGGTGAAAGGTTGAGCACAACAGCTACTTTAATTCTGTATTCCGAACCCACCAGAAAATTACTCTTGTTCCTGTATAGTTCTAATAGATTCTCTCAGGCTCCACGTTGTATCATAGATATTTTTACTTTAAATAATTAACATTTTCAATTGTTAATGTAATTCTAAAGCTTAATGTTGACACTTTCATTGTTTTTCTTTTATTTTCGTTTCAGTGGATTGGAAGAAAACTTATATTTGGAAAGGAAAAGGTTGATTATGAGAAGGAGGAAACAAGAAAGAAGATAAGAAAATTTAAGGAATCAGCTTGGAAATGTGTCTATTTCCTATCTGGAGAGATTTTATCTTTGTCAGTTACATATAATGAGCCTTGGTTCACAAACACTAAATATTTCTGGGTTGGACCTGGTGACCAGGTTTGGCCTGACCAAAAGATAAAGTAATACGAATTGGTCCTTTATTGCTTCATGTTCTTACTAGTTCTCAGGCTGGTGTATATCTAACAATTTTCCCCTTATCTACAGATGGAAACTTAAGGCTGTCTATATGTATGCTGCTGGATTCTACACATATTCCATATTTGCACTTATGTTTTGGGAAACAAGGCGTTCAGATTTTGGCGTGTCAATGTCACATCATGTTGCAACTGTTGCGCTGATAGTTTTATCTTATGTGTTCAGGTCTCTTTTTGTCTAACTTTTAATTTTTGTTGTTTCTTGAATATGAACTTTTTTTACCTTGATTCAAGCATTACTCTATGAGTTAGTAGCACAGGGCCTTAATATTTTATCTTCACTGAGTTTATTTCACTCATTTTTATTAACACTTAACTAATTTATTTCTGAAATTTTTCTTCATGAACCAGGTTTGCTAGAGTTGGCTCAGTAGTATTGGCAATTCATGATGCAAGTGATGTGTTCCTGGAAGTAGGGAAAATGGCCAAATATAGCCATTGTGATTTGCTTGCCAATGTTGCATTTCTTCTTTTCGTCGTTTCATGGGTTCTTCTCCGTCTCACATATTTTCCGTTCTGGATTCTCAGAAGTACAAGGTAAATGTGATGTACTGACCTTGTTGAGATATGCCTAGAAAAGTCAGCCAGAATTTTGTGAGAAAGAAGTTTTTTTGAAAACTAGCCTAGAACCCGTGCATTGCAATGGAAAACAAATTGAGTTTTTAGCTTATTAAATCAATCAATAAGCACTTATTTGTTCTAAGTAATACTATGATTTTTCTTATTGAACAAGTGATTTTGAAATTTAGGGGAGCCAATAGTGAAATGGGGGATGACTTGTTGAAAGGTGGTGTAATAGTTGTGGGGTTCAGATGTTAGTGGTAGGGGTGGTGTGGGGATGGACACCACCACTTCTAACATTTTAAGTACTATAGATGTTGTGAATTGTCAAAAGCAAGCATATTATTTACTATGCGAAATTTGTACCATATGAACTTTGGATGGTGAATTCTGCTGTTCTTGCCAATGCCTTCATTTTAAGGGGAGAAAAGAAACCCAAGCCAACAAGTAATTCAGTTAGAAAACAGTAATTGTATCCAGTAGGAAAAAGACCTTTGAACATAGCACAGTATCTTATGCCTCTTGAAAACAAACTTATCTAGATCATGCCACCGCATGCTGAAATTAATTTTGGATTTTATTTCCGATCCTTTCTATGCCATGATAATCATACTTATATTGTACAAAATATATGTGTGATAGCAGACTAGAATACTATGTACAATAGTATCTTGCTGTCCCATTGTCCCAGCATGTAACAAAATGGTGTTTTCATTCCTTATTTATTAGAAGTTACATGAGCTGACTAAGTCCCGATTGCTTCAGCTATGAAGTCTTGTTGACCTTGGACAAGAAGAAGCACAATTTTGATGGTCCTATATATTACTATGTGTTCAATTCTCTCCTATTTTCACTACTTGTTCTTCACATATATTGGTGGGTTCTGATATATCGGATGCTTGTGAGACAAATCAAGACAAGAAATGTTGGAGATGATGTTCGATCTGGTAAGCTCTGCCCCCTTAGAATCTTGTTTTTGCACAGGATGAGCATGCAAAATTGCATGGTCTTATTTTCAGTCCCATCTGCATTGGGACAAGACAAAGTCTGCTTATAACATGCATTACTCCAACCACCATTGTGAGTTGAAAATTATTTTGAGTTTGCTACCATCTAAAACTGTTCTGCTTTATGTGCAGACTCTGAAGGTGAAGACGAGCATGAAGATTGATTGCTGAACCATCTGGTTTCTATCTTCTCATGATGCTAGGAACGCCAATATCTCAGCTTATGATGAATTCTTTTCCTGGATGAGGGAACATGTGCAGATTGTTTGGATATGAGTATTATTGTTCATGCGAATTCGCTACAGAGCCGAGCAATCATTTCCTCTGTCCCGGTAGGATATTTGTGTGTTGATGCATTGTATGCACGAGAGGTCGCACTCCGAACCTTCCCTCTGGCTGATCATCACAGAAGATATTCTTTGACTTCTCAGTTCTTGTAGAGATTGAAATGTACCGAAAGGTGTACCAGTAGCGAAAATGTAGTATATAATTCCAGAAATGCAGTCTACATATACTAAAACCCTTTCTTGGTCATTTGTGTAAGATACGTATACCATATGACCATTATATGAAATTGTGTACTATTACTATCGTTCTATCAGTATTAAACTACATTACAGCTGCCCACGATCACTTTGTATGCTGGGAGGTGCAGTTTGCATCTTGCGAGATGAACTGCGAATCGTGAAGTGTGAAGCGATAATTATTTCACTTCCCAGGTTCCATATTGTAACCAGTCTTATGTGAAGAATGAAGCCACATGGATTTGTATAGTAAAGCACACGAGCTACTCCCTCTGGTCGATAATACTCTGATTTGAATAAGACTATTGTCAAATTTTAAGATCTTTATAACATCTAAAATATTTATCTTAGAAATATGGAAACCATATTTATAGATAAGTCTTAAAAAAATACTTCAATAAATTATTGATATTTATATATATATATTATAAAATAGTGACCATTTGTTGTTTCTTGGAGACTGTCCTTATATAAAACGACAAATATTATTAACTTAGAGAGAAGTCGATATGAACTAAGAGAAATATCGTCAATATCTATTTTATATACTAAAAGTACTTTAAACTTCCTCAAAACGCTCTTATGTTATCACGTGGCTTTCTCAAAACACTCCCAAACTGTCACGTATATACTAAAAGTCCATTAATCTTCTCCAAAAGGATTTCAAGCAGCCACATAGCTTCTTCATAGCAGTAGTATGTGTCACATTATTCTCTTCTAGATTAACTTATTTTAGAATGGAGGTAGCATCCTTTAATTATCTACTATCTTCTTCGTCATCTCTAAAAAGAAAGTAGACTTCGTTTGTCTAGAAAAATGTCTAACAGATTATTAAGAGGGTACAATGTGCATGTTGTGCGTTCATAAAGATGACTGTGCGCACGTTTACAATATTATTAAAAATATATAATATTCAAATATTATCCAAATTATTCAAAATAATTTTAATACAAATATTAAAATTATCAAAAAAATATTCAAAATAATACAATATCATAATGGTCAAAATGCCAATAGCAAAAAATTATGACAATTTCAATAAGGTGTCCGTGAGAATGTGTGAGCTACATTTCTAGTTTAGAATAATAGGGGTAGTTTAGAACAGGTTATATAAGCAACGCTGTTGCAGAAAATTTTGACAGAGAAATTGTAGTTTGAGAACCGTGGTAACAATAATAGTTCATAATTCGATAACTAAGCTGAAAAAAACGTCTCGCGATTTCCGGACGGGCCTACCTCCGAAGGGAGGCGCTAACGTTGTAAGCTTGTGCAGAAAAGCAGATGGAGAATCGATGAACCTGTGTGCGCGCCGCTGCATCTCTCCCTCTCTCTCCTTTCACCCAAATCGCGAAAGCAAAGCTGGCCGATATTTGCTCGGAGTAGGGGACTACTCCTAACCCCAAGAGGCCAAGATTCCCCCGAGAAATATGGTCTCGGAGAGGGAATCCACGACCGTGACGTCGGAAGGGTAGCTAGGGAGCAGCGCAAATTCAATCTTCCCATGGACGATCGATCGATCGACACGCCGCTAGCTCACGCGCGCGGCGATGGAAAGCAAGCGAGCCAGAGGCACAGGCAGGCAGCCTGCCAGCCTAGCTCCGCTGATGGCCGGCCGGTCACGCACCGCGCGCCCACCACCACCGGGCCACACACCGTCTCGCCCACATGCCCCCCACCACGGCACCGCGGGCAGCTGGGCCATATTCACCCGGTATTTCTTCCCCTACACCTACGACATGACAAGTGTACAGGAGAGGAGCAGCATTCTCAGCAAGATTTTGGACTGTGTACGTCCGTGTGCAGTATATGGTCCTTTCTTTATCTCCAACCAAAGTTAGATGAAGATTACACGCTTTTCAAACTACTAAATGGTGTGTTTCGTGTAAAAAAACTTTCTATATGAAAGTTGCTCTATAATATCATATTAATCTATTTTTCAAGTTTGTGAAAATTAAAACTCAATCAATCATACGTTAATACCACATCGTTTTGCGTAAAAAACTTAAATCCTCATTTTCATTTCATCTTCATCTTCAGGAGAAAAGAACGTGCGATATGTGTTCAGATCAGCCTGTTCACGGTTTGGGCTCAAACCGTTCAACCCGTGAAACCAAACCAACCCAAACCGTTTTTCCATTTATTCACGGGCTGGTTTGGGACCAGCTTAACCCATTGAACCCGGCCATGTCTCGTCCTTCAGGACCTGCGCTGCCATTACCTGATAGCTTCCGCGGCAGCAAGACGCCATGGCGAAGGCATCTGCGTGATCGAGGAAACCAAGCAAGCATCGGCTATTTAGCACGCACGTAAGTGAACAACCCCGTAGACGTTGGTGCCGGCGGCGCCGATGCCGGCGAGGATGCCGAGGCAGCCAAACGGCGGCTCCCATCCAAGGAGGAAACAATCGCTAGCTCGCCGCCGCCGCTGGCTTCCTGCCTGCCTGCCTCCATCGCATGGAAAGGCTAAGAGCCATGGTGCAATCGCCCGCTGTTGAGCTTGGAAGGACATCCATGGTTGTGTTGCTGTTCTTCTGCTTAATCCCGGTTTAACCTGTCAAAACCGTTCAAAACAAACCGTATAAACCGGTACTAGTATTTCTGGGTTGGTTTGCCTTTTCTGACCAAACCGCTAAAAACCGTCGATGAACAACCCTATGTTGAGATATATCACATATATAGGTGGTGTTTGAATCTCCAGAAGATGGAGATGAAGATGAAGATTAAGTTTTTTTACGCAAAACGAGGTGGTATTAACGTATGATTGATTGAGTTTTAATTATTACAAATTTTAAAAATAGATTAATATGATATTTTAGAGCAACTTTTATATAGAAAGTTTTCATACGAAACGGACCGTTTAGCAGTTTGAAAAACGTGCCACCAAAATTTTAATCTTCATTCAACTCTTGTTGGAGAAAAGAACTGGGTCATATTAGATTACATTTATATTGAGATGGGTACAGTACTACTTACTTCTCTCATTAAAAAAAATAAAAAAAAACTAAGATATTTTCATGTACAACGAATATAAATTTTAGGAAATGTCACCGAGGTATATTTTCAAACGGGGAGAGCAATTAATTAATGAATCGCCCGAGGCAGAAAGTGATAGCATCGCGGCTTTTGAGGCTAGCCTAGCTTCCTTCTGGGCGCTATGTGCAGGCCGTTGCTCACCAAAGCGATGCATGGAAACTACCCACCGCTTTGGTCTCTTCATGCATAGCTACAGAGCTTTCTGGCAGGTTCGCTCCCGCTTTGCCGTACGTGTCTGCGCGTGACGATGCCGCGGAATCAACCGGAGGAGACGCTCCCCATGCATTTGCGGCTAGCTTTGCAAAGGCTATTTGCAGCTTAAAATGTCTTTCAGAATTTTCTAGACCTTTCTAATTAGTAGTGTATCAAATTAAAAGTATGATGCTAATTGAGAGCGTCTGTTGAGCGGTTAAAATGGTGGTGGGAACGCGCACCGAGCCGGGCGAGGCGTGGATTCTATCTCCCTTGATTTTGGCTCTCCTCCGTTAGACACCTCCATTCATATGGTTCTAAGCTGCACTTAGGTTCTCCCCGATCCTGAGCACTTGCGCACACAAGTATTCGGACGAGCAGGTCTTAACTCCATCCACCAGAGTACCTGCAAGGGCAGGTGGTGATTAAATTTTTGGGGAGCGCATCCTTCATGCGACTGCTCTGCGTCAAACTGACGCTACTTCATCTACACCGAGCCATCTCTACTTCCTCTGCATCAACCTCCGGACCATGTTGATTAGTACCGGAAACAGAGACAATGGCGGCAATGACCACTGGGGCGACTACACCAACACCACCGTCTCTGGATTCAGATTATTCTTCTGTACATTACGCACCCTTTTTATTTTAGTGTTAAACATGTTACTATGATGATATTAATATTATTAGCACTATCATTGAATCATCTATTACTTTTATGTCATGTTTAGTATAATAATTTTCTGAATTAAAATATACTGAATTATGATTAGATTTTCAACATATTTGTCATGAAAGATTGTGTCATGTAGTTTTATTTTTAGTTTTCTTATAGACATATAGTTTGAGAAAGTAATTAACCACGTAAATTCGAGATTGTGTCAAATGTTCAAAACATCCTTGTGAGTACGAAGGTAGTATAATATTCTTTCATACTCTTGTTAATTAAATGCTACGTACCACTCTCATATATCAATGGAGTGTTTTAAAAATCTAGCAAAATGCCCATGCTTTACTATTGGTAATTAAATAAAATATATAATAATATGTCATAGGTGATTTTTTTTCTTGTAAAATTGCAAAAGTAGTAGTGGTGTTGGCGAATCACCATCATCACTATTATTTTTTAGTAGTATAGAAATTAGAAATATATAAATGAAGTATCCTTTCAAGTATACGATAACTGTATATGACAACAAGATCATTTTAACAGTTCTCTTATTTTCTATGTACAGCTCTAAAATGATATATTCATATATAGTATTTGGAGTCAAAGGGGAGTACAAATTAAAGAGTGTCTTCTGGTTGAGGCTTTTTTGAGGGATTCGGCTATTTAGCATCACTGATATATATGGATGGTTAGAAAAGAAGATATATAGCTATGTTAAAGCTACGTATATCTCGAAAAAGACACTATTCAAGTCGATCGGATCGGACTGACATGAGTGACTGAAGTATTGGTGGTATATATTGACTCCCTTTTAACAATATGATCGAACTAATGATTAGTAGTATCAGTCAGTACAATAACACAGAGCGGACAAAAACACATATTCCCTTCATCTAAAAATATAAGCATTTTTTACTCTGATACGGTCTTCGAAATGCTATTTTGACCAACAATATCTATCAAAGTAAGATGTTTTAAATAAAAATAGTTACATATTTTAATAGTTGTTCAATGATAAATCTAGTAACATCAATTTTACATGATTGATGTTTTTTATTTTTTTCTATTAATAGTCAAAGTTAAAAATGTTTAACTTGTTACTATGTTAAAAATGCTTATATTTTGGAACGGAGGGAGCAGTAAATATATAAGGGAGATCAGAAGGCAGCAGGTCCATCGTAAAAAAAAAACATGGAAAATTAAAACAGGTATTTCTAGTCTGCATGACATACACTCCGATATGATCTAGAAACATCAAATTCATAAATATTTTCCATTAAAGATGGTCCATGCATGCAAAAGTGTGATGCTAAAATATGTTTATTATCTTTATATATATATTTTTGAGAATTACTTATATATAATTAATATGTGTTGCTGCTTAATTAATTTCCACATTCTTGTTTGTGTTTCTTAATTTTAGGTATACGGGGCCGAAGTCGGCTGTGTGTCATATATATGATGTAGAGTCGTTTGAGATTTCTATTCTATTATTAAAAAAGTTGGAGGTATATCATAGCTAGCTCCTTTCTGAAAATTGCAACGAATTAATAAAAGGCGAAATTATATGCATGTTAAAATTCAATCTCTATATAAGTTGTACATATGCTCACATGTGACAAAAATAATAAATTTAAGTCAATCTAGTATACATATGCTCATAGTCATATTTGATTTTTCAACTTATATAAGTCAAATTAATTTAACCCTATATTTTATATATATAGTGAGATGTATCACATACTACTTATCTTATTATTTTGTTAAAAAAATATAACTATTTAAACGATATGCAAAGTACCATAGGACAGTAGGATTAAAAGAGTTCACATGCTCCACATACATATACACATGGCAAGATCTCGATCTGTGAACCGGCATTACAATTATTCGTGGTCTAAATAAACATATATAACATAATAATCCACAACAAACATACATAACAATTTAACATATACATATATGAGAAGAATTTAATTATGTAAACGGAGACCTACGTACGTACATGCGGTGCGGTACACAAATGGCCGGTTGAGACAACAGATGCAGTACATATATATGGCCGCGCCGGCGGCCGTCGTCCGCCGTCGCCGTCGCGCGTACGCTAGTCCCCCTCGATCCAATGAAAGATTGGTATCGTTGAGCTGTGGGTGTGGTTGGAGATCGAGATGTGTAGATCGAGCTAGCTAGGCGGCGGCGACCTGCTTCCTCTGGTGGAAGCTGTTGATGTAGTCGGAGGCCTTGCGGTCGACGTCGCGCTCGCCGACCCACCACGCGCCGTAGTCCTCGTCGCTCGACCTCACCTTGCTCCCGTACCTCGCCGGCCACTCGCCGCTCAGCTCGCCGTCGTCGTCGTCGTCCTCGTACCTCCTCGACTTGCACGACAGGAAGCTGAAGATCGGGCACAGGAACGACGACTTCCCTCCCATCCCCTCTTCCTCTCCTATATCTTCTAGCTTCCTCTCTTCTCTTCTCTTCTTCTTCTGCTGCTTATGATGCCAATTAAGCTAGCTAGCTTAATGCAATATTCGATATCTGCAGTGGCTATGCTAATCACAAGGTGAGCTGAGGCTGAGGTGCTCGGCTTGGAGCACAAACCCCCAATTTATAGAGGCTGATGGATGGAACTGTACATGTACTATGGTGGATGCAAGCTAGCTAAGCTGATTAATTAAGCTAGGGCTCTAAAAAAAATTAAGGAGCACGCGTACGTATACGCGGCAGGGGGATCGGGGTAGGGAGGAGGCAGGTATTGGACGGACCAGATCGATCGCGAGCGCGCGAAAAACGATGCCAATTAAGAAAAGGGGCAAGATGCTAAAGCGAATGCATGTATGTTTAATTCTCTCTATTGGATTAGAGAGGAAGAGGCAGAGAAGATTATTGATGACGAAACCGGCGATAGCTAGATTAGCTATGGCGGAAAAGGGCAGGGCAGCGCGGTTTCCAGTCCTCTGCTTTAGTTTTCGCTAAGCTAGGCTATAGCTAAGCTAGAGACCAAGGAGAAAAAAGAACTTGGAAAAAAGCTAGGCAAAGCATGCATGGATGAACTGATCTCTCTCTCTCTCTCTCTCTCTCTCTCTCACTGGCTATCTCTCTCTGGGCCGTCCTTGCTGCTGCACAGCTTGATTCAACTGATGCTTAATTGAATTGCAGGATGAATCGATGATCGATGATGATCATTGGCAGCATATATACATCACTATCTCTCTCACTCTCAAAGAGAGCTTTGGAGAGCACTATGCAGAAAGGGCATATGAAAAATATCCAAGAAAAGAATATCTCATCATCTCATGTGCGTTGCTAATTAAGCTGTGTGTGGTACCGTGTACTGGGCTGGCTTTGTTTGCATTTCGCAACTTGCAGTTAAACATAGCATGAAATAAGCTTAATTTGCAGTTTAATTAGGTACATAACATGCAGTGTAAAAAGTTGTACTATAGTTTAGCTTGCAGCTGCGTGCTAGCTGCGTGCATGCTCTCTCCTAATTAACACAAAAGTGGAATGCTCTTCCTTTGAAAAGGCAAAGGGGGTCAAAATTCAATTTAACAATCTGCTTTAGTTAACTTAATTAGGTTACCCTTTGAATCTGTACCTTACATGCAGGCATGCAGCTGCTAAGGAAGCACTTGATTTAAGGGTTACTGCAAGTTGGTCTCGTTTAGCCTTCCTTGAACAATCCTACAGTCTCGAGTAGTACCATTTTACATAAGTTGCTCCAGTCATAAATATTTAGCAAATTGTAATACATGACATACAAATTTTTGTGTAATTTGTTGTTGGATACCGCAAAAACATGTCACGGCTAGAGAACCCAGAAAACTAATAACTTGTTAGAGAAAAGTTTCGGTCCAATTGAAGAGAGAAATTCTTTTAAAAAAAGTATCTCTAGAGGTACAAGTTTCTAACCTGACGCTGGAATAAAAATAAAATATGATATATATTAGCAATATGTAGTTGGGGTGAAGGCAAATTGAGAGCTGCATCTCAGTTAGGTTCGAAACTTATGGCCCCAGGGGCATTCTCTCTTTTTCTAAAAGAATTTCTCTCTCCAATTTGACAAAAATATTAATTCTTTAGCAAATTACCAGTTTTTGGGTGTTCTCCAACCGTGACACGTTTTTCGATATCCATCAGCAAATTACCCAAACTTTGAACCGCATAGCAAAATTTGCCTAAATATTTTACATTTAAACAAGAATAGGTTAGATTCTTTTTTCAAGACCAATAAATTATGAATATCCTCAAATTTTCTTACGTTTAAAATTTGTCAAAAATAGTTCATTTTGTCCTTTTACCTACTCTCGAGTCATAGAGCAAGAAGTTTTATCCTTTCAACACCCCTCACATACCTTGTTATCACTTGTCCTTTTACCTACTCTCGAGTCATAAAGCAAGAAGTTTTATTCTTTCAACACCCCTCACATACCTTGTAATCACTTGATAACACTACTTTCTTATTAACAAGGAGCACCCATGCATGCATTTTTTTCTCCTCGCTTGTAATTTACTTCCTCCATTCTAAATTGATCTACATAATTTTCTAAATTGATTTACATATTTTGTAAGGTACACCAAGACCAAGAAAAACTAATAACTCTCTAATACTATATTTACCCTAGCAACAAACTCGATGCATGCAACATCCCCACTATTTCCTAGCCAATAGCAAATCAAGATATTGCATGTGGATTATAAATACTTGTGTGCATGGATGCATGCATCAATGTCCATTTACTCCAATGCACAAATAACGAATATATTTAATAAATGAACACAAATATGTACAGTAGATCATTTAGAAATAACCTAAAAAAAACTATATGTAGATCAATTTAGAATGGAGGGAGTATCAACCAATTAATGGTGTAAGTCAAGTCTTTTTAGGGACATAACCAATATATATTATTCTTAAATTAAGCATGTGATAATTTACTGGTGGCCCAAGTTGTCGAGTATTTTGGGGAGCACTGCAGCCTCGATCGAGCTTCCATTCTGTTTTGTGCAGTGGTTCGATATGATCGGTGTACGTACATACCGTTGTCCAATGATATGAGAAGAGATCAAAGTGGGGTATCCAAATTCGATCGCCACTTCCACTTCTCAATTTCTTTACACAAAATGTCGAACATTTTATAGATGCCACCATGCACGTAGGACAGCTCTTTTACAATGTAGGATTAAAGTTAAGGATAAACTATGTTGCAAATTGCAACCATAAATAGTTAGGCGCGCTGCCTAGCTTCGAACCTTCCGTTTTGCGGCCCCTGGTGGATTCGTAAATCCAATTTAATTATGTACGTAGTGTGTGTCGCTTCTTTTTGTATTCTGTGTATGCGTTTAACTAGCTCCATGATCATGCATATGGGAGGTCTGGATAGTTCTGGACGAAGCGACATACCACGGGGTTCTACGGCCGGTTGTCCACATTTTCTAATAAATCAAAACGGTTTATTAAAAAATAAAAATTAATTTATATATAAAATTTAAATACCAATATAAAAAATTAAAAATATCTTAAAATTAGCTTCAAAATTAAGATAAAAAATTTAAATTTGGCTTTGGCTTATTAGGCCAACCGATGATCCCTAGTCATAGACTAGCGCATGGGTGCTTTTGTTGGTAGTATTACTGCCGTCCTATAATATTATAAGCAACTTTTAGTTATAAATTTAGATATATAGTTGTTTAGATAACTAAAAGTTTATATTTTAAGATGAAGGAAGTAACAATTTTGACGATGTCGATAGGCTATATCGTGACTACGGTATTTGTAGGGTATGGTGTTCGTCGGTATCAGGGTGTACGCGATATTAGGGTAAAAGAGACAATAGGCAAGAATTTATATATAGTTTCGGCCCCCTTAACTGACAAGTAATAGCCCTACTCATATTAGCCAAATCCAGAGTTACCTTTATATATCAATATCTCATTAGTACAATAATTGGATGACTTAATCCAATCCTTGTTAGCATAGCGGCATTGCACCCTTACATGCAGCCAACAGCTAGTGTAGTCTTTTTCTTCGAATGTGAACTCGGTGAGATTGGAGGTAGCTCTAGATCCCTCATGTTTGCCTTTGTAGCTTCAGATTGGATTTGTCTAGGCTTGTTCTGGTGTATATATGTTGGCTTGTCTTGGATTCTCTAAATCTGTATTGGCTTGTGTAGATTTGTTCTAGATCTATCTTCTGGCTTGCCATCTCTCATCTCCTTCTAGGGGGTCATGTATTTATACCCTCAGGTGCCCCCTTGTCCAAATAGAACTAGAGAGACAAAGTATGAATATGATCCGAGTAGTCCTTATAGTGCCCGAGTAGAACTTTACTTCCCCTTCCTTATCCAAAATATCTTCCGTATATAATGTATGATTCCGTATAGAACTGGGTATATGGTGGGTCCCGCAGAGACTAACCCAAGATTATTGGGTATGACTTATTTATAACATTAACAGACGGGTACACGTAATCTATCCCTTATTAATTTAGGGCAGACATATAATCTCGTACTAGGATGTGACACATCGTAATACAACGAATCTGGACATACAATATTGGCTTTTTTCGGGATGTACGAAGGGAGTATATACTATTATACTGTCATATGTCTAGATTAGATCAGCCATGGAATTAATTTATATGAGAAATTTTATAATTTTTAATACTAAGAGGTACTAAATTTTTTAAGTGATTTATTACAATACCTCGACTGGAAGGTACAACATTTTAGTGTAAAATTTGATACCTCTCGCTACCTCTAATTTTAAAAGGTACCAATGTTAGTATAAAAAAAAATTAGTACCGGCCTCTTATTACCTCCCAATGATAGTAAAATTTCTCAAAATTTTTAATACGAATTTTGGTATCTATTAGTACCGAATGGTATAAAGAGATATCAAATTATACACCTAAAATCACTCTACTTATATATAAGTACTGATTAAGGCATTTAAGCGGAACAGAAGCTAGATTGATTAGTTTGTTCAGCGGTGATCAGTACTGATCAAGGGTGATCAGCCTCCTTTTCCAGTATCAGGCTCTGTACGCGTACATAATGATTAATGCATTTTTTTTCTGCCTCCAAAGTAGCTGGCAAACCGGCGATCGATCTGTGTGCTGCAGGCAGCAGCTGAGTAGGCCGAAAAGAAATACTCTCCCGCCACCCTTCCCTTGAGCCACGAAGCCACCAGGAAGAAGAAGAAGCATTAATATACAAATAATGAGCAAACTATTAAGGAATATAAGGAGCAATAATTAATGTAGTCTTATCTTTAAACTAATTTTCTAGTGATAGTCTTTCTGGGGAACGCATCTCAGCCACTGGAAAGAACGAGGAACGTACATCTCATCAGATCAGATCACACCGTCGATCATCAAATATATAATCCCCCTTTTAATTTGCTCTGATGCTGCGTGCATATATACCTGTATGCTTTTCCTCCATCTGTCAGCTAGAGCTTGCCAAGGACATATGTAAAATTCAGTGACAGCTTAATTAACCAGCTAGATACAGTTTTACTACTTTACATGCATCTATACCATGTACGCCTGTATGGATACATGTATATATACATAATGTTCATATCCTTAAGCTCTAAG